TATTTTAGGGTCTAATATACTATATAATACTACTTTTATCTTATATTATAGGAGCTTAAAAGTAATAGGATAAGTGTATTTTATCTAGTTTTAAAAGAATATAATAGTAAAATAGAGTTTAATAATAATACTTTTATCTAATATCTCTAACTAAGAAGAAATAGAAATATATTATAGTTATCTGGCTTATTAAGATAGCCTAAACTATTAATTAGGCCAGAAAACCCCTTGCCTTAATAGTAAGTAATTAATAAAGTATATATAATATATTTAATAGGAATTATTATTATATAAGAATAAATATTTATGAGAAAAAGAGGAACTATATTTCCTTAAATACTATATTCTTCTTATTTTTACTTTTAGTAAGATTTCTAAAATAGGAAATATTACTTTTATAATTTCTATATTCTTTTATTTTATATTATATCTAAATTACGAGAAATATTTATATCTTAAACCCAGAACCTTTATATTTCTTCTTATATAGTATTATTATAGCTTAATATTACTATGGCTTACTCTTCTATAATATTAACCTATAATACTAAATTAACTCGAATCTTAATCTTAATATTTAAATATATAGCTCTTATCTTTAGTATATTTTATATTTCTTTTATTTTATAATTCTAAATATTATAAAAGCTTAATTTCTAAAGCAAATAAATTATTCGGAAAGTAATATATATATTACCTTGCCTTAAGATTACTTTAATACTAATTTTATTCTCATAATACCTTTTATAAGTTCAAGATTTCCTACTTCTTTATAATATTAAAGAAAGAATAGAAGGTATTTTCCAGATTTGGCTATAAAAGCTTATAATAATACTAGTACTTTCTCTAAATATTAGATAGCTATGAATTATTACTTTAAATATATATAAATAGGCCTTTACCTCTTATAATTTCTTTTAAAAAACAATATTAACCTAATAACCTAGCTCTAGTAATACTCTTTATTTCTTTATATCTCTAACTATATTATATCTTCTTCCTATTTTTTACTTAAGTTCTTTTTCTCTTAATATAATTCCTTACTACTATATTATATTATAGTCTTAAAGCTTACTATATAGCACTTTATTATCTCTTCTTACTATAAGTTTACTCTTATTTTATAATACCAGAATTATAGATTCTGAGATTAATACTTGCTCTAGTATACTTTAGTACTAGACTAAGCTATTATAGTATTTATACTTTATTATATCTTTTTACTATAAGCTTACTTTTACCCTATAATACTAGAATTATAGATTCTAAGGCTAATACTTGCTCTAGTATATTTTAATACTAGACTAAGCCTCTATAATATTTATATATTATTATATTTTCTTATTATAAGCTTATTTTTATCTTATAATACTAGAATTATAGATTCTGAGGCTAATACTTACTCTAGTATACTTTAGTACTAGATTAAGTAGTTATAATATCCGTATATTATTATACTTATTTATTATAAGTTTTCTATAACTTAGTAATATTAAATACATATACTAATTATACTTATAAAGCCTTCTTGTTTTCTATACCAAAATAGTATTACTAAGTAAGATTCAGGTCCTTCTCATAATACTAGTCCGCTATATAAATCTCTGATTCTTTAACTACTTCTTATATAGTAACTAGATTATCTCTAGAGATTATTACTAGCTAAGCCCCGTTCTCATATGAGTTAAGCATATTTATGTAATTCTTGCTTATATAAAAAGTAATATAGCTATTAGGTATAGCCATAAGAGTAATAGCCGCACTCATATCTTTAAATATACTATTTTCCTAGCAAGTAATATACTAGACGAAATACCTATCTCTAATAGTTATACTAATTACTAGTACTAGTCCGAGTAATATAGATATAGTAATAATTACAGAGTTATAGGCAGTTCTCCCGGACCTTTTATTCTCCGAGCCCCATGCCTAGCTCCTATAATTATTAGTTCCATTCCTCTTACAGGATATTAAAACCCGGTTATTCCTGGCCCTTCTATTCCTCTACTAAACTTTCGTACTTTATAGCCACCTCCTGCTTCTCTTATAGCTACTCCAAATACCTCTGGCACTTCTCTAAAGCCATAGTAATTCTGGCCTAATTCCAGAGATAATTAGATAATGTCTCTAAGCCCTTCTTAATAATGCCCACGAGTTAGACCTCCTTATATTACTTCTCTGGAATAGGCAAGTGGATATCATAGTTCCTAATCTGGGTCTCTAACTCCTGGCCCTTAACTCTTTACCTCGAGTATATTACTAAATATCCCTTCTTCTTTTTCTATTATTCTATATCAAGATCTTCCTAATATTTATAACATATTACCTCGCCGAAATTATAGTAATACAGGATATAAAGCTAGCCCTAACTTTATAGCTATATTCCCAAGTAGTAATAGCTCCCTAGTATATGCACCGAGTAGCTATAATAGTAATTCTCTAGCCTATATATTAAGTAGCTATGGCGGTAATTCTCTAGCATATTCTTTAGGCAACTATAGGGGCAATACCCTAGCGAGTCCGGGAAATCAAATGCTAGCTATAGCTTTACTAAGCCTAGCTCTAAGTAGAGAGCTAACTTTAATAGATATAGACTACTATAGTAGTAATACCCTAGCGGGTCCGGGAAATTAAATACTAGCTATAGCTATACTAAGCCCTGCTCTAACTAGAGAGCTAACTCTAATAAATATAGACTATTATACTATATCCCCTGGCCCTTCTTTTTCTCTTTTATTATTATTAACTTCTTATTATAATATTCGTGGCCACATATTATTCCCTCGCTATTAATCTTTAATTATAGCTAACTAGCCTCTAGAAGTATTAGAAATTATAAATAGGAATGTCCTTAGTAGTAATTAAACTCGTCCTAGATCTCCTAATACTTAATTCTCTCTCATAACTCGAAGTCCTGCGCCTGGCTCTCTTCTTAACCCGGCTTCTAATCCTATAGAATCTATTACTAATATAATAGAAATTACCTCTATTAATTCTCTACTACCTCCCCGTATAATTAATGCTCTAGGCTCTTATTCCCGCTATAGTAGTATTAGACAAAGCATAATTCCCTTATATATTCTAGAATAGTTCTAGAATAAGCTACTAATTTACCCTAATAAGGTTACTATTACTTAGAGAGTACTTAGAAAGGCAGAATAATATGTTAAGGACATATTAGCTAGACGTATTTAGGTTATAGATTAGGGTAAAGCTCTCTATATAGCCCGAATTAGAGCTACTAACTACCTACGGGTCTATATAGATACTAATACTAGATTTCAGATACATATAGCTAGAGTAATAGTAATGCCAGGAAGAGCTTTATAATAGCCAAGAAGTAATAATTCTTTCCCTCCCTAAAACCCCCCTTAATATAGATATTAAGTATAGAATATATATACCCTTATATATATATATTTTAGCTATATTGCATTTTGAAATAACAGAAATAATAGCTATTAAGTATTTGCATAGTATTAAGGCAAGCTATAGCTCTTTAGAAATCTGAAAAAAGCATTGCTTTAAATATTATATAAAAAGAATAAATAAAAGTATTAGTCTTTTATACTAAAACTGCTCTTGGCTAAATGCTTGTAACTATAATAATATATATATAAGCCCTTATTAAGATATTCCTAATTAATATTTAAAGTTTCTAAGAAATAGTATTATTCTAGCGGTTATTATAATAAGCCTCTTACTAGAGAATAACTACTATAGTATTATTACGTATACCCAAATCTCAATTAAACTTGGACGTAATAATATTAGGAAACGTAATATTAAATTAATTCCCGTATAAAATCTATTACATGAAATTAAACCCAAAATCTGGGCTAGCTATATAAGACAGAATAAGGCATTATTTGTCAAAACTCTTTAAATCACCTAATATTATATAGCGGTAAGTTGTCTCGCCTGTAATTAAATTAACTATTACTAATAGATAATAGGGCATAAAAGGAAATATTATTAGGCTATTTTAATGCCTCTTAATATTTAAAAAACGCACTAGAATAAAGAGTAATTATTAAATATTAATTTAACCTGTCTTAACTGGGGCGTGGATTTTAATTCCACGTGACCTTCCTAATAATTACTATATTTAAAAAAAATTTAGTACTAAAATCATGATTCCTGGCTTAAAAACAAGCAAACGCTATACTAGCAGCTTTTATGGCACTCTTATATAAGGCAAGGATAAATATAAATAATAATTATATTAAATTACACTCTATGCAATGCTCCAGGCTATGCTCCAGGGGCTTATCCACTGGAGAAAGCCCTGTAGAAATACGCGATTCACTTTGCCCCAAAAAAAATTTTGCCTTAAGCAATAGAAATAAGGCTTAGAACTCCCAGAATTAGCCCCCTGGCTAGTTGAAAATTCAAAACCAGTACCATGCTACCAACTCTTTGCGGGGCTAGCCAAAGAATAATGGCCCATCCTATTGCCTCCACTTTTTCCCCCGTTGATCGAGCAGGATAATAAGGGCTCACTTGACGATTGACCACGTGTCGCGCAGGGATCTTGGAACTGACATCGGTTGATATCCTCCATAGAGTTGACCTATATATCCCTCAATCCTCGCCCTTTTCGCGGCAGCGCTCCCGGGAACAGCCATCTTGAATTGTGGGAGGACCGGAGTTTGCAGAAAGTAATTCAAAAAGCTAGACTGCCGGTTGATTTGAAAGCGAGTCGAAGTCTGGAAACTTGTTGTATGGTGAGGTGGGGGAGCCAGAGATCATGAAGTTGTAGCTGATGAAACGTGAAATAAAGCGTAAAAAGGAATGAAGTAATCAAGATACCTGAGCCGCATAGTGCCCCGCCTGCTGACAGAAGTTCTTATTATTAGGCGATTTTTAAGTGATTTCAGGCCTCACGGCCCGTCTTCAGGGCCCGAACCTTTCGAATTACCAGAATCACTTTATAATTTCAAGACAACAACAAATAAATAGAACTTGCGATTTAGTAATTCGGAGACTATAAGAGGTAACGGGAGTTTCTATTAAAACGGCTACAAATGTTTACGAGTTTTAATAATTGAATTAGTTGTGGAATACGCTATAGAAGGATTCGCCGATAAACGGCCCAACCCCCGAGTCAACAAGTATGGGATATCGAAAACGTAACAATCGTTTTACCTAAGTACAAATCACAACCAAGACTGAGACGGCCTACCGGCGCGGCCGACGCTTCGCGTGTCTACAGAATCGCCAGCGTCGTTTTTCTTGTTTCCGGTAGTTCTGAGCTCGCCCACATAGACTCTTTCCACATGGAATATCCTACCCGACGAAAAGTGGAGGAGTTCTCGCCACAACCAAGCAAAACAAGACAATGCACGTCCTTCCTGTTTGCCTGAGTATGAACCTCTCCGGCCGCCAATTCGGCAAACCAGATTTGGACATTGCTCCCAAGGTTCTCGTCGAGAGAAAGAGGAATTTCTCGCTTATCAAGAGGCCATCTTGAACTGGGGGGAGCATTTGTTGATTGCCCAGAGAGCTTCTCCGTGTGCTCTTCTGGCCAGTTTATTACAGCAAAGACTTGGTTATCCTCTACGAATGCGGGTCTGAGCTTCACCTCGACAATGAGCTCTGCAGTAGCCTTCACTGCCGTTCCGGAGCGCTTGAGTTCAAGAATTTGGATCCTCGACTGCAATCGACAAAGCCAATGGCCCGGCCATAATACCGCGCCTTCAGTGGAAGCCCAGGACCAAGACGGGGCGATGTCGAGCCTTTGGGATGGTTTCAACTTTGGTCGCGTCGAGGACCACAGCAGCCCCATGAAAATCGACTTCGTCGATTCAACCCAGATGCCTGCAAAGTAGGTCCTAGAGGCGATTGGCGCCAGTGCGTCAGCAATTCCTTGGATGGCTATGAGCTTGTCCGATTGATATGTCATGCCTCGTTGAGTATAATCCCGAACCACATTCCCCCATTCAACGAAGAATTCGTCTTTGGGCAAGTAGCAACACTTTGCGTGATACCCTGTGTTCGCGACGCTGCGGCTTGAATTTGGACTGAGCCCCGGGAATATCCATTTCTGTTGGAGCTCGGCAATGGTTGCATCAGTACTCCGAGGATCGCCTCCTCTCCTGACAATGTTGGTCGTCTTGTCTTTTATGATAAAGTCCTCGACACTTTTCATGAGCGGGGCCCGCTCGTCGAAGAGCATCTCTTGACATCTCCACGACAAGCGATCTCGGGCATAGGTCAGGGTCCGCGGCGATAATGCTTGCTCTTGGAAGACCCAGGCCCTGTCATATAGCGGGCTTGGTTTGAATGATTCGGAAAGACTAGATCTTGCTAGCTCGAATGACATGGTGTTCGTATAGGCATATAGCTGCCGTGAAGAGCCGTTAACGTCAGTAAACCCAAGTTCGAAGGGTCGATTTTTTAGTCCGTCTCTGTCTCGAAAGAGGCCGGCATCGCTGTTGTTTCCGTCGGCGGCTGCAATTGTTAGCAATGACTGTTTGTAGTATTGATGCATCAATATCGCTTCGACTTCCCAGTCCTTTCGGTCGTCCTGGATTATGCATAAAGAATCTATCCATAGGTATCTGCAGCCAAGTTTGCGCGCAACGTGAACTGCATCACGGAAGGTGCGTGGCAAATCTGCAAGTTTAACTCCGGTCCGATGGCGCTGAATGTTTTCCTTGGTGGTCTTGATTGGACTTCCTCCTCCCCAGCAGTGACTGAGTGTTAGATACTTCCCCATTTGACCAGATGTCTCTAGTAAGTATGGCTCAGCCAAATCGTCAATTAAACCAACGTCAATGACTCTATGCGGCAAGGGTGGATCCCCAGCTGTGGATGCCAAGCATCTTTTGTGAGTTTCAAGGCACTCTTCTAACCATGTCGCAGCTAGCCGGCAGGCGGGCTCAGACCCGGTATTCGGGTCATTGGAAGTTTCGGAGAGCTGCAACGTTGACGTGAATCGGCCTGGTTTTATTCTTAGTACAGATGAATTTGCGCGCACCTAAACTTACGCGGCAGGTTGATGCTCTGGAAAATAACATAGACCACTGGTGATTTCCTGCCATTTCGATGGTCACCAGCTGATTTCGGGACAGGGTCCACAAAGGACACCTCGATACCACTGTCCTGTCTCGTCTTTATAATCACCTTCGATGAAACGCTGATGGATTCATAGGGTTTCTCTTTGAAGGCTCTGTGAATTATTTTACAGAGATGGCATCCCCAAATAGAGCTTGTACGAAGCTCTTCCAAGGTTTCATGGTGGATAAAATCATTGTCTTGATGCGGATCGATTGAGCTGCATAGTGTTTGACACTTGGCACACAGCATGGTGGCCCCTTTGGGTAGATGTACAGATAGTTGTGTCGGTACTGGTGCCTCGGTTCCAGATGGGCGATGATGTAGCACTTCGTCAGGTTGGCGATGGAGGTCTGTTGACTGGCTTCTCAGCAGTTGCCTACAGTATTCGGACTATATTTAATCCGACCCGCTCGCCGAGGCTCCAATTTCTGCTTCCTTTTGATGATCCATAAATGCTATTCGCTAGGGGAGCACAAACGGATACTACCAGGACATCTTGGCAATTCCAAAGAGGTAGCTGTGTCTAGCCAATAAACATTTTCGAAATTTATCTATAGACGGATTTTGGGGGGGGGGGGGGGGGGGGAATTACCCGATCGTCCTTGAAGGCGTTCCCTTGTTTAAGATTCGAAGGATAACTAAGCGGCAACTCAGGGGCTTAGAACACAACTTAGGTCATAACAGGAATTGCTCGGGTCCAAACGGAAATGGAAAACGCTGATGTCGACTTTCCAATGCCTATGAGGATTAATATTGATCGTGTATTTAAAGAACCCACCCACTTAGTCTATGTAGAACGCAGCTCGACCCAAGAAACCCACCTAGAAAGCATACATCGTAACGTCGTCGTCATTTCTCCTTTAGACAGTGCTTTGTTGTATAGTTTACTTGACTAGTCTAGCAATTCTCGGATCTCAGACTCAGGCCAAGCCTCTCACTTCCCACCTTCCCCCCATCGGTCTCCCTTTCCACGCCCAAAATCCCAATAATACGCCATCTCCACCACGTCTCCAACTATTCCCTTCCCTCATTCCATTTACTCACTCGTCTGAATTCCACCGCATGTCTTCCGAGTTTCCATCCCTCCCCCGCCTTGCCAATATATCTTTTGCTTTCTTGATTTCGCCGACCCAGGGCACTTTATTGTTAGCAAAAAAATCCACCCTTACTCCACGCCGTGAGTGAGATCTTTCTGGCATTGAGGTATGTTTTAGGAGTTATGTGAGTGCAAAAGACAACTGCTTAATGAAGTTTCGTGAATGTGGCGTTGGGAATTTTTAAATCGTTTTGTCGGGATCTCCGTCAGCTCGAAAAGAGCTTGGTAAACCTTCCCCAGGTGATGCGGAACCCCGAGGATGCATGATGAAAGGGCAAGTAAGCCAGAGTACCATAACTGAGGGATAGGGAAAGCCATTAGTACTTGGATTCTTATCATTAACCCAAAGCGTAGAATTCGAGTCTCATCTACAAGGGTCACGAAGAGGCAGTCAAAAACAGCAGCTCGTAAACAAAGCAAACTTTCATTTCCATAACTAACTAATCCAAAACAACCGTTAGAAGCCGTTAGAAGCCCGGCGTTGAGACCGTGACTGACGTTTTGAACTATCTTACTCTCACCCCTGACCTGGAGACTTCAGGAAATTCATACCGAACATAAAAGAAATTTAATTGAGATCAAAACTTCCAGCCTGAACTAAAGGAGATAAATCAAAATCGACAAAAGGAAGCCGACAGTATCCACCGAATCAAGAATGCTTCCCATTTTTGCAGAGTTCGATAGCGGCTCTGAGTTCTGCTCCAGCTCGCTCGAAATCCTTATCTGTACGCAGTTTGTTCAACTCCTCGTCTGGTAGAATCATATATGGAAAGAACTTATCACCATACAGCCTGATAGACGGCCCCCGGTAAGGCTTCCCAAGGTGATCTTCGTGCAGGAATGTATATGATCCCAATGCGGACACAACGGCTTCCGTGAGTGCTTCTGAGGCTTGAAGACGTTGTTCGTGGTTATGTTTCTGCCAGTGAGCTCTGACCTTTAGCAGTCTTGCATCGAAGATTTCGTGTTCGCAGATGGGGCATAAAACTGTTCCGCAATTCATTTTTTGTTTTTGTAGTCGTATCTCCCGCTGAAAACGAACTCTTGTATCATGGTCATGAGCTTGAGCAAGATGCCTGGAGGTTGATAACCAGTCTTGGAATGTTTTTCCACAGTTCGGAATGGGGCAAGGACAGGAAGGGCCGTTGTGAGGATTTGACAGATGGCCAAGCATAGTAGCCTCATCATCTGTGCCAAATGGACAGCCCTGAATGGAACAGATGTACCCTGCGTGCAAGTAATTGTATCGCGAATGCAAGGCAAAGCCGTATTCAACGAAGAGACGGTTGTTGGATTTTCTTGTTTCAAAGTCATGTTGGCCAAGGTGGTCAATGAGGCCAACCCGGGTGGCAACAATATCGGAGCATCCAGGTACCACACAGCACCACTCGAGGGAAGAGATTCTCTCTCCACGCAAATGATCGCGGAGCTTGTCGCTTCGATGAAACTCGTGGCCATGACCCTTAGGACAATCGATGACGGGGCAAGAAAAGGTCTTCACATCGGCTGTATGCTTCTGACGAACATGACGTAGCCGATCTTTGTTGCGCCGAAAAGTCGTTTTGCAACCAGGTTGTTCGCATCTGAAGACGTGGTTGGCACCAGTCGCGGCATTCTTGGGCGGTCTCCCTTCGGGTAGTTGTGGCGGGGTCTCTTGTTCACGAGACTGTTGTATTGCTTTCTGCTTGGCAACAATAGCTTCGGCAACATTCTTCGAAATTTCCGTCAGAACTGAATGAGGCAGGGCTGCCAAATATTCTAGATCTGCGAGTCGGGGTAGCTCAGGACCGTCAAGTTGCGCTCGGTTGTTTGCACTCGACACAGAGGTCGGAGGACCGTTGTTAGGGGGTGAGGGTCGGGAACCGGAACTGTCCAGGAGGTGAGGTGAGAAACGCCCATCGTTTTTGGCCTTGAGGGTCATCGCTTGCATTGGCCGGCCGTTGCTGTCAAAAATCCCATCCAAAAACTCAGTGGCCGGGAGTCCATCTTCTGCCAAACGGTTCGTGTCTACCGAGGCGGATGGACGAGCAGAACACAATGTATTGTCCGCTTGGAATTCTGGGAAGAGTTGTGAGCTTCGCTCACTGTCGGCAAATCTGCGGGTCTCGACCAAGCTGCTGGGCATATCCCAGCCTGGAAACGGAAAAGGCTCTGCGTTGCCAAGGAGGGCGCTGGGAAACTGTCTGCTACACATACACGGCGCCCTGATTCTTCGTCAGCTAAAAAAAAAATCAGTGCGCTCACCAGTCGTTCTGCTGCCAATCGTTGGGCTGCATGCTGAAGCCATCATCCATGCCCATTGGCTCGTCGGAGAAGGGCGGTGTGAAGGGCGCCCCGGTGAATTCGTCCATGACGCAGGGCGTTGCTGGTGCCTAATGAGGGCGCCAGAGGGAGGACTGTGAGAGTCGGTTCGGTGGGAGAATGGTATGAGAATTTGGTGGGGGGTTTGCAAATCGAGCGCTGGGGGAGGGCCAGCTCTTGTAGCTCTCACGTCACACAGAGTGTGGTGAGGCTGCGAGGGCGCCCTCCCCACACCCCTGTCTGATGTTTGCACATGCAGTCGCGCCCAGCCGTCCCGTGGTGCCGGAGATTGAGGGGGTGGGGGGCAGAGAAGTAGTGGACTAATTGTACAGCGAGAGGTGGGACATCGAGATATAATAGAACTGAATATGCAAGGGACGAAAAGGAAAAGGTCAGGAAGAGAGACGAAAAGAAGTAGCCTTGCTGCATATATGGGCCTAACACAAGAACCACGTCATAGTATCACAATAAATCTCAGCACATTCATGAAATTTTCTTGATCCTATATTCTCTGTACGCCTCCCATGGTAGCCTTCCATGTTTCGCGCTCGCTCCCATCTGAATAAGACGCCACCGTTTTCGGTCCTATATACTCTCTTTGAAAGGAAAATCTGCGATGATAATGAATTGTCTGCTAGTGCCGATTTCGAGTCAAAAGCCGGGAGAGTAGTACAGCGAGTAAAGGTCGAGGCGATGTGCCTATGGCAAGAAGCAACTACCAGCAACGATCAAATTCATGCGAGTGAACTTCACCTTATAGACCGGCGACTTCTTGGTGGGGAAAGCACTGATCTGATCAGGGGTAATCATGGTGTCCTTGCCCTTCTTCTTGGCACCAACGGTGGCCGGAGCAGCAGGTTGATTGCCGGTATTGATACGAGTAGCATCTGCCTGACCGCCTGTAGCAACAGTCTCATTGCGGTCGGCCTTGTGTGGATCGGCAGGGACGGCGACATCCCAGACTCGAACAGTGCCATCTGCACCACCGGAACAGAGGACTGATGTCTCGATGCTGAAGGAGAGGGACCAGATACCGCCTTTGTGGTGGCCGCGGCAACGCTTAATTTGTTTGCCATGCTCGAGATCCCAGAGGAAGATGGTACCGCTTTGGTCGGCCGAGGCTAGGATCCTACCATTCGGGCTGCATTCGAGAGCGCTAAGGGTGTCGGTATGGCCAGTGAAGACGCGGACACACTCACCCGAGACAAAGGACCACATGCGGATAGACTTGTCAGCTTGGTCACTGGCAGAGAAGACGTAAGCACCGTTCGGGTGCCAGGCAATTTGATTGACGCTGGTGTCATGACCGACCATCATACGGACACACGAGATATGATCTTGAGCCCAGACACGAACGGTTCTGTCCCAGCCACAGGTAGCAAAGTAGTGGCCGAACGGACCCCACTTCACCTGCCAAACAGGACCTTCATGGCCTTTATAAACGACAAGGCAGGTCCAAGTCTCGAGAGACCAGAGGCGGATTGTGCCGTCGGCAGAACAGGAGAGAAGGAGTCGAGGGTTGGTGGCTGGAGTATTCTCGTCGGCATTGGCGGGGCCTTCGATGGAGGGGGAGAAGGAAACCTCGTAGACAGGGCCAGAGTGTCCGATGAGGCGGCGAGAGCTGGTTGGTGGATCATTCAGGGCAGATCTGACCTTCGTGGGAAGAGGATCGCCGTGAAGGTTCCAGACTCGGATATAAGACTCCTGGGTGCCAACAGCGACAAGGTTATTATCATCGGAGAACTGGACACAGGTGATGCTAGAGGCAAGTCAGCCGTCACGTTAGCAGCGGGTGCAGAGGAGGAACTTACGAATCGAGGGTGTTGTGGAAGGTAAACATGCAAATGGAGACGCCTGGAGCGATTCCAGTCTTCATCTCGGTGGCGTTATCAATTCTGAAGCGATCACGGTTTTCCTTGATCTTTTGGACTTCCATAACCACATCTCGAGCGCGAGATGCAGGGTAGGGGATTTCGGTGCGGGAAGGACCATCCGCGCTATCCTCTCGCTTGATGTTTCGGTCGAACTCATCCACCAGGGAGCTCTTGCCTTCCGGAAGGGTGGCGGTATTGAGTCGATCCTCCTCCTCCAGTTCAGCTCGCACATCACTAGCGAGGTCGGGATCCATGGCCATAGGGCCGAGCTTCAATACTGCTGTGTTGTCCATAATGTCTTTGTTAGTGACTCCGGTGAATGCGCCGGGAATCCCTTCTTGAAGACCTGCATCGTCACCTTCAGAGCCGAGCCCGCGCGCCTGATTGATGATCGCCTCGAAGCTGTACTGGTCCATAGGGCCTCGTTCCGTCTCCCGTACCTCGCAATACGTTTGAAGCAGGTAGATGATGACAGTGCCGCCCGAGTTGGCGTTCGATTCAAGGAAGGTAAGAAGGTTGAAGTATACGTTCTTATTGAGGGGCAAGAGGTATTTCGTGTTGCGGTAGAGCTTTGCGGTCGAATTCTCGAAGACCTGAGAGCGGAGTTTGATGGTCTCAAAGACGCGAAGTTCATCCGCATGGAGCTTCTCAAATTGTGGGCTAAATTCACGGAAAAACATCTCGCCGTCGTCTACCGCGTCGGTGATGATCAGGTCCAGGTAGGAGTAGACAAAGATGGGCCATGGCAGTCGGTTCAACTCAAACTATTCAATCTATCAGGTGTGAAAGGGTGTCTTGGAGGATGCAACTCGCCTTATAGAGGTCAAGGTTTTGGTCAATCCAACCGCACAACAGCTTGTATCCGCGGGTATACTTGATGTTGCCTAGTTCCTCAATGTGGTTATGAATGGGTCTGCCATCTTTGTCGAGATGCGCTGATTCTTGGCGGAGCGTCTGTTCAGTTCTCATGTAGCCCTTCTTGACCAGGTATTCGATGACCTTTTTGTTCACAGCGTCAGCTTGTGTTAATGGGCGTGGTGGTTGTAAATTGGCAGCCGATCTGCCCGCAAGTGAAGACATCTCTGTCGCAGCTGGGCCGGATGATGAAGGCTTCTCCGTCATAGACCGGCCAGATGGTAGAGACTTCTCAGACACTGATAGTAGTGGTCAGTCCAATGATGGAGACTTTGCTGTCGCAGCGCGGCCCGATGTAAAAGCCTTCTTTTGGCCCGACTGGGGGGATTTCTTACTGCCGGAGGAAACCATCTTGAGCAGCGCAGGAGAGCAGAGCGTGATAACGAGGGTGGTAGAAGTACGAGATAATGAGGGATCAAAGGGACTGACAATGGCCACCCTGCCGAAAGAAGAGGCTGCAGCAGTTAGGGAGTGTGGGGATGCTTTGGTGTGGAGGAGTTCGGGTGCAGGGTAAGGAAGGTTGAAGATTGAGTCTCGGCCTGAGATTCAAAGACGAGGTGGCCTTGCCCGGGCCGAGATGCAGTGAATTGATGTGAAGATGCCATCTCGCCTAAGATAGCGAATTTGAAGAAATCGGGTCATGATTATTTAGCACTGCTCGAGAGTTTTTCTCTTTCGTGGAGATCCTCAGAGAACAGACCCTTCTCTTTCTTCAAATACAACGCAAGCAAATTAAGTAACAGGGAGGTTGAGTTCACGTCGAGGGTGACTGAGTGTGACTGAAGCACTGTTTCCACAGAGCATAGAGGGGGGACTTCTTCAAGCATACATTCAGACCTGGCAAAAGGCCCAACAAGCTGGTCAACCAGTTCGTGTGCGGCTCCTCCGCCAGTCCCTCAGCTCCCATTGTGAAGACGAAATGGTATTGATACGCTTCCGAGAAGTTTGGAAGGTGCTGCTTTTGCTCTCAGAGGTGGAAGTATTATGGATGAAGAAGTTCAGCTTCAGAGTCAAGATTCACCAAAGAATCATATCAAATAGGAAGGTGCACTAGACATGAAACCATGCTCATGCTTAGCGACAGACACCTTCCTTCACAGCTCAAGAAATCACTAGATCAGGGCCATCCTCGTTTTCCATTAGGAAATCTTGAGCATTCCTAGACTTCAAATTTCGCACAGTTGAAAAGCACAACGAAGCACAACGCAGCACAACGCAGACCAATACAGCAAAGCAGGCCAGATCAGGCAACTACCAAGCAAATAGAGTCTTACAATTTGGTTTAAATTCTGCTGCGACATGCTCTGCGAGGGTTGTGGCGGTGGCTGAATTCCCTGTTGATGCTGCATCGACATTCCAGCACTCGGCGGTCCATTTCCAGGACCTTGGGGCTGGTGACTCGACATGATGGCTGCTGTCTCTTCTTCACTCCTCACACCCTTCAGCCTGCATAGAAGCCCCTCGACATGCCCTCAGTTCGTGGTTCTCTCGGTAGCTGGATGAGATTGATAAGAATGTATGGTAGTGGGTGATGAATTCAGATTTGAGGATATGTGGGTGAAGAGTGAAGATGCTTTTTGTCTGATGTTCTCCAGATGAGCTAGGGTAACGCTAATGCACCTTTCCCGCAGAGCCGCATTCTTCCTCATCTGAGCAGCTCCTCGAGAATCCAAAGAATTTAGAAGCGTGTTTCTCTGACTTTAAGAAAAGGCCGTCTTCATTGCCTGTTCTGCGAACGTTACCGCATCCAAAACCCGGAACAATGTCTTCCCCATCAAACGGAGACGCCCAATCGTCCTCTTTCCAGCCCTTCACGAAGGCAGAACGAATCCAGCAGCTCAACGACATTGACAAGGTGAGCGCACTTGATGCAGCCCCAAGATCCAGCAACTAACAATTCGCAGAGCATAACCGAACTCCTCAAATCCGCTGGCCTCGCCCTCAAAGCACTCTCAGCTTCCCAATACACCCCCGACACTCCCATCGATGACCGCAAAGAAGCCTTCAAGTCAGCGTCGGAATCATACCTCAACACCCTCCAATCGATCGATATAGGACTAAAGAGGCAGATACTGGGGCTAGAAGAAGCAGATATCCTCCCTACGGACAAGGCGAAGAAGGACAAGCAAATCAATGAGTTTGGGAAGACAGCTCCTGTGGGAGAGACGACGATTGCGGATGGCGGGATGGGGAAACTGGATATTGGTTGGTTGAATAGTAGGAGCGGGAGGGTGGAGAGGGATATGGAGGCTGAGTTGTGGGAGAAGGCGAGGACGTTCTTGGAGGGATTGGAGAAAGGGAGGAGTCATGGCAATGGGCCGAAGGTGGAGGGTGATGGTGATGAGGATATGGGAACATGAGCGTAAGTGTCTTGGGGGAAGAGATCGCAGTTATGCTTGGGGTACTGGATGGTATACCGGTCGTGATGTCAATTAGCCATACATGTTGCTCTGACTGGCTTTCTCGATGGCGTGATGCCAAAGTCAAGGTCATTGCCTTCGGCGTGCGGGACATTTGGCTGCAGCCTGACCGTCGAAGCCACGTCCACGCCATGGATAGCTAGTCAATAACTACAGTAAGACACATCGGTCAGACGAGCAACCCATAGAGATTGCGAACCCAATTCTTGCGAATAATTTGATTTTATTGTGAGAATTCATCTCAATTCCACAAGTTATGTTGTGCTTTCAGCTGATCCCTGATTTCGTAGCCTCCCCAGCCTTGGCAAAAGCGGCGATGCAAGCCTAGCCTCCACCATGTCGACAAACAGCAGCTCCAGCTCCAACTTTCAAGAGCTTCCTGCAGCACAAATCCAAGCTGCATCAACACAATCAGCAAAGATGGATTTGGACGGGACAGACTCACCATGGGGTGGTAAGTATATGATGAGAGCTGACAAGAAAATTGGGTGCAGAGGTTGACTGGCACAGACGTCCCATCAAGCGCAACCGCATCAAAGCCTTCAGATGCTTCGGGCTTTGGAGAACAGTTAGGTCAGCCAATCAACCATTCGTCAACTCTCTGCACATCTAACATCTATCCCAGAATCATCCTCGAAATCAAATCAATCCCTCGAACCCTCTTCGTCACAACCCCTCAAATCCCCAGCAGGACGCAACCCACGCACACCCCGCAGACCAGGCACGCAACCCGTCCGTCTAGAAGCTCTAGACGACTCTCTAGGACCCTTAGGACCACTTGGGGACAATGCGCCCGTTCCACAAGTCGACCAACCTCCGGCGCCGCCGCAGAAGGAGCAAGTCGTAACCCACAACATCAGGCAACCAATGGCCTCATCGCAGAGCTCGATTAGCAGGAGCATGTTAGATTCTGTCGATTTAAGCGATGACATTGAGCCTCCTGCTGGCCCGAGAGTGCCACCTCCTGTACAGCCGGCTCAAGCGGCTCCCTCGAGGAGGGATACGCAGCCTAGCGTTAGCATTGAGCAAGCTGCGAAGCCGAATTTCTATATCACGGTTGGGGATCCGCATAAAGTTGGGGACTTGACTAGCTCGCATATTGTATATCTTGTGCGGACAAAGGTAAGAGCTGCTGGGTCTATTTCGAGAGAGATGTGCTGATTCTTCAGACAACCTCCAAAGCTTATCGTCAACCCGAATTCGAAGTGACGAGGAGATACAGAGATTTTCTATGGCTTTACAGTTCCCTGCATGCGAACAATCCAGGGGTTGTTGTCCCACCGCCTCCCGAGAAACAAGCTGTTGGTCGATTTGATACCAATTTCGTCGAATCGAGAAGAGCTGCTTTGGAACGGATGTTGAACAAAACTGCTGCCCATCCTACACTCCAACATGATAGCGATTTGAAATTGTTTTTGGAGAGCGAAGCATTCAATGTTGATGTTAAGCACAAGGAGCGGAAAGAGCCTGGCCTCGGGGAGAGTAAGGGTATGTTCAGTGGGTTAACAAACATATCCGTGGGTGGAGGTGGCAAATTCATTGAGCAGGATGATGTGAGTAGATTTCTATAAGCGGAGAAGCTATTATTGACTTTTTTAGTGGTTTCACGACCGACGGATATACCTCGATGCACTCGAGAATCAGCTCAAAGCCCTCCTGAAGGCCATGGACGTGGTAGTAAGCCAACGCAAAGGCCTTGCTGAAGCGGCTGGCGAATTTTCCACATCTCTGCATCAGCTCTCGGCAGTTGAGCTCTCCCCATCTCTAGCTGGACCGCTAGAAGGTCTCTCAGATCTTCAACTTCGTATCAAGGAGTTGTATGACCGCCAAGCCCAGCAAGATGTCCTTACCCTCGGTATCACAATCGACGAATACATCCGCTTAATCGGCAGCATCAAGCAAGCTTTCTCGTCTCGCCAAAAAGCGTTCCATTCCTGGCATAACGCTGAACAGGAAATGCAGAAGAGAAAATCAACACAAGAGAAGCTTCTGAGGCAAGGAAAGACCCAACAAGATAGATTGACACAGATGCATGGCGAGGTAGCAGATGCAGAGAGGAAAGTCCATCAAGCGAGATTGCTGTTTGAGGATATGGGAAAGTTGATGAGGAATGAGCTGGATAGGTTTGAGAGGGAGAAGGTTGAGGATTTTAAGAGTGCGGTGGAGACTTTCTTGGAGAGTGCTGTGGAGGCCCAGAAAGAGGTATGTCTCCTACTCCTACCTGCATTCTCTTCGTTGAAGAAATATAACTAACAATCGTAGTTAATCGAACTCTGGGAAACGTTCCTAATGCAGCTGGACGCCGAAGAAAACGAAGATGTCTTCTACAAGCCTCCTGTTGAGCCGGCTGCGAGACCTATTGCTCAGAGGTCATCAGAGGAAAGCCAAGGTGCTGCTACGAATACAGCTGAGGATGGCGAGGACTAGACCTGATGACGAAAAAGAGTTTTGGTTTTGATGATGAAAATAGTTCTTGGGTGGGGATGAATGGGTATACCATTCAACTTCTCGTGGTATTCGACCTGTACTGTACATAGAATAATCCTTTTCAACACCTGCCTCTTTGTTTTTCTTCCCTCCTGTATACACATATTATACACACCGCACGCATCATACACATCTCATCCATAATCATCCAGATCAGCTCTTCCCCCTCCTCTCCCCCCTACTCAACGCCGGAACCTTAACCAGCACGCCATCCTTCCTAACAGTAACCATCTCCACTTCCTCTCCTTTCTTCGCCCCTCCATCCTCTGCCTTATCTGCCAGCGAACCTGCACCCCCGCCTCCCGCGTCAGAAATCAAATCCATCAAACTCTCCACCTCTTCTCCCTCTGACCCAGATTCAGGTGATTCAAAAGAAGGCGTCTCGGCATCCCAACCTCGACCGAAACGAAGGCGGAAAGAGCGCAATCGTCCCGCTTCATCTTCCTCTATGTTTCGCAACGAGGTCATGGAGGGCTGCCAGAGCGGGTGGTTGCGCGTATCCTTCGTGGTGCGGAAAATCGGCTGCGGGCTCGTCGTGCGTTGCGTGTAGGTCGATCCATCTGATAATGTAACGAGTTGTGTGAATTGGTAGGGACGGTGGGGACGCTTTAGGAGGGAGGCGTGGCGGATTTGGGTTTGCTGGGCGCAGGTGGAGGTACAAGGGGAGGATAATTGGGCCCTGCGAAGGGTCTGGGATGGGAGTTTGGACATTGTGTATTGGATTGGGAGGAATTAATGTTTGAGGTGGTGGTGGAGTTGAGATATCTTTTTGTACGGTGGACGAGGGAGACACGGTGTGCAGCGAACATAAATTTCTTCAGCCTTGTTTTACCGACCTTGAAGTTGGGATGATGACAAGCTTCAAGCTTCACCTCCCAATAACGACGTTGAGCGAGATCAAGCTTTAGGAGATTCAATGATCGTCCGTCATGGAGGGCGATTGGCTGCCAATTATCTTCGGAGGGGAGGAAAAGATACAGCAGCAGCCAGGGGATTCTTTGAGGCTTTCTGGAGATGGTCCAGTGTTGGTTGTCAAGGTGTACGAAGAGGTGAGCATAGCCCCTTGAACTTCATTACATCTACTTATCCCATGCATTCAGCTAGCACTGCATCATTACACACAAAATATGTGGAAACATCAATTCAACACCCAGCCCGTGATCCCCGAAGAACAACCCTCCTTCTGCCGTGGACCAGATCGAGCTCTAGCTCCAGCTCCGCCAAATCTCCAATCGAATCTCCTACCGAACCCACACAAAACCCCCTCTCCACTACCCTCCGCCTCCTAATGCGCACCCTCCCGCACTCAGTGGTCGTAGTCACGGCCTCGCAACTACGCTTCGACGGCGACTCTCCCGTCCCCGCCGCATGCCTAAAACCCACGCGCCCGCATGACTACCGCGGCGTGACGGTCTCCTCCTTCACGACCATCACCTTGCAGCCCAAACCGATTATAAGCTTCAATGTCAAGTTCCCGAGCCAGACGTTGGTGGCGATTGAACACTCGAGACACTTTTTGGTGCATGTGCTGGAGGCGAGTGAGGGTGGAGTGTCGATTGCGGATATTTTTACGAAGGGAAATAACTATGCCAGAGATTTCTTCTTGGGGGATAAGAAGGGGTTTAAGGTGACGGAAGTGGATGTGATGACGAAGTTTGAAGGGAAAATGACGAGTTTGCCGATGTTGAGGGCAGAGGGTGTGATGAGGGTGTTGAGGTGTAGTGTATCGAAGGTGATGATGGTGGGGGATCATAGAGTGATTATTGCGAGGGTGGAGGAGATTTTGGGGGGTGAGGAGGGGGGGTTAGAGGGCAAGACGGGCTTGTGTTATGCGGATGGAAGGTATAGGGGGGTGGGGGATTTTGAACATATTGTTGAAGAAAAGAAAGACGTCAAGGATCGCCCTACCCTCGCTCACTTTATCCAAAGCCGCCTGGATTAAAAGCTCTCCGCGGACATCGATTGAGCAAGGGACTGTAAGATTTGAGGTGTAAGATCAAAGCATGTAGATGGATAGACGGCATATTGTACAGAAAGATAGATTCCAAAGTATAGCCAGATACTGATGCCGGAAAAGAAGGCTGTAATCTCCAGGTCTGGGTAGCCAACCGTCCAAACATCACGTGTCAGATTTCCCTTTCTTTGCAAGGCTGCAACGGACATTTTACTTATGGTCGTTCTTTCTTTATTGTAACTGTTGTTTCTCACGGGCTTCTCTACAGTCTCATTCTGTAATCATTTGACCAATGATTCTTGTATTCGATTCAAAAATGCGGCGACCATGAAAGAGCAATGTTCGCGGCCCAATGAGGATATAGTGTGCAATCTTTTCCGCCAATGCATCTACTCGTATGTCATTAGGCCTCGTCTCTTGACCAGAATCTGGAATCTCAGGACAGGGAACCACAGATTGTGCTTTGCGGGTGTCCCAGCGCAAGCAACGAAAGGTGGAAGCATCCGCTACTTTCAGGTTGTTGACTCCGATGGCACGTGCTCTTGAATCAGTGACGGCCATTGGATCAGACAACTTACCCATCTTGCAAGTAAGGCTACATGGTAGACGGTCTACACATGCCGTCCGACCCACCGCACCCTCTGTGTATCAGTCGATATGTTCTTGCCTGGCAAGACCTCCCCGTCATCCACAATACCTTTCATTACCGAGGTGGCCCAGAACTCTCGTGCTCTTTTGCCCTTTTGATGACAACGACTACGGTCTCGAGACCGATTTGGTCGGTCACCCATCCCACATTAACCACAGGAGCATGGCCCATAGTGCTGGAGTTGAGGCAGGGGTATGATTCTCGCCGGTTCCAGGGTTTCGTAGCTTATGTTTGCTTGTAACATTCCCCATGGTTGAGGTTGAGAACATACTTGCGGTCCGGCTAGTCTGCTTGGAAAGTGGCAAGTTTATCCTTCTCGGTCACTGTGAGATTGTCATGGAAGTGTGCAGGAATCTTGCCCCAACCGAGCTAGTCGGCGTTGTTGGTGATGAGAATTCTCGTCTTGTTCAGATTGTACTGTACATCTGAGGAGCTATGTTCGCCTGGACTGGATGTTCGAGAATGGAGGTCGTAACGAGTCTGAACTTATGGGTAACGGGGAACAGGACCTGATTCCACATGTTCTGCCCAACCCCGGGGCGGTCAGCTATGGTGCTGATGTGTGCATCTGACAAATTCTTCTTGAGGGCCGACACCGCCGACCATAAGCGGCCGAGGGGACTGGAAATATCTCCCGACACTTCATCGGAATCGGCTTCGCGATTTAACACCAGTATACGGCTGTTGAAATTTCTAGAAATGTGGGTTGTAGTATGTTACCAGTTTTGCTAAGTCATTCCTTTTTTGGTGGCCACGTATTGCATCCCGTTCAGTGCTGATTGTTATTTCACTGTAGTGGGATATGGCGCTTGCTAGGTATGCACAGTTTTCTCATTGAATGCCTCTCCTCATACAATGTAAACAAAGACCATTGGCAAGCACGAGCCGTTGGTGCGACAGCAGTCAGCGGCAAGAACAAAGGTGTCTCTTTGTTCTCGAAACTTTCGAACATATTGTGCAAGAAATTCTTTATTAGAGGACCAAATTCAGTCAATGAACAAGAACCTGTTCTATAATTTTGTCTCAGGTGAGAACAGTCTGGAGGTGCAACTTGAGCTCGATCTTATATCTACACCTCAATCTTCATTTTTCTCAGTTCTGGCTCATTCACTTCGGAAATAATCATCCTGTCCTCAACCCTGAAGTTCTTCAAAATGCCAGAAAAAATCCGGGCCAAATCTTCTAGGTCTAAGGCCACAGGTCGACCCAAAGCGACAGCTCACCAGGTCAAAGCCCGAAAAGCTACAGCTCGTGGCAATCTCCACAAGAATACAAAACCACTTAGCACAGCCAAAGAACCTCAAGCCGAGGAAGAGTCCAAATCCGAAGGCGAAGAGGAAGAAGAAAGTGAAGCAAAAGCGCACAATCAACCCGAAAACCGCTTCACGAAAACAACCTGGAGCAAAGGCAAGAAAGCGCAAAAGAGAGCAGAACGCAACGCCGAGGGAAAGAATGCCAAGCGTGAGAAGAAGATCAAAGCCGAAGCCGAGGACGCAAGGGTAAGAGAGCAGAAGCTCAAAGAAGAAGCTGAGGAAGCCAGAGCAAAATCACAAGCCTACGCGCATCAGCAACGAATGTCTGCCAAGAAACGCTATGAACAGTGGGCGTCAGCTTGTACCGATTTCTTCGCCGATCCTCATGCTTCCGCGAGGAAGTTCCCAATCCCAAAGAACTTGAAGTTCTGCACAAAATTTGTCTGCATCAAAGGCGAGAAATTGGGTATCTGCCATCACCAGCTCAAGGAGCTGCTGAGAGGAAGCGGGTTATATGCAGGCTTGGCAGTAATACCTAATTTCTGGTATCGATAGGTATCGATGCCAGAATCGTAAGGTATCGATACTATCGATAAAGTATCGATTCCTATCGATTCCCGGAACCCAATTCCCCCCTTTAATTGCAATTAACTTTAGAACCACTTCCCTTATAAGAAAGCTTTTGGTAGCGCAAATATTCTACTTAATTTAGGCTTTCTATTTAGCTACTTATCTTATGGTTTAGACTAAAACTCGTCTCAATGCGGCCATTTTAAGCAAAAATAGCTTTTGAGATTTTCGTGAGGCTCGCTTATAATAAGCGTTCCGATAAGAGATACGAATACGAGGGCCATTTTAAAATTAAGATAATATTAACTTTTATTAATAATATTAAGTAATTCCTTTAATAGAAAGACTAGAAAATAAAGAAATTATATAGAAATACATTATTATATAAATTAAATAATAAATGAAAGAGATAATTTTAGGCTAAGTATCGATTTGGTATCGATACGTATCGATTCTTGCGATACCTCAGTAATACCATCCAGTATCAATACCTTATCGATACCAAAAGTATTTTTGCCAAGCCTGGTTATATGATGTAGGCTGGCTGAAGAAGGAGAGGCTGAGGTGGCATCCGGATAAGTTTCCTGGCCGTGAAGAGGTGAAGGAGTTGGCGCAGGAGATGTTCCAGATGTTCCAGAGACTGATTGATGGGGATAACATCAAGGTTGGGCCATCAATGGGTCGCTGATTTTCTGAATACATTACTCCTGTTGCCTCAGGTTCCCAGCTGGCTCAGGCTTTATTTCTGCTTTGTAGAGAATTAATGAAAAAAGTTCTTTCTATTTAATGTTATAAGTGCTATGTTTATCTAGTTGTGAGATGTGATGATAGTTGGAGGGGCTGAATAGAGAGAAGTCACCATGGGACAAGATCATCGTAGTCGGGGAGGTTTGATGCGGCGCCTTCTGGGTTCTTTTTGCCTGGGATGTTTTAACTCGAAATCGTGTCTTCAGCTTACGGAGGCGACCAGCCAATATTTGAATGAAGATATCGAGCTTGAGTAATAGCCCCTTTGCCTTTTTAAATTTTACCAGCCAGCCCAAATAAAATCACCTGAGATAATAAAAACAGTCCGAGAATGAATAGAAACCTACCCCCTTCCCCCCACCCGCCGACTGTCTCTGAGGTTCCGCTAGCTTTTCTTATAAGAAAGTCAAAAATAGCTCTATTACATAGTGAAAGGGCGTAGAATCTAGGACTCGATCCACATCAGGCCACTTAAATCTGCCTTCATTGCAAAAAAGTTTAGTCTGGACAAGGGGCTAAGGCGACCAAGTGAGCAAAAACATGGTAAATTTCCATTGGCACTTACAGCAATATTTGAGGCGTTTCGAAGGCAGCTTCGTTTCTTTGTTGACCTCCTCCCCGGCCCCGCATCACTTCAACTTTCTCGAACACAACCTCAACCTCGCCCTCCCCCTCCACAGCAACTTGACCCCTCAACAGCAAAGCCGGTTTCAAGTCTCGAAGCACCACTCTAACTCCATAACAACAAACTTGGTCTCGACTTGGAAATGCGAACTATCACGCGATTTGCCCTGACGACGGCCTTTGAGTCCATTACGAAGACGGCCAGGCTTCTTCGTCGACCTCGCCTCCACTTCACTAGCTTAACTCCTCGGCGATCAACTCGGCCTCCATTCAAGCGTCTTCACTACTATCAACACGGACACAGTGCCAATCCATACCGAGGAACGAGATTTTGAGGCGACTAGAGATCGCATCATATGCCTCCACGATGGATATCACAATGAGCCAAAGTCCGGTAGCGCCTGGTGGAAGGAGGGTAAGATTCTTTACACCGCAAGGTTCTAAAGCTCTTTCATAGCGCCACTTGAGCACTTGAGATTTATTCCTGGTTTTTCAACGATGAAAGGTGATAGTTGGAGCTTCTCAATTTATGCGAGCCCGCCTGGATTGCCAGAGTCATCGGATTCACTGCAGCGGAGCATCCGCAGCTTTGGCAAAAACTCAAACTCATGCTCCATCGGCCGACGTTGCAGAAGATTGGTGTAAGAAAGAAGCATTTGGTATTCTCGGGCTCTGCTCACCCTCAAAGAGTTCAACGCGTACTGTTGCAAACTTGCCCCACAGTGCAAAAAGTCAGGCTCTTTTCAGCCAATACTCTGGCGGGCAAGGGATTTTGATATTTTCTCTCATTTCTCGCTGAAGATTCTCAATGAGAGGATCTCCAATTGCTATGCTGTATTGCAGAGCACACACGTGATTCGGAAGCGCAAGCCGGCTTGTGAGATATGCCGAACATAGCATTTCCATGTGCGACCCGTTCAGAAGGAAAAACTGCTAGAATTAGCAACTTCTGAATGGCAGCGATAGCTTGGAGCCTGGAATCAGGGATCGGGATCCTAGGGCCACCCCGCATTCTGCAGCACAATCCGATACCCATCAGGGTCTTCAAATGTCGCCCCACAAACATCCCAATACGGGTTCTCGCTTTTTACCTTGACTCCTCCGGCATCCTCCACTCTCTTAACAGCCTTCACCCACCCTTCCTTCTCTTTCACATAGAAGACCAAAAGATGCTCTTTGGTTGGAGCGCGTTCCACAGTCATACCATGTTGATATGTGAATTCCAAATGCCAGCTGCAGTCTGGGTGGCCGAGCATCACTCCATCAAAGCCTGCATGATTCTCAAATTTTGAGAGAACAGTGAGCCCAAGTGTGGTAGTGTAGAATATGACAAGCGCTGAGAGATTGTTGGTTGGACGTGCGATGCGCAGGGTGCTGGATGGCATCTCGATGTTGGGCTGCCTTGGCCTTCTCGGCCAAGATTCAAGATTTGATAATTAGGGTATTCTTTAAAGCACAGCAGGATCTAATGAAGACTCGAAGGGGTCTTGACAGCATTTGTCAACTTGACGGTTTCAGACGTAAGTGGATGTGGTCGTGGGAATAAGGTTCACCAGGTTGAATTAAGCTGCTTAGTCAGCCGCCGAGGCAAGCTACTGGTATTTCGTAACGTCCGGTCTCGACTGTTGCTTCACGTCTTTCCGTCCTTCCGTCCTTCAAACATCCACGTTCCTAATATACGCCGTACGACCGTTAAATGGAACACGCGCCATTGTATGCATGGACAGCCCGAACAGCCTTTCGGGGAGCCTCGCCGTGCTGTCCAATTGGTGTTCCGGGAATGGGGAGGCAGCCGAAGCACTCCGGCGTTCAAGCTGACCCTGGAGCACAAATTTGAGCTGGTAAGTGCCTTCTTCTCAATTTATCTGGATTCATTCCATTGAATCGACTTCGCCCGCCATGAAAAGCCATGGATGGATTATCTGCCTTTTCAGTCGCTACGGGCGTCGCGCATTTCATCGAGTTTGGAGCCAACCTCGCGTTGAAGAACAAGGAGATCTCCCAATCTGCGAATGGTCTGCCCATCAGTAATTGGAAGCAATAATGGCAAGTGGACAACTCGCAGATTTGAGCGAGAATATCAAGGCTTTAAGACGAGTTGGGCAACCAGGAATTCGTGGTATTTCAGCAGACGAGTGCGCCCTTGAGGCCATCTGTGACGGTTGCATATCTATATCAAAGGGGCTGATAATGAAATTAGGGAAGCTGAGGGTGGGAGATGGTCGAAGATATCGGACGTTCAAGAGCTTCCGGCAAGCTCTGAAGAGTATATAGTCGAAAGAAGCTGTGGACGAGATGGCACGGCTGTTGAAGGCTTTTCAGACAGATTTGGACGCACATCTATCTCTATCACTCAAACGAGTTCTCATCGCAATCAGCCATAGGTCATGATCGTGGCTAACCAAGTTATCGTGGGAAATTCATTAACCTGACAATACTGCACGCCAAAGCTTTTGGATCACTCGACCAACAGCTCCGCCAGGGCATCAGAACAGTCCTCCCATATCTTGCCGATATCCGTAATAAAATGTTGGAAGTCGTGGTGTTACATCACAGAGGCCTGGGCCTCCATGAGCGAGAAGGATTCATCGGCAATCACAAAGATGAATTGGCTCAAGTCGCTACTTGTAGAGAAGAAGCACGTCGGAATGATGATACTCGACTCTTGCAAGTGCTTTGGTGTCTTGAAATCTCTCATCGCCACGTAGAGACCGAAGAAGCCCACAAGAAACACTTGCATGGATTCTCAAGGACAACCCCAATAAACCCTTGTGCGCTGTTCCTGCAGGCAAAGGTAGGGTTTGGCATAACTTCTCTAAATGGCTGCGAGAGCATGGGGACTTGTATTGGATGAACGGGAAGGCGGGATTAGGAAAGTCGGCACTCATACGGCACATCTGCGACAACGAAATAACTTACAAGTGTTTGAAATCTTGGGCTGGTATTTCAACACTTCGGGTTATCAACTTTCAATTTTTGGAACTGCGGGTCCCAGGAATAGCGTTCTCAGACTAGCTTGCTTCGCTTGTTGCTCTACCAAATTCTTGACGCCCGGAGGGACATGATCAGAATAGCTTTCGAGGAGGAGTGGGATCACCTTGTATCATCACAAGTCAAGAGAGTGTTTTTTTAGAAGGTCCTGGTCTTTTCCACAGCTCGAGAAGGCATATCACCTGGCTCTGCGTGTGGTTAGGTAGGAATGAGTTTGTCTGCATATTTATCGATCGTCTGGACGAATTTGAGGGCGGTCACGAACGACTTGTCACTATTTTCAAAAGAATTTCCAACCTTCCAAAGTCAAGGTTTGTCTTTCCAGTTGCCCTGGGCTTGTATTTGAGGAGCTTTTGAAGCACGAACTGGGCTTCAGCTTCAAAGACCTCACTTACGACGATACACGATTGTATGCCCGAGATAGACTCCAGGAGAAATTCAAAATGCTGGGTCTTGCAAAGTCTCAACTGCTTCATGTTGCGCAAAGCACGATTTTTAAGTCAACGACTATGCCATGAATGATTATTTAAATTATAAGCCCTTCTAGGAGTACGTAAGGGCCAGTTTCAGCCAAGGTACTCGTGGTCTAGAAGCATAGTTTTTAAGTTATTAAAAAGGGCTGAAAATAACACTTCACGTTAAGCCCAGCCCCTCGATTATTTATTAACCCGCCCTTTTCTAAATAACTTTAAGGTTATATCTCTAAAATACGTGCGCTTTATCTTAGATGAACTACAAAGTACTCTCCATAAGTTACTGAAGCAGGATTATAGTTCTATTAAGAAATCGTGGTAAAGTCGGTGATTTATTTAAAAATCACTTAAAAATCGAGGTGTAACGAGTAAGGTGGAATTAGGAGCTAAAAATACTATTATAAATAACTTTAGAACTACGTTTCTAGAACCCGTGTACCTTATCTTAAATTAGCCCTTGCCTTCTCCCCGGTATATTTCAGAAAGGCATATGATTTAATTGAGAATTAGTTACGTAGGGTCTAAGGGGTGGAGTCATGGTTTGCGTAAAACACGTTCAGTGCTCCTCGCTACGGAAAGCCGCACAGCAGGAAAAGGTGGGGTGCAGAAGGCTCCCCAAGCGTATTTTTGGCGCCAGCCAGCGCCATCTCATGGCCTACAGGCCCTCGATCAACAATAATGGCCACCTTTTCCGCACTCAACCACATGGCATCTCGATTCAAAAAGGTGAGTGCTTCAGGTCACTTCGCAGCCTGACGTAGTGAGCGAGCATGCGCTCTCCTGAGCGGTGAAACATCAAGCTTGCACTTCGAAATCCGAAATCCACTCAGCCCCTAGTAATTCCCCGCATGCACCTGTTTCCCACCTTCCCCGGCGCGCAGTCCCTTATCTCAACATCGAGGTTGGGCAGCGGCGGTAGCGTGTCGGCAACGGCCGGGTGTAAACGACCCCTGAGGATCCTAAAAGTAAGGAGGCTCGGTCGGCAGGCTGTGTTTCATTTTTCTTGCTCTGCTACTTTCCATAACATGTCTGCATAATCCTGTACTGGTGGAAATTACCTAGTGTCAGTAGCATGGCTCCCCATTCTGATCATGGGCCCGACCCAGATACGACATCGAGCACGAATGAGGTGGATATTCCAATTCTTATTGTAGGCGGGGGGCCAACGGGGTTCTTTCTTGCTCATATGCTCTCTCAATTTGGAGGTGAGGTAAAATGCAAATGCACTCTTCTTTGCTAAAACCTCGTAGTCAAATGCCTCGTAATCGAGCGTTATCCAACACGATTAGCTGCGCCCAAAGCACACGCCTTATCACCCAGAACTCTAGAAATCTGTCGACAGTTTGATCTCGATGTCAATGATGTCCGAAGGCTGGGTACCCAGAGGGATGATGCGTACTGGGTTAATTTCGTCACGAGTTTGGCAGGCTACTATGTCGGAAGTCTCCCTTACGAACGAATGGACGCGGAAGTGCTTGAACATACCTCGACGGTCAGTGCTCTTTATCCCTTAGCAAAATACGAAATTGACATAAATCTGGAAGATGATCCACAACATTCCGCAACCTACATTCGAACAATTTGTTGCTAAACGACTTGCCAGAGATGGAGTCGTGGAGATTCGGAGGAACCATTCTTTCGTAAGTTGTATGCAAGTATGTAATGCCATGCTACCATCGAAAATACGGATTAACAGAGCGAGCAGCACGGTGATCGAGTTACGACTTTGGTAGAAGATCGTGATGCTAAGAAGACATACGAGGTTTGCTCCCGGCATGTTATTGCCTGCGACGGAGCTAAAAGCAGAGTCAGAGAGACTTTGAAGATTGAGAGTGAAGGAGAGTCAACATGTGAGATTGGCAGAAAGACGTCGTCCCACATCGGCTGAACATCCAGAACAGATGACACTATGATGACCATCCACTTTAATGCGGATCTTCGCCCAGTCATAAATAAGCAAGTTGGAATGCTGCACTGGATCATGGACCCCGAGGTCTCGGGGTTCATAATTGGGTACGATCTGAGTGGAAATCAAGTCCTTATTTGTAACTTCGATGTACGTGGAGCATTGTCCTGATAATTGTTTACTTCTCACATCTGCTGTACTACAGCCAAATAAGCATCCAGCTGAGAGCTGGGATGAGCAACACTCTCGCAAAATTCTAACGGCGGCCATCGGCTGCTCCATTCCTTTCGACGTACTCAGCTGGCGCCCCTGGGTGCTGAGTCGGAAAGTCGCTGAGAGGTACAGTGTTGGAAACGTCTTCCTGTATGTACTCTCTGTTGCATCACTTAAATCTGAACTAAACTAATGCTCGTCATGATAGAGTTGGAGATGCAGCACATTCGTTTCCTCCAACAGGAGGACTTGGACTCAATTGCGGTCTAGCAGACGTCCACAACATCGCCTACAAGCTCGCCGCCATCCACCAGAAATGGGGCGGGCCGTCTCTCCTCGCAACCTACGAGTCCGACCGTCGACAAGTAGCCCTCGTCTACTCCCAGCAAAGCGTCAAGAATGGGCAGCAAATATTCGGACTCCTTAAAACCCTCGGCACAACCGATAACGACCTTGAGACTGCAAAAAGGAACCTCTTCCAACGAATCAGTGATCCCAACAGCCGCCCTGACGTTCTGAAAGGAATTGAGGGTCAGCGTGAGCACTTTGATAACCTCGGCCTGCACATTGGATATGTTTATGGCGATACTGAGATTCCCGCCAGTGCTTCTCTCTTCGTGCCTTCCTATCGCGCTGGTGCTCGCCTTCCTCACGCTTGGCTAACCAGTGCACCCTCATCCGCTAAGCTCCCGAAGTTTCCTCCAATCGACTGTTCATACGTCGACGAGCTCGATGCCTCAGCTCTAGGATACAAGCAATTCTCCACTCTGGATCTCTGCGCCTTCGATGCCTTCACACTGATTTTCTCCACGGCCTTTACGACACATTGGTCGAATGTACTTTCGGAGTTGCGACCCAATCTCCTGAAATCTGCGGGAAATGGGTTGAAGATTAATGCTGCTGCGCTTGGCGAAGATTTTGAGCTTGTGGCTGGCGCGAGGAGGAATGAGTGGGTTATGGGGTTGCAGTTGGAGCGTGGGGCCGCGGTTTTGGTGAGGCCTGATCAGCACATTTTGAATTGCTATGGGGTGGATACGCAAGTGGGCGAGATATTGAAGGGGTTGGTTACTCATTTGGGACTTTGACTCTATCTCGTATCCTCTTTGGCGGCGTGTCAGCAAGCGCAATCAACTTCATTCCTAGCACCACCCTGTTCCATAACCTTATGCGGTGAGCACCTGTTCCGGAGACTCGCAGGCTCGCAGAGACGCCGCAGGGACCCTAGAGGGTCATAGCGGGTACCGGTTACTGTCTTCCGCCCTTTGGAATAACCCAGCAGGCCGTCCGAGAACGCCACGATTCCTGTTCTTTTCTAGGCGGGGCTTGGTCCCCACGTCTCTCAATTCCTCTCAGGTTGTGACATGTTCCGAGATACTGTAGCTTGGTCATCCGCGGGAAATTGATTTTGCAGCGATGGACTTGGCTACAATTTTGACGCTCCTTTGAATTTTGAACATAGACATCATGATTTCCTAAGCATTTATATCAAGACTTTTGAAATCCCCACTTTCCCAACTCTACTTTACACCTTTTTGCCAACAGACCACCCGTTCTCTACAACACTCCGTCTTCCATATCCATCACCACCAATAGCGCGCTCCTCATCCTCCTTAACCGTGATTGCTATCGTTTTTACGATAGCCCCCGACTCTCCTTTTCCATGCACAGGAAGAATCACCTCCTCGCTACTATTATCAAACTTCGCTGTCCCTGTGCCGACGCGGGGTGTGGACGACAAGGCGTAACCTTTACCAAGGCTTCTTGAATTATACTTATTATTCATTTCGTATGAGGAGGTTGGCTTTGGAGCGCGGGCGAATAGAGGTCGGATCATAGGAATAGATGCAGCAATGATGACGAGCGTGTTTTCGACACTGTACGGGTTAGCCCACTGCGGAAGAAGGGAGAGAGAGATGTCTGCCATCGGGAGGGGGAGACATACTTAATCCAGGTAAAGAAGGGAACGGTGTTGACTGCAGAGTGTTAGGAATCTTTATGACAGGCGAATTAGGTAGAGGCTGCTTACATGTGTAGTCCGATCGCTCGCCGAGGGATTTGAGGAGGATAACTTTTACAAGGGACGCAATGAATGCGCTGCACATGTTAGTGAAGTTCCGTAAAACAATTTCACCATTGGTGTTAAAGATCAGCTTTAGGGAAGGTCCAAGAACTCACAATATGCTGAGACACATCAATGATGCCAGACCAAGCTTGACCTTTGTGGTCATTTGTAGACTCCAGAAAATGTAGCCAGGGAGAATAGTCAATGTAAGGTCAGTTGCGGCATTGCAGGCTGTTAGTGCCTCTTATTAGTAAGTCTACCCTCTTGGATGCTCAGGAAGATCTTACATCCTTGAAAGAATCCCGTGTATTCTTGGACAAGCGGACTCCAACATTTCCCCGGGAAGTTAACCGGGTCCCAGAGCGAGCGAACATCAGGGCATTGTGTGAATATGGTGATTGCCGTGACGAGATTAATGACAATAGTCTCAGTCATAAGGAAGATAATAAACCAGCGCCGGTATTTTGTTGTGCCAAACAACCGATACATTAATGCCATAAAAGAAAGTCGACCGAATGCTGAACCAGCAATACCTGTCAATAGTAGCGAGTCTGGTCAGCAATCGCCTTGTACCAATTCAAAAAATCCAAGAGTACGAAGAGCCTGCATACCTAGCGGTTCGTTGATGAACGTAAATTTTTGAGAATTGACCCTCTCGGAAGGAGTGAGGTAGAAGAAGTGCCTCCCAAAGCCATAATGATGAGCTATTGTAAGCATGACACCAGACAATATCCCAAAGAACTAAGGGCGTTAGCCGTTTCTCCCTGGGTTAATGATCACCACTCACCAGAGAAACGACCATGAGAGCGTCACCCCATCCTAACTTCCGGTTGACTGTTGCTTGAGCATAGAGTCTTAGGACAACAACAATGGTCGCAATGCTGTACAAAGTCCAACTAATCGTTAGAAATTGATGTCCTTTACGTTGTTAGCTGCTGTAACTGTTGTGGTCCTAGGTTGTTTTATGTACCAATATCAATGTCAGGACCGTCTGGCTTCGGAATAGTCGACATGATTTTGATCAGCAGTAGGAGCTATGTGCTAAGAATCTTGAGTAGAGGCAGTGAGATTGAGTAATACAACGCGATAGGAAGAAGCAAAGATGTTCATGTGCACGGGTTCAAAGGTAATCGAAGACTTCATATCTCTTCGCGAGTTCTCTTGAAACCTGGCTGCTCAGGTACAAGCACAATAACCCAGTAGGGGATATCCCCGGAGGTTTCATGCGCAGATCTGGCCGTTGGGGAGATAAGTTTCCAATCCAGCCCATGTATGCAGGAACCCAGGGAATAGAGACGGAAGCATTTGAGCAGGGTGCCCAAGAAAGACAACTTTGTCAAGAGTGACTGGTGTGATGGTACAAGGGTAGTTGGCAGGATCCCGCCACAAACCAAACTTAAACATTGAAAAATTCCAAAAAATTCAGAAACAGCGTGCCGGTTCAATACAGAGTCTCAATAACCTAGGAATTCCAGCCGGGAGGCCATAGTCCGAGATTAAAGAACATTTTCCCTTGAGGTGTAAAGGGGGCGGACTCGTCGGATTGGACTCATGTAAGGTGATCAAATGTCGCTGTGCTGTTGCCATAGAGGCTTTTACAACTAAAAGTTTCGTGCTTTCACTACTATCCCCCCCTTGAATACTTACAGTGAGTCCTTTAGTAACGCCACCCTGAAACCTCGTTTATCCGTTACGCTGCCACAGCGCCCGTGTTGGCTTGTGCGCAATTAAGCGAACTTATTTAGCAAATCATATCGTCAAATTTTTCATTCAAGGCCATTAATTGGCTGAACTTTTGCGGTATATTTGATCACAGAAACACGGGCGCTGTGGCAGCGGAACGGATAACCCCCAACTAGGAAATATCAGGTGCTCTCCAGAATCGCTATTGGCCATACACCCTTGAGTTGGTCAGTGCAGGAGTGGTGTTATCGCAGGACCCACTGTAAGTATTCAAGGGGGGGGATAGTATCCCTTCGTCCAGTGAGACATACGACGTCTCTAGGGAAAATAATGTAGCGAGACAAGGGTGTTCCGCGCTGGCACGGACCAGAAAGCAAATAATAAGAACTTTTAATTGGCTTTTACCCCTTGTCTGTGGTTCTCTCGCTACATTATTTTCCCTAGAGACGTTGTAGTTCACCCTAGCAAGGGGGCCTAGCTCAGGCCTACCTCTGCTTATAAACTTATTAGTCATCTATCGTCTTTTCACCCTGAGCCAGGCCCCCTTGCTAGCGCTGGACATGTCTCACCGGACGAAGGGATACGAAGGCAGACGGCATTAAAATTCGTCCAATTCGCTAAGCGAGCGCGGGCGCAATCCCGACCCTTGCAATAAGAATTTCTTGTAATTCCGTATCATATTTAATTATCGCAAAAATTCCACAAAAGTTAGATCTGCTTCCTTTCTATCTCGCAAAACTATTTTAAAGACTTTTAGATGTTACGTTGAGATTTGGTGTAATTTTCTAAACGTAGCGATTTTGGTGTTCCTCGCTTTTTTGCGGATGGACGGTTTTTAATGCCGCCCGCCTTCGTGATACCACAGTAACTTACCATTTTGAAAACGCCACTCTTAATGAAAACCTCCCTGCAACATGCTAGCGGGTCGTGACATGATCTTAAACCGGGGCATTTTCACGGTAGAATGTCTGTGCTCTGTGGACCCAGTGTTATTTAGGGCAAGAGAGTGAAAGGCAAAGGGTTCCAGCAACAGAACAGGAGCCCGGTGGGTTGCGGCACAAGGCTGCCCGGCCTGCAGTCCGTGCGTTTCAGCCATGATTTTAGCGACATATTGACTGGGAACTGTGCCGCTGCCACAATTCCACAAACTTGATCTTCTCGTGCTACTTTACTGTAACTCTACTTTGCAGTCCATTTGGAACACAGCCGGTTCAGGGAACGGGATCCTCCATTCCTTAGCGCTAGTTTGATCCATTCCCTCGGGACAGTCACGGATTCCCGTCTTGAAAGCATTGTTCCGACAAAGATCATGGGAAAGAAAGGGGCAACATTCTCGGCTAAACAGGTTGTCTTCAACAGGCCTGCGCGTTGTTTTCCCCCTTAGAAAAAAACTTCTGCTATCGCAGGAATCAGCAACCTTAAGCTGGTGCAGTTACATCTTGTTGCCGTGGAATATGAATAGAATCTGATTCAATACGCTACTTTTAGCGAAGGCCAAAAGCATCGCTTTAGCTCCACCGTTTGCCACGAAACATTCGAGAGGTCGTTATGGAACAACAGGGATAAGGAAAGCTCCAGGGTCAGTAACGACTTCACGGAAAGACAAGCTATGGTCACCTATGCGGCCTAACTTTGAATTTGTGCTGCCAAGATGGGTTGCAAAATACCAGGGACGGCCGCGAGGGCGTTAAACAACTGAAACGGTCGGTAGTTCAGGCTGCCTCCGGAGGGTTGCTCTCAGCTCGTTCACCCCCCGGATTGGACAGGTAGTAATCGTTCGGCGTTTCCCACCTACAATTCGCCTAGCACGCCTTGTAGGTGAGGGATAGCGATACGCAACGAACAGCGATACGCAAATTACAGGGGATATCTCTGGTGGAAGTTACTTGTATTCGGCCCCCCCCCCCCCACTTCCCGAGAATCCACATCCCGAAAACAAGAATATGTCCACCCCAACCTAATAATAAAAGTATCGCGGAGTATATATTACCATGAGAATTCGATTTGTTTCGGTATTGCCAATACGTGTAGAATGTCCTTCAACTGGTGGATCGCACGTAAGAAAGTAAATACGCAATTTTTGGCTTTAAGGGCTTTCAACGTGGCAATTGGGATTGGTTCGGAGTACATGGCCAGTTACAACAGAAATAAGCCTATGCCCTGCTCAAAATGATGCAGTCTATTGATTCCTGCTGGCGCTCGTTAGGGTATCTTCCCCGGCTCCTTCAATTCCTTCCCCGTTCCGCCCCCTACAGCGGAAACATCATTCCATGCTCCAGGCTCTGGCGAGCATCCCGGACATGGCTTTGCAGCACCTCCCTGCCCCAACAAATAGACCCTCCATCTGGCATGATGAGTGCATTTAGAGACCTTCGATCCTCAACATCCTGTACCTAGCACCCTGGTCACAGCATGGCAGATTCTGCGATCTTTTATTGCGACCCAGTGAGGTAATTGCAGCAGGACTGATTGGACGCGTCAGTGCTGCTCCGTTTGATGCACCTTCCTAGTCAATGGTTATATGCAGTTTGGGTTCTCGTGCATTCGGCTCTTTGACTTTCAATCTTCATCACTATGCTCAGTTTTGTTCCCCACACTCGTCTTTTCCACTGTGCACTACGGCGATAATCTCTTTCCAACTGCCCTTCTAGAATCCTAATCTTTTCAAAATGGCTAAAACCCCTGATTCTACGAGTAAAGAGAGTTTTGTCGAGGAGACTCGTCAACCTGCCGATCTTGAGAAAGATGCAAGTGCTGGTGGCGCTTACATCGTCGGCGAAGACACCGATGCAGATACTCGAGGACTCAAAACAACAAAGAATGGCAAGATCGTTCTGATCCCACAGCCTTCCAGTGACCCAGATGATCCACTCAACTGGTCATGGATGAAAAAGCATACTGTTTTGCTGGCTCTTCTGCTGCCATCGCTGCTCACGGATTGGGGAATGACCTGGGGCACAACCTTATTTGAACTTCAAGCGGTAACCTGGAAGATGAGCGTACCGGCCGCGGCAAGAAGTGTGAGTGGAGGCATCTTCCTCCAAGGTCCAGGTGGAGTTCTTGCTGTTCCATTTGTTCAGCGCTTTGGAAGGTAAGATGAATACCATGCCAATTATATATATATATCTTTACTGACCAGGAATAGATTGCCTGTTTTGTTTTGGTCGCAAGCTTTGGCTCTGATCATGATAATTGCGGCTACATTCTCCCCAAGCTATGCATCCTTTACAGCTTTCCGTGCTTTGCAAGGCTTCTTCGGTACTGCACCACAGGTGATCGGACTCACCATGATTCATGACATGTTCTTTTTCCATCGTGAGTAAATCTCCCCATTACTTGGCGTGAAATTGTTGACAATGGGCAGAGCATGCTGTCAAAATCAACATCTGGGCATTCTGCTTCGTTATCGGTCCATACGTCGGTCCATTCATCTCATCATGGCTTCTCATCAAGCTCGGCTGGGAAGCGGACATGGGCGTCCTGGCGGGTTTTTATGGATTCTCAACTTGTTTGGTAGTCATCCTCGGAAAGGAGACTCTCTATGACCGCGAGAACAACCGTGTCCCTACCGCCGGCGCTTCAAGGATCTCTCTTCTTACTGGAGTTGCTGGGGTCAAAGCCACGGGCATGCCAAAAATGATGGATGTATTCAAGCACTTGTTTGAGCTGTTAATCTGCCCGCAATTGCTCTTGCCGTGTCTGTTTGTCTGCATCCAGTTCATGTGGGCAATTGGAATCGGTGAGTTTATCCCTTCTCTGCATCGAGCTTTGTGAGATACATTGACGTGTTTCGAAATATGTGCTGATATCAATCATAGTTACAACCATCACTCAATTTATCAAGCCACCACCGTATTCCCTCAATGACACAGATGCATCTCTATTTTACCTTGCTCCTATCGTCGGTTCAATTGTTGGTGAACTATGGGGCCACTGGTTCAATGACTGGCTCTGCAACCGCTACATTCGCACACACAATGGCAATTACGAGCCTGAAAATCGACTCTGGGGTGCGTACCCCGGTGCCGCTCTTGCTCTTTGCTCCCTTGTCCTCTATGGACAAACTCTGCAGCACACTCTCCCAGTTGTGGGCCTTGCAGCTGCGTGGGCCATTATGGCCTTTGCGCAAGTCTCATCCACAACTGCCATCTCAGCTTATGCTCTGGACTGCTTCCCTCACCACGCTGCACTCGCCAGCTCGTGGATCAATTTCTGGAGAACTACAGGTATGTCATGACATCCCATTACATCCTAATGACGGACTGCGGACCTACGCTAACTATTGAAGGGGGCTTTTGCGTTACTTACTTCCAGACTCAGTGGGTCGCAAAGTCTGGGGCTGCAGTCACATTTGGCGTTCAAGGGGCCATTGTTGGAGCCTTCACGTTCTTTGTCATCGCGACCCAGATCTGGGGCAAGAAGTGGAGGGTCAATCACGCACCGCCCGCTGCCGAAAATTGAGTTTTCCTAGAGTCGAGACCTCTACCGGGATACTGTCACTACACTGTTTTTCTAGGTTTTGGGAGAAATTTAGTAGAGATGTCTTTTCATTTGACAACATATATAAGTAGTTACCGGTTTTTAGTCGATTCTGTTGGATCCATCCTAGTCGTACTTTGTGATGGACTTGAAATTTGATGAATACAAAGATCCCTATCATTCCGCTAGCCCCTTATAGCGTTTGTGCTTTTCAACGCAGCGGGCCTCACGCCTCTATTTTCATCTTAGTTTATATTAAGAGCGGGGCATATGTTTTAAATATTTAAAATATTTAAAATATTCTCAGATTTTTGAGCATTATTTATAGGTTCATAACTAAGTACAGTATTATAACTACACCTAATAAGGAAATGAATTCCTCCGCGGTTACTATTGTAATAAGGAAATCTGCAGGGATGCTATCAAATATCACTATATTTGCAAAGCCGCCACGAGGGTTTGCTTGAAGTCCACGATTTCAGAGATCGCACTAGGGAGTAATTGAGTACAAGTGGTCTACTTCCCTAATACAAGAGCACAAATCTATCAAAGTTGCGTACCAAAGTCAATTTCTAACGCTCCAGCCCCACTCAAGGTTACATATCTGCATCGGACTATCAGAGACTTCCTAGGTGGCGATTCTGTCCGTTGAATTCCTTGTAATCGAACTGAGTCTTTCTTACAGCTCGAAACTCATATACCAATTTTGATGGGTTATGTTGTCAATTTGAAACTGGTAGCATGCTAAAACTCGGTGTATGGCTCGCTGGAAAGGTATAACTTTCCCAACTTGGCCGTGTTTTGATTGCGGCACGCCCCTACGAATATGTCTTCCCATTTTGTGGGCCTACTAATAGCAATAGAACATTTAAAAATCATTATCCACCAAGCATGTCAGTTACTGTCTGACTGACGCAAGGTGAGGTCGTGTGCATATTATTTCAACAATTTTGCAAAGGGCGAACATCAATGGCGTTAGCAGCATTTGTGAAAGAAAGGTGATCGCTCTTCTTGTGTGCAAGTTAATTGAACGGAATCCTTCCATAGTGTCAACATATCGCTTCACATGATGTCTAAACAAGCCACCGCTTTAGTCCCGGTATGCTTACCCGACCTTACTTCAGCAGCACCGCCCCACGAGCTATACTGAAGAACACGCGAGAGTCAGTTCAACGGGAAGGTGCTCGAGATAACATCGCTACCCAAGCAGGACTACCCCTTCATCGAGACATCATGTTCAAGAAAATCATCCTTCCGAGCATGTATGTCGAAATCGATGGGAGAGTTCCAAATGCTGCGGCGTTTGGGACGGCTTGGGCAATAAAACATAATTCCAGCAATATCAAACGGTTTAGATAGAATAGTGGTTCTTCTCTGCGTTGGATGGAAATAAACTGCTGCAGTTCTTCATTATTCCTCCCGGAGGCTAACAGGATCGACTTGCGTGGGGATGATCCCTGACGGGTTGCTTCATGGGCTCAGGGCCGCGTCGCTTAATGTTAGACGAAAGAGGGGGCTGCGGCTGCCTCTTTACACCAAAGGCTTTATTCGAACTCCAAAATAAGTAAATTGAATTCGAAAGAACTTCTTGGGAGCCCTTGGAGTAATCACTGGTTCTAGAATGGGGAAATTTTCTCCGCCATAGATCTCAACTGGCACCCCGCACAGACCGTTGCTTGAAACACTGTGGGGAAAATGGAAATCACGACCCACCTACGTCGATCCTTCCTCGTCACAAATACATTGCTTACCCCACCATGTTCGTCCAATAGTTTCTCCTTCGTCTGATGTTTGACGACGCTAGTCCAGTTGAAACAAGTCATTATGCTGTTGTTGTTAAGACGGGATCACCACTGACAGGCTTCCTAACATGAGTGTCTGGGTGTCTCCCTTGGTCTAATCTTGCTAATGTATTTATTTGTTACAAGCTTAGAAGGCGAGTGGGTTCCACAGGTTCTTGGAAAGTTATAAGACTCCCATTCATCAAAGTCCTCCCTTCCACTCAAGACACTCATTCCTTTTCTGCTGGCCACCACTTTCTTTCAAATCCAACTTCATTTCCTCCCTACCGCCGTGCGGTCATTATCCTCAATCATCACCAATCAACTTCTTCATCACATTTTCAAAATGAAGTGTTCATCCTCCGTTCTTGCCGCAGCAGCCGGCATGATGGCCACCGCCTCAGCCCACGGCTTCATCACATCCCCACAAGCCCGCCTAGCAGGTTCGGCAATGAAAGCAGCATGCGGCACACAAGTCTATAACCAACAAGCATCCGATAACTACGGTAACATTCAAGGCGAACTCCAAGTCGCTGCCACACAGACCGACTACAATGCAGCTGAATGCAACATCTGGCTTTGCAAAGGTTTTAAATACTCTGACAACACCGCCAACGTACAAACCTGGACAGCTGGCCAGGTCGTAGACTTCACATTTGATGTTCGTGCCCCACATACAGGATATGCAAACGTCTCGATTGTAAACACGGCTACGAATACAATTATTGGAGATCAGTTGTTGTATTACTCCGATTTCGCAGATAATGCAAAGCCGATTCCAGCGAATGAGACGAGCTTCTCGATCACAATTCCTTCGGATCTAGGAGATAGTTGTTCGACGGCTGGGTCTTGTGTTGTTCAACATTATTGGAATGCGGCGTCGATTAACCAGACGTATGAGTCTTGTGTTGATTTTGTGGTTCGTGGACTTGGATCAGGGCCTTCCTCCAGCTATTTTACAGTGGCCACACCACTCTCTAGTTCAAGGGTTACGACTTCCACTTCTGCGCCCGTCCCAACCATCCCAATCACTTTGTCAAGTGCGGTCCCAACAACCCTTCAGACCACTGTATCTTCCGCTTCCTCCACTTCGGTTCCCGTTGCTGCTGCCGCTTCGAGCACACCTTATGACGGCGAGTATACATGCTAATGCATGGGTAGAGATTGTGTTGGGCATGATGTTGCTGCTACAGATTACTAGAATATCTGCGATGCTTTGGACTCACTTACCTTCTTTGTATATACCTTTTGACTTTGCATGCAGGCGCCTGTAAATAAACACATGCTTGATATTGGTCTAAGCACATGCCGTTCACAGTCGTGCAGAAGTCACATGATCGCTTATGAAAAGGGGTCGGCCAACAGCCCCTTTTAATTACTAGAGAAAATAGCACTGTCAGACACAAAATGTAACAAAATAAACTTGCATCATTGCTGAGGGGGGAGGGGGGCTAAGCAATTAGCCAGAAAAGTTTCACTTTCAGACCTCGAGCTCAGCCTATGCCCGTTTGGGTCAGTGCGAAATCATGACAGAACTTTCCGGATTTTTTGTCATGATAGTCACGGGCTAGAACAACCCACATAACCACAGCAAGGCACTGCAGCCTTTGCCGCGTAACTATGAATGCCAAGACGATGCTGGAGTATTTCCAGGATTCGGTATGCAATGGCTGGCCCTGGATCCGTTCTTTGAATTGACTGGGCTTCTCGTAGGTGCCGCATGTTACCTCCCTCGAGGAACCAGCTATCAAGGGAATCTTGGCGCGAATCAACATTAGCCAGTACGTAGAAGAAATGAAGGTACTGTTCTCTTGCGAAGTCACATCCTGACAATGGAGGGAGAGCTGACTGCATGATAGAGCTTCAGCAAGTCGAAGACGTGGCCTATAGATGTTGCGACCGTCTTTGGCCTGGAAGCGCTTGTTGATTATTACCATGGTAATAAGATTCGAGACATCTCCTCAAGAATCGCCAGAGAATATGTCACGGTCAGAATCGCGGTTGGCCAGTATCTTCGAAGCGCCTTGTCCACTCGAGAGGTTCCCGACGAAGCTATTGAGATATACCTCCAGGTTGCTTCGAACATTGCTAGTCGAGAAGACCCCTCAAAGTGCTCTGATGTCAAGGTAGGTGTCCTATAAGAAATAGGGTTATTACATCAGTGCGTTTTGCTAACGGCTCGAGAATAGTTGTCGCAAAAGTGTATCACTTATATCGATCTGATTGATGACGAGAATCTTGCCGCCGAGATTATTGCAAAGCGTGGTAGACGTCCTTTCACGGTCAAAGCTGGTGATACAATGGATATTGCGAAGAAGGCAGGAAGTGGATGGGGTGCACAGATCCGGGCTGACATTATGGCATGGGCAATGGACCGTGTGAATAACGGCGGAGACGATAAGTTTGGTGCTGCTATTTCCAGTCTCACCAAAGGCTTTGTCAAGGAGTTGCAGAAGGGAAACGGCTCAACAATGCTCTGGAATTTGGATTGGAACGATCACCAGGCCCGAGTCTTTTTCAACACTATCATTGATGGGTTCACTACATCTCTCAACGAGCAGGACTTGACCGGTATTCAATTCAGCAAGCTACCTGGTGACGATAATATCAGAAAGTTTTGAAATAGGATAACTTTCGAGTTTTGGAGCTGCTGGACCTTTGGGTCTGCTTGGTTAATAAAGCAAAAACGTGTTTGCTAACCAATGAGTCCATAATGTAGCTGGGGTGAAGAGATTTCCTACAATACTTCACTGTGGCGACTGCTTATTTCTTTGTTGCAGTGAGCCTTTGAATATTCTATGATACAGCCTCCCCTCATTGCGCCTCTTCATTATCCCTCCCATTCCAAATTCTCTTCGTAGAATAGTGTTCGGACAAGGAAGGACATACTTGATGCAAGGTTCCCGCAGTGAGACTGGAAAACTGGATGGAAATCCGGCGTCTTGTGTGATGTACGCAGGCGAATAAAAGTTAAATAAGCCGTGACACCTTTATTCCAAATTTATTCCAGTTGGATAACGTAGAGCGTTGCAGATTCTTAGTTAGTGATCCCAAGGGTTCTGACTGTATCTTCTCCCCGAAGGCCCAGCCGCGACAATAAGGGGCGTGATCAGACACGGCAGAAATAGGGACTAGACTTTTCGTATGCGAACTCCGCCGAAGGTGAGGAATTGAAATGGTGAGTAATCACTGCACCGTGCCTTTCAGCCTTCGGCATTTCTATGGACTGTTCGCCTAGTTAAGCAATCTAGGGGAGCCAATCCAGCAGTGCATACAGAGTGCTTACTCATGCCGAGCCATGTCCGCCGGCCGTAACCTTGATAACAGCATCATTTTGACTGCATTTAGACAGCAAACTGGAGCGAGGCTAGGCAAGATAAGGTTTCATTCCAAATAGAAATGGAAAAGCAGGACGTGGTTTCACAGCAAAGCATGTACAACGTCATTTACAACCATTAATCCCTGCTAAGAGCAAGCTTTCTTGCGAGATGCATGACAATTTGAACGAGTTGACAAGAAACGGGTTGAATGAGCTTCAGGTACATCCTGCTATATCCGTATTGCAGGGAAAGCTATATATAAGAATGAGTTGTCGTGACATGAAGGTCCTCATCCTCATCCGCTGCTACCATAAGCCAGAGAAATAAAAAGCTAAACCAACAAAATGTTTCTCCCCGTTTCCACCACCGCCGCCATCCAAGTCCTTTTCATCGCTAGTGCACTCGCAATACCAACCCATGATCACAGCAAAAGCCTCTTCAAAAGCACCGCCGGCTTCTCGAAACCAACCTTCTCCACCTCCGCCGGAGGCTACGCCACCTGTCTATCAGGCCTCATCTCCGTCCCCGTCACCGTCGTTAACGAAAAACTCCTCTTCTCCTCCCCAGCCGACCAATACGCAGTAACAGCCTCTTTCGTTCATTTCCTCCAAGCCAACAGTTCCCAAGCCCTTGAAATCGCCGGTGGGCCAGTAACCATCTCCACCACCTTCAGTATCGCAGCCAAGCTCTGCTGTCCCAAGACCTGGTCCTCCCAACCAGCTTCAACTAAGACAATTCAATTCCTCACCCATGGAATCGGATTCAATCAATCGTATTGGGACTTCGCGGAGGGTTATAGTTTTGTCGATGTAGCTGCTAAGGCGGGGTATCCGACATTCAGCCATGATAGACTGGGTGTAGGCGCGAGTGACCACCCAGATCCGATTCAGATTGTGCAGGCACCGACTCAAGTTGAGATTATTCACGAACTCGTGTCTTTCCTCCGGTCTGGCAAACTCGCTGACACCACATTCGAGAACGTTGTTGCGGTAGGACACTCCTTTGGCTCGATTCAAAGTGTTGGGGTTGCGGCGAGATATCCGAAAGATTTTGATGCATTGGTTTTGACGGGCTTCTCGACTAGTGCGGACAGTTTGGGGTTGACGTTTTCGGATTTCAATAGTGCGATTGCAAGGCTGAACCAGCCGGAGAGGTTTAAGGACTTGCCGAATGGATATTTGGTTGTGGATAATGCGATTGGGAATCAGTTTGCTTTCTTCTACTACCCGAATTTTGATATTGAAAGTAAGTTTTCTCGTTGAAAGTTATGGGGAGATGGTGCTGACCTGCAAACAGTATTTTTGAAGGATGATGCAAGCAAGCAAACGTACACATACGGTGAGATCTTCACGCTTACCTCGGTCATCGCTCCCAGTCCATCGTTCACGGGACCGGTAGATGCGGTCATCGGAGAATTCGATTACATTTTCGCACAAGGGAATGCGAGCTACTCAGCTGAGCATTATCCATTGAACCAAGCGGAGTTGGTGCAGCCTGAATTATTCCCGAATGCAAGCAAAGGATCGGAGAGCTATATTGTTCCTGGCGCTGGTCATGCGATCAATCTTCATTATTCGGCTGGGAAGATGTTTGATCAGGTTCAGGGGTTCGTGAAAAAGAATGGCTTTTGAGGAGGGGGTTGATGGTGTTTCTAGTATTAATAATCTGTCATGTATTAGTACGGTTCCCTTTCGAGAGGCGGGGGATTGATGACCCAACCTACAATTATTCTAGTCGCTCCTGTAACTTCTAATATATAGAATGTATGCCTTTCCCACCTATGAACCCTCCCATTTCCAAGCTCGTTCATCATAAGTTTGCCGCCGATACCCAGGTGGCATTGCTCAAAGCTGTCTGCACCACCTTCCCACCAGTGATATAATACAATCTCACTCGGTCTGACCACCCAATCCCAGCAATTGCCCCAGGGCCTTGTGTATCAAGCACGTCCCAATGGGGACTTTGATCTGACTTTGGTGGAAAAGCCTCTCCTGGATTACCATAAAATCCATGAATCTCTGAATCGGTCCCAATGTAATAGATTTCTAAGTATTCGGGTTCTGCTTCTTGTATCGCGGTGAGAGAAGTATTTGTTCTGTTCCACTTGGTCATTGTTGCTGTCGTGAGTTGGGATGCTAGAAATACGAGTGATTTATTCGGCAAGGAACTGAGCAATACGAGAACGTACGAGTTTGCCAGCCTGTTGTAGCTGATGCTGAATATATTGTTGGTTGAAGAGTCGACGTATAAAATGTTTATTAAAGGTGGCTTAACCATGGATCTGGTGGATAGCGAAATTGGAGACCCTCCAATAGCAACTGCTGCCGATAAGACGGCAGCCGCTTTCCATGCTTTGGTGGTGCTGACCAGCTCGAGCAGTGTGCCATTAGTCGCTTAGTAATATGCCCGCCAGGAACCACCGTCAGCCCCGAGATAGACGAGAGCGGGCGAGGAGGAAGTATGAGCCATTGTCCCTCCTGCGATTTGCGTGCTCTTGGTGGGCGTCAGACTGTTGGTACCAAGGGAGCTCGCGAAGTTGGCACAAATGATATCATTGGATGCATCCTGGTAGATGACGAGCATCTGCACCGAAAATTAGCCATGCGAATCAAGTCGTTGTGGATATATAGCTCACGTAGTTGGAATTGGCATCCAGAAAATCGGAAGCGGCCAACGCAGTTCCTATCTTTGGTGCAGTTTTAAGTGGTAAAGCCTGCGCTACAGCGAAGCTGACCTTTCCTGAGCGCGTTCGGTACGTGATGTTCAAGCCTTGTTGATAAATAGAAATGAACGTAGACCTTTACGAGCAGGGTCTTCTGCCGTAGCTGCTGCAATAGAACCGATCGAGGCGGTGGTGTCAAGTGGAGTTGCTGAAAAGGTGGAGGATGTTGGGACTGAAGAGCCTGCTGTGACGGGATTCCCGGTTTGCGAGCCTCCAGTGGCTACAGTGGCTTTCGAAGAACATCTGACGGATATCGTGGTAGCTCAGATAATCCTCAAGCAGCCTTTACTCCAATCCAAAGATCCGTGAAGGCTTTCGATAACCCAAAAACAATCCAACTTTCTGGATCATTGACTGATGAATGCTGGGGCAACAAAGACTTACTGTGAACAAGTACGCGGAGCAGAGAAGTAATCGTATCTTTCGGGGACTTTCGTGAACCCAGTGATGCACCAATTGCACCTGCTGCGACCCTAACAACGGCGATGGCAACGACACCTAACACAATAAGAAACGCCTTCTTAGACATCCTACAGTATCGCCGATGAGGTGCAAGAGGCAGGAAGGCACCCTGTTCCTGGTTGTGGGCGACCGCGTTTGGATAGGGGGTTTTGAGTGGGACAACTTTTCCAGCTACTTCTGGGTAGACATGAATCTCAGCTTGTTTCTTGTTGTCGACCAAAAACTTCTCGCTGTATGTTGGAGCGGATGATGCGCTTGTCTGAGGTCTGCTAGAGTCAAGATAGTTGTTTAGTGTGTTTTCTTGCGCAACCACCGTAAGGTACCTCTCTTCGTAGTTCAAGGGCACGATCAACAAAGCAATCCGGCCACAGGGATCATAAATACTCACGACGTGCTCCATCGAGAATCGACTGCTACTATAGCCTCGACCAACTGATTCGATGTTATCTGGTTTCCACTCTTCAGCCACCGTCAAGGTGTAGATCCTGAGATGGATCGAAGTTGAAGGGAAAATGCAGCTATTGTGGGTCTAGAATTGAAAGGTGGCCATACAGAGAAAACAGTGGGAGCATCGGTGCGGAATGATGCGTTGTTCTCTCTTTGGGGACGCGCGAAGAACCACTCGAGTTCCTTCTCGCGCTTGTGTTTGGCTCTTTTACTTTGCCCTGATTTCTGAGATGTGATGCAGACGTCCGTTTGAAGTTATTATCATCCCAATAAACTCGATGAGGCCAGAGTGAGGCGGGTCTTTGGAGTGCTGAGGAAGATGAACGAAATACAGATGACTGGTGATTGAACTGAAATGTGGAATCCTTGCACCACTATTCGCACTCGAACCGAAAAACGTTGAGCAAGTCGTATCCTTGAATCGCAGAGCGCCTGGGTACTACCCTTGGTGTGGTGAGTTGCTGCAGGTTGCGCAAGATGTAGAGAAGGAAAATAAAATGCTTACAGTGGGGTGCAATAAGTTTGCATCCTTGTCTAGCGTGCCAAGCTTTTCTAACCCAATTTGTATGGGAGAGGCTTGCCACTTTAGACAAGTAAACAAAGCGTCCTATATTAACAAATTGATCCTATTCAGAATGGTTCGACGCGAATTGAGCCCGCAGATACGCTCACGTATTTGCGAGCTATCTACATTTGGATTATCACCAAATAGGATCCTCAAGTTACACCCTGAACTCAACCTCTCTATAATCAAATCAATAATACGGCGAGAGGCCTCACGTATCGATAATGCCTCCAAATCGCGCTCTGGCAGACCACGAGCCCTTACAGAAAAGCAACGAGATCACATATACGATATAGTCAATCATACGAATCCTCATATCAAAATGAGAGACCTCCTTCGCGAAGTCGACGACGTTATTAAGAAACGATCACTGCAAGGGCTATTACGGGAGATGGGGAAGAGGAAGTGGATACAAAAGAAACGACCTATAATTACTATTGCCCATGCTCAGGCACGATTGAACTGGGCAATTCGTCATCAAGCATATATACTCCACGATTGGATGAAGGTCTCGTGGTCCGACGAGTGTATAGTTGAGAGGGGTATAGGAGTAAAGCCTACATGGACTTTTACACGCCCAAGCGATCAAATACTGGCAAGAGACGTATAACCTGTCCGTTGTACTGGTAAGGGAGTAAAGAAGATGCTTTGGGCAGCGTTTGGGCACAATCGGCGTACAGGATTAGTGCCTCTCGATGGCGATCCAGAAGCTGCTCGTGGAGGAGTTACATCTTGGGTTATACGGGCGTTATATGGGGCTTTTCTTCCGGAAATTATGGTTGATGGCGGAGAGTTTATGCACGATGGAGCTGGCCCTCATCGTGGTTTAATTATAAGGGATATCTTGAGAGAGATGGGGATTAGAGTAATGGAATGGCCACCATATTCTCCTGATTTGAACCCAATTGAGAACCTTTGGGCTTTAATGAAGGCTGAGCTATATTGATTACACCCTGAGCTTGAACATGCCCCAGATACGGAGGAGACTTTGGATGCATTAATTAGAGGAGCACAAGAGGCATGGCATAATATTGATAATGGGATCTTATATAGATTAGCTACTACGATGGATCACCGTGTATAAGCAGTGATTAATGCGGAAGGATGGTATACAAAATACTAGATCTTTGTTAATATTAAGGAGTCTTTGTTTACTGTCTAAAGTGGCAAGCCTTTCCCATACAAATTGGGTTAGAAAAGCTTGGCACGCTAGACAAGGATGCAAACTTATTGCACCCTACTGTAGAGTTCACGCGAACAGCCACCAGTCACGTGCCTCGGATTTGCCGGACTTTCTCGCATTTCACTCTTGCAACACTCCACCCTACGTCAACACTTCCCAAGAAAAGCATGGCCACAACATGTGCTAAGTATCCTAATTGCTCCACTTCTAACCCCCTCTAGCACTAACAACAGCAGTCCCATCAATTGAACGTCTTCCAATATCCTCACAATGGCCCTAACCCTCCTCTACATCCTCGACCAAGGCACTTCAGACGACCGCAACACAGCCGATGGCCGCATCTTCACCTGTCTCTCCGATGGCACGCAAGGTCGTGACCTAGTTACCGGCCTACGCAGCGCTCCTGATGGCATAGCCGTCTCCGCAGACCACAAGTATATCTTCTGGACCAACATGGGACACCCAGGTCCCGACGGCTGGACGAATACAGGAAGCATACAACGATGTGACATTGACGGGAAGAACGTTATTACGATCATAGAACCGGGGACGAAGACGCATACGCCGAAGCAGTTGACGATTGCGGAGAAAAGCAGGAAGCTGTATTGGTGTGATCGGGAAGGCATGAGAGTCATGAGGAGTGATCTTAATGGTGGGAATGTGGAGACGCTGGTGAGGAACGGGGATGTAGAGAACAAGGAGCATAGGGCAGATTATTTGAGGTGGTGTGTGGGGATACAGGTTGATGAGGAGGCCGGATATATTTACTGGACTCAAAAAGGGCCACCGAAGGGCGGAAAGGGAAAGATACTGAGGTGTCCTATTGATGGAGCTGGTACTGCTGGAGAGAACACCGAGATTCTGTTTGACCACCTTCCTGAACCCATTGATTTGTCCCTGGACCTCGCTGAGGAATGGATATATTGGACGGATCGTGGAGAGTAAGTCTCCAAAACGCTTTCTGAGGATGATTGCTGACGATATGAAGCATTCCGTTAGGCAATACGGTCAACCGATCGAAGATTCCGAAGAAAGGCGAGAAGACAAACCACGAAATACTTGTACGGAAACTTCACGAAGGAATTGGTCTCGAACTTGATATCAAGAACAGGTCTATGTATATCACCGATTTGCTGGGAGGCGTATACCGGGCCAATTTGGATGGAAGTGACGAGAAGGTCCTTATTCCAGATCTGGGGACAGTCACGGGTATTGCTATCGCATACTTGTAGCTGAAAATAGACTGTCTTTGCCGACCCCTGATTGCCAGTGCTGTCAAGCTTCATGGTCTCAGTCTGCTTGATACCTGGAGACAGCCATCCAACCTCAATTCAGCCGCATATCTTTCTTCCCTAACATGTATCCCTCTCTCTATACAATCACATTGTCCAACAGGCTGATTGTGAGTTGAGAAGCTGACTAGTTTTTGAACATGCTTCCGAGAAAACTTTTGATCATCCGCAGAAAGGAGAATGTATATCGTCAATAGTCGAGTGGCAACCATTACGTGGTTTCATGACTGCTCTTATGGCCTACGATATGTTAGATTCGTTAAGAAATGTCTTAATTACAATCGTTCTTTGATTCTTGATCAGGCCCGTTGTCCGTTGGGTATAGTCCCACCCAATCTGAAGGGAGCGGGGATGTACTCGATAATTGCCTTCCCCGCCGGGTGTTCAATATGTTCGGGCCAACAAGGTTAGGATTTTGGAATGACCGTCGAAGAAAACTTTGTGGAGGTGACTGCGCACTTTCTGGGAGCGCCTTGCATCAAATTCAGGGATGGTAACAGCGAGTGGACTCTGGACATTCACGGCGAATCTAAATACAGGGCACAATTGACGACTGGTCCTCCCCTGGACGATTCTAGGAATCCGAAGAGAAATGCCGTTGACTCCGCTTCCTGGAACCTTAGCAAGATTTGCGTAGGGCTTCCGAATCGATCACTTATCATTGTGAGGAAGAATGGCGGACAAGATTGGCATACCCTGGACAACTTCACTCAAATTTTTGCTAAAGAATTACAAAATCATGGCTTTGCGCATGCCAAGAAGCCAAATGTCAAAGATGTTGATGCGGTTCTTGAGTCTGATGCTCATACATCCATTTTAAGAAGAGCGAGATGGGTGAAGAGGCCCAATCAAGCTTATGCTAGTTTAAGTAAACCTACTCTCCTGATCACACTTCTGCCAGGCAAAGACGCCATCCCTTACCCGGAAGTCAAATGGTGGAGCGATTGCAAGCAGGCATCTCAACTGTGTGTGTTGGCCTGGACGCTCTCATCAAGGCAGCACGTCGAGATTATGGTATCTGGGGAAGTTTGTGGTGAGGTTTATCTTTTCGCAAATAATATCATATCATTTCATGCTAATGCCAGACCAGTCTGAACCTCAACTTCAAACTTGGTGGCACGAGTCATCATCTGGTGGGCAACTTGGGACTGAAAGGGACCAGGATGATTGTTGGTGCCGACCTCAGCCATTCCGGAAAGTCAATCTACCATCCCTACCCCTCAATGGCAGGCGTTGTCGCTACCTATGATCCAAACGTTATGCAATATCTTGTCTCGGTGTGACTCCAGCCTAAGAATACCGAGGTGAGTTACCTGTGATGGTGGCATGCGATGGAGGCTCCACTAACGTGACTTAGTACATCGAAGACTGGAAAGGCATGATTCGGGAGAGACTTGGAGCTTATCGGCGCAAGAACGCGAATAAGTTGCCTCAAAATATTCTTTTCTACCGAGAGTGATGGGGTGAACGAAAGTCAATCTGGAATGGTCCGAGTCGAAGAGCTGCCCCAAGTTGTTCAGGCTTGCAAAGAATCGGGCGGCGCCAACCATAACATCAAATTATGCTTGTTATCGTGGCCAAACGACACCATGGCCGCTTCTTTCCCGATGATCCCACGGGTACCTACAACCTGAGGTCCGGTCGACTGGTTGACAACGAGATCGTTGCTCCAAAGCAAGTCGTAAGTCCCGCTTTTTCGTCCCAGACCGAGAAAAGTCCTTAGACGTTCAATGAACCAACAACAACTGTTCAATAGACTCACGACCTCTGCTTCATGGGATCGCGGGCCACCTCGAGCTTGTCAATCTGCACTCCGGCTCGGTATGCCGATATCTTATGTGACCGCCTGCGATGCTACCTGACCCCAAAATTGACAGATCCAACCCATACCACTCTTGATCAGCACCGCCAGCCACCAACATATGGAGATGTCCAGACCAATTCGCTGGATATGTATGGCGGAATCCCTGGATCGACAGCAATGCTATATCTAACACCATGTTCTACCTTTGATCATTTATTGTGAGAGGAACAGCAAGGAGATTTGGACTTGGATTTGCATATTCCTGTCTTTTGAACTTGCTCTTGACTAACGGCAATGCTGTGGCTTTTCTGTTGCTTTGATTTTCTCTGGGTTGGGTACACGGTTGCTTCTTGGCATTTTTTATTTAGTACGATTGGAATTTAGATTACCCGTTCGTACCTTCCACAAGTTACCACTGGTGGTTCGTGAAAGCGACTGGGCCACACTAGCGACTGGGCCAAATCACGTGTCTATACTACTTAACTATTCAAATCCTTATTTAATAACCATAATACCACAATTTCAAGAAACTAATATTATATTCGGGCTTGCTAGAGTGTTCTTCGCAATCTGTGAACTTTTCAGAATTTTCTGAGTACTTTAAAATTTTTTTGGTATTCTAACATGGGTACGGAGTAAAAGTGGGCGGTTGAGTGGTTTGGGTGTTTGCTGGTGACTTGGAGCCCTGTAAATAGTGTGCACGTGATTTGGCCCAGTCGCTAGTGTGGCCCAGTCGCTTTCACGAACCACCAGTGGTAACTTGTGGGAGGTACGAACGGGTAGCCGGAACTGCAAATGGATTTGATAAACCAAGACGTTTCTTGTCTGATCTTGTGAGGCCCGTTTTGAGACCAGCCCCTTGGTAAAAGAAAGGGGGTATGTTTATTTTTTGCTAAATCACTCCTCTCTTGTTTCCTTCCGAATTACATTATCGAACTTCAGGCTAGTTCAACGAATTTTTAAGCTTTATTCGCCTCTGTTGCCTCTGCTCCTCCATGCTACGTCCACTAGCACTTTGTTGCCTACCATAACCCATCAACAAACCTCTATCACAAGAGCATTGCCACAACTCCAACCACGCCAATAGCAAGCAAAGCCACCGTACTCTTCTCTCTCATCTCGTTCGCGCCACCAGTGTTAATAATCGACGTGCTCGGGGTCGACGACGAGCCGGTCCCTGTCCCCGTCACGGACTCCGTCGGGGTAGGAATCGGCGTAGCCGGGGGAATCGTCTTCACAATTTTTGTAGAGGAGGCCGCCGTGGAGCAGACAGGGTTTGCAACAAGACTTGTGAGTTTGGGACAAGCAGAGACGGCGGAGTTGAGCTGCGATTTGTGGGCGCTGTAGAAGGATATTACGGCGGATTCGTAGGTGCTGAAGGCGGGGGCGATGGCGGAGGGGACTGTGAGGTGCTGGTGCGAGTATGAGGCTTAGTTATGTCTTTTTTTTTTTAATAAAAAAAGGAGTATTGTGGAGTTTGGAACACCGCAAGAACTTGAGACTTACGCAAGGATCAGTGAGCGTCGTGGCTGCAGTTTTCAGGTAGCTATAAAGATCACCTGTCGGTGTCGGGAGCCCCGTAAGCACGGTTGAGAGGCCACTGAGGACAGAATCACAGACGTTGCTGCTGTTCTTAGACGCCGTTGCGGTGGGATATGATTTGGTGACCGTGGCGGCTGATACAGATGACGAAGTTGCTCGGACTTGAAGGACTTCACGGCGCAGGGCTTCGCCGTTGAAGTAGGTGGCCGATGCCGTGGTGGCAAGAGTACCGACGATGATAGACTTGAGTGCGTGCATGTTGCTGGGAGAAATTTGGAGAATTCGCCAGCTGCTGATATAATTTGGAGAGGGATGATATTCTTAGGCTGATGCTTTTCTCTCAGTTGTAGAGGTCTTCTTCAAGGAGTCTTTGATGCGCAGGGAGAGGTACGATGCGTATTAATGACACGAGGGAAATGGGGATGAATACGACCGAACAAGAAGGCGGCGGACGCAAGGGTAGAACCAAATATATCTTAAACCTCCCGAACTAACGAGTTGTCCGAGTGGCTGCTCCATGGCTGATCAGTAGAAACTCATCAAATGAAAGCAGCTTTGATGCGCAATCGTCAGAGACAGCAGGAATTCAGGAAGACGGTGGCGTCAGCCTTGCCAGGTTGAAGCGTTGAAACTTATCCATCGGAGGGCGACAGACTCGATACGAGAACCTCCGAGACACTACAGCCACCACTATGGCGTCAGCCTCGCGCGGTCCTCAATGAGAGAAACAATTCCCCAGCATCTGGGTCGCTGAACGTAATCCACGTCTCCTTCAGCTGCGCCTTGTGACTAGCGGCTTGCATCCTTCGGCTGTGGGGGCTGGATTCGAGCAGGCCAGACAGCAGAAAGAGGTTCTACCGTAAAGCGATTGAAGATTGCCATTGGGTACGATGTTGTATTGCCGGCAAGTCCCGGTGGACATGCATGGCACTGTCTTGAGTCAATTAAAACGTAATTCTACGCGGCAGTGCAAAAACAAAAGTCAGACACAACGAAATGAACAAGAGGGAGAGAGGAAAATGGGAAAACAGAATTTAGATCTACTTGACTTCAAGGTATCCAACCACACGCCACACTTTTTCACGCCTTCAAACCTTGCTTTCCGTCACATGACTTTTCACTCCTCCCTATCCCAGCCTCCTGCACTCATATTCCCACCCACAACACCAAATGTACACCCATTGAAGAAAGACACTATAAATTAGGAAATTATCTAACTGCAACTATAATTAACTACTATCATCTCATTCATATCCTCGCCTGTTTGTCAAGTCAAGAACACACCGTCTCCCCCGACCCTCTCCCAACTCTCTCCTCCCTCTCATCATCCAATCTTCTACCTCAAAATCCCAAGTAATCCCCCAAGCAAACCCCCAAGCCCCCCATTCCCCCCACTTTGTCCAGGTGGGCTAGTCTCACGCCAGGAATCCGTTTCTTCCTCGTCTCCACTATCATGGTATGGATCTCCTCCATTGCTTCCATCATCGTATGAAGCTGGCTCGTAGCTTGAAGGTTGGGATGGGGTGTAGCTTGGTGGTTGAGTATTTGGAGGCGGAGGAGGAGGGGAATCGTAAGTTGGTGGTTGGGCATGGCTTGCTGGTGGGCTGTAGGATGGTGGTTGTGCGTTGCTCAGTGGCTGAGATGAGTTGCAGGTTGGTGGTTGTGAATAGCTGGGCGGCTGTCCATAGCTCGCTGGTGGTTGTCCATAATTTGGAGGCGGCGATGCAGGATATGGTGGCGGCAGTGTGGTTGATGAGAGTGGTGAGTAAGGAATAGTAATTGTAAGAGGGACGGTGAAGTTAATCACCGTCGAGACCGTAGATACTGAAACCACCGTAGAAATAAACGTAGAAGTGAAAAGCCGTGTGGCGGTTCTCGTGCGGGTTCTCGTCGTTTTACCACATTCTGGAACTGAATTGCTAGCCGTCGAGGCCGACACAACTGGCACCGTTGGAAAAGAGTTTCCGTGTGATGATGGTGGGCTGTGGATTGGTGGAGCTGAATACGAAGGTGGTGGGCTGTAAGGTTCTGGATTCGAGGGTGGTGGAGGAGGGGAGTGGGTTTGTGAATCAGCGGGAGGAGTGAGAACGTAGCTTTCCTGGGGAGAAAGAGGCGGACTCGAAGGATACTCATTTGCCACAGAAGGAACGTAGTTTTCTGGATTTGGGTGGGGGATAGGTTGGTTGTTGTTTTCGTGGGGACAAGGAAAAGGTGTTGGTGGTTTCGGGGTGTACGCATTCGTTGGAGGAGGGCCGTAACTCTCCGATTCGGGCAGAGGACTGGGGATGTAGCTTCCTGGTGGAAGGGAAGGACGTGTGTATGATGATGTTGGATTTGGGTTTGAGGGCGGTGGGGGAGGGTATTCGTAGCCTTGAGGAATGGCAGAAGTTAGGAGTGGGGAGAAGAGTGCAAGGAGCGAGAAAGTGAGAAAGGAGCGAGTGGAAGGCATTTTCGGCGGTGCCCGGTCGTAAGTCAATGGGAAGATCAGGGCCGGAAGCAAAGAAGGAAGGAAAAAACGACGAGGAGAAATGGATGGAAGGAGTGTGAGTGAAGGATAGACAGGGCAAGATGAGAAAACATATTGGATATATGTGTTTGCGGAATTGACCCAGCTGTGTAGGTACAATGAGATTGCATGTTACAACTGTCGCTGTTCCTGAGCGTTGCAACATGACAGAAATTCTGATCATCCGACGATCAATACAAATCTGTCAAATTCTCGTGGGGCAGGAAGCACTTGCTCATGTTGGGGAGATGGGACATGAAGGTGTACGTCGAGGTGCAACGCAAGTCTGTATGCACGACCATGAGGTGTTGCATCCGAAACCCAATAGACTCGCGATCGCCGAATGTGTACATCGAAATCATCACAAGGAACACACGAAGCAACAGAAAATCACGAAAGCAATAGTGGACAATGGTGGAGGTAGTTTTTGTATTCTGCTCTGCTCTTTCTGAAAAAGTCTTAACGCATTGTTGTAACAAAGGTACATTTTTAGAGGAAGGATTATGCCATCATCGCGTGCAATGCAAACGAAGTGTCCAGATGGAAAAGCAGACTGCTCTCATGCAAAAAAGCGAGGATTGACCTTTCGTGAAATACCAAACCAATCAAACTCCGCCAAGATCCCCGCGCGAAAGCAAAGATTCTCATTATTTGCATCTAGTCGACCTCCTCCATGGCACTCTCAGCTGGCGCATCGCCCTCGGCCTCCTCGGCCGCAGTCTCCTCAGCAGTCTCAGGCTCCTCATCAACGTTCAGGCCGAGAGAGACGAGCTTGTGGATGCGCTCGGCAAATCCGGCGGGTTCCTCGATGGTGAAGCCAGAGACAAGGAGGGATGTCTCGAAGAGGAGTTGAGTGATGGATTTGACGGTGCGGTCGTTCTCACCATCAGCCTCAACCTTCTTCTTGAGCTCCTTGATGATCGGTGATCGGGGTGAGATCTCAAAGGTCTTCTTGGAAGACATGTACGAGCTCATTGAGGTATCACGGAGAGCCTGAGCTTTCATGATGCGCTCCATGTTGGCGGACCAACCGAATTGACCAGTGCGGATAGCGCAAGGAGCACCAACCAACTTGTGGCTGACAACGACCTTCTCGACCTTGTCACCCAAGACGTTCTTAAGAGCCTTAGCGAGACCCTCGAATTCCTTCTCCTCGGCCTCACGGGTCTTCTTCTCATCCTCGGTCTCCTCGAGCTCGAAGTCCTTGGTTATGTCGACGAGCTTCTTGCCATCGAACTCCTTGAGTTGAGTCATAGCGTACTCATCAATGGGGTCAACCAGGAAGAGAACCTCGAAGTTCTTCTCCTTGAGAGAGTCAAGGAATGGTGACTTAGAGACAGCCTTGAGAGACTCGCCGGTGATGTAGTACATGTTCTTTTGGTGCTCTTGCATACGGGTAACGTAGTCAGTGAGAGAAGTCATGTCATCGCCAGATTTGGTGGAGTTGAATCGGAGGAGCTTGGCAAGAGCTTGGCGGTTTTGGGAGTCCTCGTGGATACCAAGCTTGATGTTCTTGGAAAAGGCAGAGTAGAACTTGTCGAATTGCTCCTTGTCCTCGGCGATCTCACCGAAGAGCTCAAGAACCTTCTTGACGATGTTCTTCTTGATGACCTTCATGATCTTGTTTTGTTGAAGGGTCTCACGAGACAGGTTGAGAGGAAGATCCTCAGAATCAACGACACCCTTGACGAAGCTCAACCACTCAGGAATGAGATCGGTGGCATCATCAGTGATGAAGACACGGCGAACATAGAGCTTGATGTTGTTCTTGGTCTTCTTGGTCTCGAAGAGATCGAAAGGAGCACGCTTGGGAACGAAAAGGATGGCGCGGAATTCGAGTTGGCCCTCGACGGAGAAGTGCTTGACGGCAAGGTGGTCCTCCCAATCGTTCGAAAGGGACTTGTAGAAAGAACCATACTCCTCGGCGGTGATGTCGGAAGGATTGCGAGTCCAGATTGGCTTTTGCTTGTTGAGCTCCTCCTCCTCGATCTTGGTCTCCTTGATCTTCTTGGTCTTCTTCTCCTTCTTTTCTTCCTCGTCGTCTACCTCCTCGATCTTGGGCTTCTTGTCGTCGGCCTCGTCCTCCTTGGTCTCCTCCTCCTCCTCATCAGGAACCTCCTTCTCAGTCTCTTTGGAGACGTGGAGGTAGATTGGGTATGAGATGAACTCGGAGTGCTTCTTGATGACCTCCTTGATCTTGGACTCGTTCAAGTAATCGGTTTGCTCATCCTTGAGGTGCAGAATGATCTTTGTGCCACGGCCGAGCTGCTCGCCATCGGTGTCGGGTGTGAGTGTGAAAGTTCCACCGGCGCTGGACTCCCAGATGTATTGCTCATCATCATTGTGCTTAGAGACAACGGTGACACGGTCGGCAACGAGGTATGCAGAGTAGAAACCGACACCAAATTGACCGATCATGGAAATGTCAGCGCCTGCAGTCAGGGCCTCCATGAACTGCTTGGTGCCGGATCGTGCAATCGTGCCGAGGTTGTTGACGAGATCCTGCGCATGTTAGAAGTGGTTCACTTTTCGGGTGGCAGATTACTTACAGCCTTGGTCATGCCAATACCGGTATCGCGGATTGTGAGGGTTTTGTTCTCCTTGTCGGGGATGATGTCGATGCGGAGATCCTTGCCGGTCTCCAGCTTACTTGAGTCGGAGAGGGCCTCATATCGGATCTTATCGAGGGCATCGGAGCAGTTGGAAACAAGCTCCCGCAGGAAGATCTCCTTGTTGGAGTAAACTGTGTTGATGATCAAGGAGAGAAGCTGAGAAATCTCAGCCTGGAACTCGAAGGTTTCGCCAGGCATGGTTGCGTTTGTCTCGTTTCTGGAGGAAAAAGCGTCAGCAGATGATCTTGGAGGGTATTAAGATGATTGCAAGGTGATGCAACAGTGGAGGAGAGAATTGGACAGCTTGTCAAAGCTCTCTAGATGTGAGGCTGAGCGCCAAACGGAGCTCTAGGCAGCGGGATGGGAAGATAAGGGGAGGGTTATTAAAGCTTACCTTTAGCTATTCGTGAGGTCGTAGAAGGATTGAGGTTGGGCTGCACAAGAATGAGGTAGAGGGTATCTTGTTGGTGGTATGAAGAGAAAAGGTTTGTTTGTGGAGGAAAATCGAAGAAATATAGACGACGAGAGTCGATTCTTAGCGTCGACCCCTGGCGCGATTCGATGAGTTTCCATCCTCAGAGAAAAAAATCGCCAGCCTTGAGCAACGTCAACATCAACACAGCGCCTCGCACAGCAAATTCTCCAAGTATGCCTCGCCAATTCAAAGCATTGGATCCTTTAATTATCTTCTGATGGTCAAGATAGCATTACATGCTCCCAAAAACACATTGAACATCGCCGTTTCCATGGCAATTCTGCTCTTCTTCCTGTGCCTCCAGCCACAGGACGAACCGTGCATCTTATGTCACGTGCTACGGAGAAGGCTGAAAGGCTTCCATGTTCGTCGATTGACTTAGATCCATCTAGAACATTCTTTCTTGGGTGAATGTGGGGAGAACGCCGATCTCCTTCGTCGGCGTGCGCTCTCCTCTCGGTCGATCTTGTTCACCTTCTTAAGGTGTGGATGAACATGAGTGCCCTTGATCGCCTTATCTACTGAGCTGAATGTTTCATTTTGATTGGTTGAAGTATTAAGTCTGAGTTTGCCCCCTTTCACCTCAGAATTGCGTTGTCCCTTCCCTGGCAGGTTCGCTGTATCTTCATCTTCGTGATATCAAGGTTTCCAACCTGAAAACTCCAACTCTTGCTGGCTTTTTGGCTCAAGATTCCTCCAGTTTCCATCTCCCCCAGGCTGAGACACTGAGGTTGTACAGAAATGCAGCCCGGTGCTTCGCCTTGCACCGAAAAGGGGCGAGGTGCATTTCTCGGCTCCGATGAGCAGGCATCAACGTCTTCGTGATACTCCCCATTGCGCAAGCCAGACGCGGGGATTATTTTATTAGGTCACTTCCATTTTATTATTTCTGTGTCAATTTTCAACATCGAAGGTTCGTGGTTGTACTTTCTCCGGCCATGAAGTCATGGCCACATCATGATCACATGCGGATCCTAGTTCAGCTCCGAATTGTATGAAAAAGACTCAAGGATGGATTCCCATTGTTCGTTATGCTCTGAAATCTTTTCAAGCACCTCCCTCGTGCCTTTCGGGTCTCCTTTTCCCGGTCTTAGCCGTTAGCATCAAAGCTGGGTACCCTGTCACGTGCTAAGAGCTGATAGCTTCGATGAACCGTCTTTTTAGGTCGATTGAATTGTTGCTGGATGTTGTACTAATTGATCCAGACTGTCGAATTATTTGAGCTCTGAATCTGTGGTGGTTCATTTGTGTTGAGCGTACGGGCCAGGCACGTGTTGACCAACTAAAACCCTAATTCAGCCTGAATATCAGGGAAAAGGTTCGGGAACCTCTCGCCGAAAACCTGACTACCCCGCCATACTTCGCATGGATGAATAGTTTTTCCGTCTTTCTGGCACGTCATATACCTGAGATCAACACGCCCCTTTCCAACAAAAGAGATGGTTGGTGGACGGTGCCATATCCTCCCAAGCAATTTCTCATGCGTGGTTGTACAACGGGACAAGTGTCCGCCTGCTCGGAAGGCACGTAATGCTGGGATGGGCACATATATGCCCCACATTGTCCGCGTGCTGGAGAGTAACGGATCAATGGATGTAGATTGAAAGTCTGTTGGCACTGTACCTGAACTAGAATATCAGGCTGAAAAGTTCGGCCTTTCATTCTTCCCTCCCCAATTTCCAAACTAGAAGAATTCAATTCTTTTCGCGGTCGTGGGGACACCCTGGGATTGTTTAAATGTGTTCGTTCTCCCAGATGGTAGACATTGGAGTGCTTCCCTTGCTCGTTGCTCATTGTCGTCGTGAAAATGCCTGTCTCTCGCTTCAATTGGGTTGTTGCCATTGCTGCTCTGCTTGCTATATTCAGCAGTGCTGAAGGGAAGCATCTTCGGAAACGACAGGATGGTCATTGGGTTGATACATGGGCGTCGATGCCGCAGCTCACTGAACCTGCAAATCTTCCTCCAGCACCATATGTAAGTTCGTCATGACTTCAATTGACAGGAAAAGCTGAGCGTTCATCAGAACCAAAGTGGCTCCGTCTTTGTAAACTCAACAATCCGCCAGACGATACACACCTCAATTGGCGGGGACAAGATCAGGATTCGGATTTCCAACGCATTTGGAGCCACAAATCTCCCAATCACAGCAGTGACCGTCGCTCTCCCATTCAATGGCTCTGCAGGAGTCTCTGCGATTCAAACAAATACTCTGCATACCGTTACGTTCAGCGGCAGCCCGAACTACACCGTTCCGAATGGTGCACTGGTTGTCTCTGATCCAATCAACTTTCGAGTTGCGCCAACATCTATGTTGACAGTAACGATATATTTGAAAGATGGACAAACAACGAATTTCATTACTTCGCATCCAGGAAGCAGGACCACAAGTTGGATGGCGTTTGGGAACCAGGTGTCTACAGCTAACATTACGGATTCGAACAGACAGAGCGTTCAGCATTGGTAAGCTTCCGTTTCTTTCACTTCATTTTCCTAAAAGTGAGAAGCCTGAACTCGGGTGAAATAGGTACTTCCTCTCTGCAGCCGAAGTCTATACCTCCCGGGACTACAGCTCCTTCGCCATCGTAGGTGACAGCATCACCGACGGCCGCGGCAGCGACAACGACAAAAATAACCGGTGGCCCGACCTGGTCCTTGCCCGCATGCAAGCCAACAAAGACACCTCCTCCATCGCCTTAATTAACCAAGCAGCAGGCGGAAACCGCATCCTCTACGACGGGCTCGGCCCCAACGCCCTCGGCCGAATCGACAGAGACGTGCTCTCCCACAGCGGCGTCGAATACGCCATGATATTTGAAGGCGTAAACGACATTGGGACCGGCGCCACTGACGCCGTCTCACAAAAAGTAGTCGGCGACCGTCTCATCGCGGCTTTCAAGCAGATGGTTATCAGACTCCAAGCAGCGGATATCACGGTCTTCGCGTCGACGATCACGCCGTTTAGCGCGCCGGGGTACAATGTTACGATGGAGAGTTATAGCGACCCGGAACGCGAGAAGACGAGGCAGAGGGTCAATAAATTTATTAGGGAGAGTGGGATTTTTGATGAGGTGGTTGATTTTGATAAGATGTTGAGGAATGAAACGCATCCAGAGCAACTGCAGGCTGCGTTGCAGGGAGGTGATTATTTACACCCTAATGGGGCGGGGTATAAAAAGATTTCGGATGCGTTTCCATTGGCTATCTTCTGATGGAGAGGGGGTGGAGGAGAGGCAGGATAAAGGCTAAATGCATCCCAGTTAATACTCTATATATTCGCATGCCATTTTTTTGTTCAAGAACCCAAGGCAGCCGATGCAATTGACCATAAGCAAGCCACACCCTTAAGTTTACATGATTGGTTGCCGTCAACTGAAAGTTCAGCCTCGTTGGCTGGCTTGGGCTAATTTTAGCTTTCCACCTTTTACTTTTTCGAGGCTTTAAAGTTCTCACTTCAACATGAAGATCCCTCGACCATGTTCTCTGCGTTGGCAATACGTCGCAGCACAGCTGCTGAAATAATTAACCGTACTTGTCCGTAGCCAACCTCTCTCCAGTTCTATCGCGGTGCAGGGACTTACTGAGCGAATCCGCATCACCTGGCTATTGACACTGCGCACATCGGATCTGAGCCTTGCTTCAGATGGATCCGCATGAGGTATTTTCCTCCATTTCCAGAGATCATTTGGTGAGTCTAACATAGGGAGACATTGGCACAGGATTCATCCCCCCAGGGCATTGAAAGACCAGCTCGGCAAGACGAGCCGGCCATGAATAAAGAAGAGTCGCCGATGGGTGAAGCATCACAGCAGCCTCGGGAGCAGCTCCAACCCCTCATCGAGCAAGAGCACAGCACGAATGCATTCTACTCCAATCTCAAGGATACCGATGAGATTCGCCTACTTTACCTCGAGCCCAAGACGAGCGGCGAGATCATCAACTGCGCGTTGAAGCATGCAAGGCTATCCAACCTGCCTAAGTACGAGGCTCTCTCCTACATGTGGGGTCCAAAGGATGTCCGGACAGAGCACTCGATCAGTATCGACAACTCCAACTTCTGTGTCAGAGAGAATCTTTGGCTAGCCTTGCAGCATTTGCGCCTCGAAACTGAGACCAGAGTGCTATGGATCGATGCTATTTGTGTTAACCAACATGAAACGCAGGAACGGAACCATCAAGTCTCTCAAATGGGAATTATCTTCAAACAGGCTGTCATGGTAATTGTTTGGCTTGGTGACGCCGATGATACCAGCGCGCTCGCTTTCCGATTTATATGCCTTGGTGAAGGCCGTGCGTATATTGTTCAAACAGACGATTCAGCGACGTTGCTAGAAGGAAACAACAAGCTGAAAGTTATTGAAACCATTTTCCTTAAAGACTACTGGAGGAGGTTATGGATAATTCAGGAGTTCTCGATGGCACGGGATTATATGTTGCAGTGCGGCAATAACATTTGCACCAGGTTTCGGCTTTGTTACTTTTTGGATGCAATTGGACAAATTTTGAAATATCCTCCCACAAAACCGGTTCTGTCCAAGGAAAGGGTAGAAATCGCTCGAAGAATTAGCCAGAACATTCCAGCACGACTTGTTCAACAGCGGGCCATGCGGCGAAAGGACTCCGGCAATACATTCGGTAATGATCATACATCCGAACTGGTACCTCAACCATTGTTCAACCTATACGCGGAATATAAAGCGGCAGAATGCCAGGATCCGCGAGATAAGATATTTGGTCTGCACAGTTTGGCATCTGCTTGTTGCAAGGAAGAGATTCCAGTGAACTACTCTCTATCATGGGGAGAAGTTTTCAGGACTCTTGTTCGACATCAAGTTTCTCATCCCTCGATCGCACCTAAGGGTTTGAGGAAAACTCCTCAGTCAACGGTCAAAGAATTTCAGGAAATTTACCGCGCTCTGGCAAGCATTTCTAGGGATTATGACCAAGAAAAGTCATCTGCAAAATTCACCTTCGCTATCAACAATTTCGTTGAGAGAATAGAACAAGTCAATCCCGATGACGAGAGAAAAGTACGGGGATATATCAGAGGCCGTATATATTACTCAAGTCCATTATTTTCTTCGAAGAGCGTCACGACAATGACAGTCCCGGTACCAAACATTACCTCAGGGACCGAAATACAATTGAGGCATATTTGCAGTCAATTTGAGAAAAGGGATTCCGCATTTGCTACTTGGCTTGGAAAGAAGTTAACTTTATCGTTGAGACTTCCTCGTCTGAATACTAGGGCTGCACGCCGGCATCCACATGTGTCAAGTGAACTGGATCTGGTGGATTCATTCTCCGCTCAAGATGTAGCGCTTAATCTTGACGATCCGCGCTTCACGCCACTTGAGAAGAAGATTATGCATTGCTTGGGCGTCGAGATGCCGAGGACAGCACCAGCAAATGCTACGAGGCAAAACTTCTTGAACTTATTGTACAGTGCCCACCGGGCTTCCTCACGAGAGGATGTTGTACTTGCTTTGGAAGAGACTGGGTTGATCATATTCGCGCCTCCATCCACGAAAGTTGGAGATCTGGTTTGCCAATTTCCAGATTCGGATATCCTAGCCTTGATAACTCCTAGTGATATAGGGCGTGTTTTTGGTTCCGTGAAACGAGCTGTCAATTTTCTAGCAGCACCCCCCTCTACCACAGCGGCTCTCTGTGGGAAAACGGAGAGATTCTGTGACAGAGACGAGAAACGTGGAATTTTCCTTACCTTGGAGGTGCCAGAAATAATGAGGCTCTGTAAATCATCCGAAACGCCGAATGGAAAACATAACATACCGACAGAAGGAGTTGGGGACAGAATGAGTGGGAGACAGAAGATTCTGAGCAAAGTTTTGTTGAAAGGGTTAGGAGGTTAAAGTGTTATAAGTGCTCTACGCAATGCGACTCCCGAGGCCGTCGATCCAGCCAGACTTATCACATTAATAGGATGACAGTCAATGCCGCATCTATCCTCTGAGAGACGAGAAATTTCTATATGAGAGTGGAGGGGCGTATAATGGAGAGAAATATGAACCTTCAATACACAGGCAGAGGTCGCCAAATCGGTCGCTTACAGTTATGGAGCAGGTCATCGTGCCCTTCATACCTCAATCCGTTCCCGCTCCAGTGCAGGATAGTCCGAAATCTGCCATTTCGACGTCTTGCTATCCCAACACTTCCTCTGACCAAGTCGGAAGGATGCTGCTCTCTTTGCAAACGCATGCAGGATCCATATTCCCTAATTCGATCTGGGGAGAATCAGAGACTCGAACCTCTCGCTACCACCGTGATTGGAAGTAGCTATGGGCTTCAAAATTTCTTCATGGTACCTTGACCCCTGTACCATAGCTGCTGTCCACGACGAGTTGTCTTTCTCGCGCAATGTCACAATCTCACCCGCCAAGATATAGGCCCCTATCAGACTCCATGCCACTCCGAAACCTCCTGCTGTCTGCGAGCATGCCAAATCACCAAGCGGAACTACTCTGACCTTCGGCCAGGAGCCCTTGGGAAGACGAGCCTCTATGAGCGGTGTACAATCTAGGTCGACTGCATGCGAGGCATGTCGCAACCCTTCCAAGTTCAGAACTTCTTCTTGAACATAGTCCGAACTGTAGCAATAAACTCGTGTATTGGACAAGAACAGCGACCACGCTGTCACGTTTTCGGAATCTACTCTCGCTCAAGTTCTCTCTCAACTACTCTGATGGACCCGGGGAATCTACACTTTCTTCAAAAGCTTTATAGCCCGGCTTTCCGGTGTTCAAAATCTGACCGAGCTTTCAATGATATGGCTCGGCACCAGTTCTATTGAGTTTGCAAACTTTGTCAAGCTGTTCTCCTTGCCATCCTTGCGCGTACTCTATCTGAGCGACTTCGTCTTTGATGAAGCATGCGGAAGTGATGGTGACGACAACATTATTCCTCACATCCCAATAGAGCTCAGTCAAAAATCAGGAGTCAAAAATCTCACTCTGACTCTTGCGTGCATGGAGTCAGGTCCCTTGATTGCTTTTCTTCAACTGCCAGGCGCCCTGGAGAAGTTTGCGTTCGGGTTTGTGGCTGAAGACATACCACCGCAACCCATCCTGGAGCTACCACAACCCGTCTCCAGGACAATTTTACGATCTTCTGTACCCCACCGGAATTCACTGAAAGAGATGGGTATTGTCGGGTGCAGAGATGTGCGGAATGCAGATTAAACCGCGCGCTGCGCACAGCAGGTATTGAGAGACTTTCCAGTTTTGAAAAAGCTGGGCTGTCCTGCTGAGACCCTGAACGCTCATGGGACTCGGAAGAGAGCATGTGGGCTAAGACCTCGTGGTATGGAGGCGGGATACATGAGATGCTTCCTGCGCACTTGGAGACTTTGAGGTTTATATTTACGACGATTGGTCTATTAATGAGTGGGGTTTGGATTTTTTGAGTTCGTTTGAGTGAAAATTTTGGAAGTTGTCGACACTGAGGGAGATTTGGGTGGAATACTGGGTTGCTGGAGATATGATTGATGTTGATTTGCCGCAGGACCGTCTATAAGTTATCACGGGCATGATCGAGAACTTGAAGCTTGGGGCCGGAAAGTAGGTATTGACTTGAAAGTCCGAGCGGATAAGAAAAATGAGATGAATCTGGAATGAAAGCAAATCACTCTTGGCGACTTCATGGGCAGTGGTATGTGGCAGATGCGGAATGCTGCATAAGTATGGAGCCGTGGAAGAAAACCCGTTTGTCTCCGATCAGGCGAGGCGCTCAATGATTGGGAGCAAAGTCGGCGAGCCGAATTGGTCCGTTTGCTTCTGTTGACTTTACCCTCTTTCCATTTCTTTGATTTTATCTTTTCTCCTGGCTTCTATACGCTGCGGTGGATGTATTTAGACCCAGTGCGGGCCTCCTCAATACCTTCTGAGTTCGCCATTCAACTCTCTTCAGCACACAACTTCCTCACAAGTAGGTGGGATATGCTCAATGATCTTTGCACTCTTCTAACAGCAAGCAGTCATCAACATGGAAGAACGCGGGAGATACGACGTCCAAAGCAACAGCGAGCCCAAGGGTGCTCAGCAATCCGACTTTCCACTGTACGAGTACATTCGACTGAACATTCTGCTCAACAGAGTTCCAGCAGATGATACCTTTGAGGTCTTCTACCGACAGTGCAAGCACTTGATGAAACAGATCAAGGATACTGGAGTCTTGCCCGATGACCGTACCGACAATATTATTCTCTGCATGTCGAAAAAGAGTTGGGACTTTGAGGATATATCAAATCGCTTGAGGCTTCTAGGTGGAGAGCTGACGAAGGAGAAATTGTATGAATGGCTTGTCAGCCAGGACAACGAAGAAGAGATGGACCATCACAGTAGGTGTCCCATATCCGCTACCTCAGCGCCTTCAGCTTCCTCATCTACTCCGTGCACGTCTCTACGTGGCGAGAGGCACGCTCAAGTAAGCTTTTCTCCTCCTTTTTATCTTTGTTTCTGCTGAAATCCAAAGACTTCTTCTCAAGCCACAACCGAACCGAAGCAAACGCACCCGAATATTATCTTCACGAACGAAGGTCGTCTTGCAACATGCCAAAGCATAATTCACAACACCCAGGAGAAGATAATCCACCTGCGACATGAACAGTTCAACGATATTTATATGGAGTTCAAGCAGCTGTGCGAGATCTCATACGGTGTGGCCAAGGGTGAGATGGCAAGGTTCGTTCTGCCGCTCCTCAACGCCATTCTGGCTAAGACAGGAAAGACTTCTCATCGGCTACCGCGATCCAGCACGCGCTGTGCAACTCCACGAGGCCGTATCTGCCTTCCCGTCCGAAATTCCAATACCTGGGCTAGCTAAGACCATCGAAATCTTGACAAAAGCCGGGATAGAAGTCCTCCACATCTTCCTTGACGTCGTGACCGTGTTCGGTAACTATCAGGAGAACAACCCAAGGGAGCGCGCTATGGCTCGGAGGGAAGGCGACATGATGAAGAAAGTGTACGCAGCCAAGGAAGCAGAGTGGAAGCGTTTCGATGTTCAAATTGCAGGCTTGGAATCGACCATCTCCCGCTTCGAGAAAGAAATCGAGCTCATCAAGCAGGGCAAGAAGTGGGACACGGAGGCACAAAAAGAGATGCTGGAGACTGAGAAAGAGAAGACTGAGAAGTTGATTAAGGAGATGATGAAGAAGGAGAGGGAAAAGTGCGATGCGATTGGCTGCGATTGTGTTGAGAAGGAGAGATTAGGTAATTTGATCGCTCCTGGTTTGGGCAGTAAGGCTAGGGATGATGTTGATCGGAAGAAGATTGTGGAGATTCTGAACGGTGGGGAGCCGTGGAAGGAGCAGAATAGTGACGCCTTTTTTGAGAAGTTCAAGGAGCAGCAGTTTGGAAGGAACGGACGAGGACGGCGCTATTAATAAGGGTGTGCTAGATGAATCCTGGGAGCTGTCGGCGGTTGAAGCAAACCCAATTAATTTTCCTTGAAGGAACCTAAACCACTCATTCACAACATCTTCATTCACTTTCCCTTCAAACTGTAGCAGGTCCCACCTTCTTTGTATTCTGAATAATATTGAGTTCGTGCAAGGATTTCACTAATAGAAAATAACGTGAATGTTGTTGTTGAAAGGCACGCGCCTCCATGCAATGCGACGTCATTTTTGAGCAGCCCCTTCCTTTAATTTAGCGACACTGTCCCGATAGTCAGCGTCAGTGCGGGGTCATGCGGGGTAACAAAGTGGTCTATATAGAACCTTGGCATATCTCTCCATCACAACAGAAATATCATTATATGTACAATTTTATACAGAAAACCAGCTTCCCCTACAACGCCCCCGAAAAGCTATGTACAAAAAATCTCCGCAGAACACTCTCAAGCTCAACCCAAGGGTGGAAAGGTGACGAGGTCAATCAATCCTGGTAATGCAATAAATTGTCTACAAAGGCTGGAAGAGATTGTAAGAACCCCTTCCTTTTATATGTATCTCTTCGCTTCATTCCTCGCTTCGTTCCCTCACAAGGCGTCTCGATATCATAAATTAAGCGTCCATCTAATATCAGCACTCTGCTCAAGGAGAGCAAGTATTGTACCCTCGGAGCCGCTAGTTGCGGCTAGATGCAAAGCTGTCATGCCCGAGTCATCTTTCAAGTCTAACTGTGCACCTTTTTGTAGTAAGAGTCGTACAATCTGCTCTTGTCCCTTCTCGCAAGCTAGGTGCAATGCTGTGCGACCAGAATCGTCTACCGCGTCTGGGTGGGCGCCGTGAGCTAGAAGGACATTCATGACGGAGACGTGGCCACTGAGGACGGATTGGTGGAGTGGCGTGTTGCCGCAGTTGGGAGGCATGGTGGAGAGTAAGAAGTTGGGGTCTAGGCCGGATCAGCTTGTGTATTCTGTTATTGATATTAGCACGAGTCCATCCAATTTATGAAATTAAATACCGAGACTTCAAGCTTACTTGTGGATGTGGGATCACGGGATTTGTGATCATTTTTTGGGAGTCCCCTGACTCGAGGCTCATGAAATGTGATGATGGTGTTTGACCTCCCATGCTGTAAGAAGTCTCTGGTGGGGTTGGTTCTTGGGAGTCTTTACTGTACAGTACATACTCCCGCGCATCTGGCCGGCGACTTCTTCACTTGGTGGTGATGAGGTACCAGAGTGTTCTGTTATTTGAATGGCTGAAGAGCCAGTAAGGGAGGATATATGTATGAGCCTTGCGGAATATTTCTTTATTGAAGATTATTGTCTTGAAGATAGAATAATTAGTTTTACTTATGAGGATATGGAAGAAAAATCTGAAATTCATGATTATCGTTGAGAAGGTCTTTTAGATTGTCAATTGTTAATCAACGTATATTCAAGTTGAGATCTATCCCACCTCTCTTATAACGTCATTCACCCTCCTGCACCCAAATCTCCAAAAGGCCTTACAACACGATTCTTACTACCCAAATCTTTATGACAGTTTCTACGTCATACCAGCTTTATCTACTTGACGCGGCGGAGAGTGCTTTTTGTTTCACTACCACCATCCCACAACACAACCAAGAGCTCCCCCTCTTGTTCTTGAAAACTCATCATCATTGCCAATCCCTCCAGTACCATATTCAATTCCATCTTTGGGTGCTTCATTGCCGGCATCGCAGCAGCTATGAGCTTAATGGCAGACAAGTTCCGAAACCTCGCCATAGCTTGGCTTTCTGCACCCTCCTCAATCTCCCAGCCGTTAGACCATATCCCTATCCATCTCACCCACCTGTCATCGATCTCGTGGCTTTTCAGTGCGAACGGTATCGTGACCACGGGATTCCCGTACCAGTATGGGATCGAGCTCCATCCTTTGATGTACGCAATTGCATTCACTACCTTAAAACAAATGTCTATCCCAGCCGCGGAATTCGTCATAACAGCAATGCCGCAGTCCGTATCGAGAATCGGCACAACTGCATTCCAATCTTTTGCAGCGCCAAAGTCTAGGTTTGCATAGCCAACAAGAAAACACCGCCATCCCGGCTCGTTGGATCCTCCATGACCAAAAGCAATCCCAGGTTCCCGAGGAGCAAACCATCCCATTGCCATCGTTCCAGAGATCTCCGTCAGCATTTCTTGTGCAACCTCTTTGTGAAGCAATCCAGTATGATCGTTGACCCTCAGTGATCTCTGCAAAGCACGGACGAGTTTCAGAAGGTCTGTAGGAGTAGTCCACAGTCCAGCCGCTGCTTGTTCCGGGTTTGCCCGATAGGGAACCTCGCAGGCCGTAAAGCCCGTGTACTGCGCGATAGCATAATTTTCCTCCTGGGGAATAGCGTAAAAGGATCTGTGCATGCTTAGAGGATCGAGAACCAGTTCCCTGACGAGGTCTGGGAAAGCTTGATTTGTGATGTGCTCAAGAATCAGTTGCAGGACTGTCATACCACCGCCTGAGTATGAGAATCGATGTCCTGGCAGACCCTCTAGATGCACGTGTTTGGTGTTGATCCCACCTTTACCGGCGAGTACATCCAGAGGCGATGGTATATTGCTAGTGTAGCCCGGGAACGCATGCTGGGACAGTCCGGAGGTGTGACTCATAAGCATTCTGATTGTAATCTCTCCCAAAAGATGCTTGGTTGACGGTGTTTCCAGTACTTCCATAACCGATATAGGAAGAAGTGCGGCGATTTTGTCATCGAAGCTGAGCTTTCCCTGCTGGACTAGGATTGCGGCCGAGACACAAGCTACCGGCTTTGATATGCTGCAAGCCTGGAACAAGGTGTCTTGATTGTGACCTTCCGTTGCAATACAGTGTGAAGATATTTCTGCATCATCTAGAATTCCGATTGATGTGGATGGGCTGCCTAAAGTTGCGAGAGCGGCTTCCGATGAGGCACAATTGTCAAACTGATGTTTAATGATCTCCCGAAGAAGTTCGAAAGCTTCCATTGTCGCCGTCTTTTCTGTTGAATGAAATATTGTCTGTCGAATACATTAATGATCGGCTCGTCGGTTTCGATGTAATATACCATTCTGAATAATTGTAGTGGTAATTAATGAAGACGGTGATTTGGGGAAAATGTAAAACGACCTTTATACAAAAATGGGGTAATCAGTCTAGCGTACTCCCCTCGATTCAATACGTGGAGATAGGCGGAGTCGTAGTTTTTAGTCGAATATATAATTATCGCATTATAGAAGCTATCTTTGGTCCTTATATATATATATATATCCTCATTCTTCGACTTGGAGTTTTTCTAATGGGATTTCGAGGCTTATCGTACGGCCATACAAACCCCTACCAAGTGGCGATAGCGCTAGAAAACGCGGCAGAATCGGGCTTATCAATTGAAATTGCGGACAGTGAGACGCTCGATTCGTCTGTCCGGAGGCGCTTCGGGATGTCTGCATTTGCATTTGTTAGGCAATTTGACGGATGTGGAGACTGGTGTAAATTCTGAGTACATTCTTGATTATAAAAGCGTTATAGAACTGGTTCTAACTTGGGGTTGAAAAGTCCATTTTCTTTTAGTCAAAAATCAGGCAGACATAACCTGGTGGGTCCTCATTCGCACCCCTGTAACTCACCTGGTGGAGCATACAGGTTAACCCGGTGCGCTGCTTACCGCATTCTTCGACTAAGAATAACCAGCCTGTACGTCGGTAAGTATCAAATGACTTTGATTGGAGTCGTTTGCAGCTCTTTTGAAATACCATTGGTCGGTGGTGGTGGTGGTGTATCCATCCTGCAGCCGTGATAGGTCCGGCTCCTGCGGGTGACAGGCAAGATTCTGCCTTGGGCTTTCGCAACAAGCATTAAATAGCGCATGAAGCAGAAGCTCGATATCAGTTGCCATACACGTGATTCTCCTCATTAGGTTAGCTCAGCTGCAGAGGCATATAAACCCTCCGCTGAACCACATATCTTGCACTTTAGACATCTCAATCTATATCAACTTTACCCTTATATTTTGAAACTTAATTACAGAATTCCACTCCCTTCGTACCCCCAATGAGCTCATCAGTTCTCCATCCAACCACCTAACATCCGTCTTCCCCACTCTTACGCTCTAATTGACGACATATCACTGGCCAGTAAGCGCCTCAAGGAAGGATAAGCAACCTTCAGGAACCAAGCGGCCATACAAATCCAACCGGCGTTAAGCAGCATCGCCTCTGCGACTATCTTTCGAAGGAAACGTTGTCGCCATGTGGCTTGTCAACTGTAGAACTCTTAAGCTCGAACATCCCGAAGTATGCCATTCTCTCCCATGCATGGGAGAAAGAAGAGGTCAGGTTCCAAGAGCTGGATAGTCTTGCTCTACATTACCCTACACAGTCGCCACAATTGAGGAAACTCATATACAAAACGAGACCTAAGGGCTACCACAAGATTTATGAGACCTGTCTTCGAGCCGTCAAGCGCAATCTCCAGTACGCATGGATTGGTAGGTATCCTCTAAGTTATTACTCCCACTTCCAGATTGTTTTAGGAGCTATGAGACATGAATCACTTCCTATATGATGGCTGGTCGTCTTGACTTAGATTTAGTCCTCTCAAATATCTACAAGTATCAATGCTAATTCGGAAATCTTCCGCTAGACACCTGCTGCATCAACAAGGAAAGCAGTGCGGAGCTGACGGAAAGCATCAATTCCATGTTTCAATGGTACCAAGATGCTGTAGAATGCTATGTCTTCCTCTCCGACTTGCCCGCGGGGACGACGTCCTCAGAGGGGTTTGCCGGGTGTAAATGGTTCACTCGAGGCTGGACACTGCAAGAGTTAATCGCTCCAACGACAGTCCTTTTTCATAACCAATCGTGGAAGTACCTGGGGACAAAGGAAGAGTTTTGTGATGAGATATCATTGATAACAAACATAAACAAGGAGGTTTTGGAAGGGTCTGCCCAGCTATGGAATGAGTCCGTAGCCGCCAGAATGTCATGGGCTGCGCATCGGGAGACAACACGCATCGAAGATCTTGCCTATTGTTTATTGGGCATTTTTGAGGTCAACATGGCGATGATATATGGCGAGGGGCAAAATGCGTTCCGTCGACTACAAGAGGAAATTGTTCGGCAGAGCAACGATCTTACCGTCTTTGCCTGGAATCAGGCGTCAGGAGAGGAGGCCGATTCGGGAATCTTCGCACAATCACCAACTTTATTTGGAGGGAGCGGGATTATTGAGCCTATTGATCAAGCACTATTGGACCCCGAGTTCTCTCTGACAAATAAAGGCTTGAAATTTGATAACTTTAAGCTACTCTGGACGGAGTCGAGGAAAGAAACTAGGGGTGGGGAACGAGGATGCCGGAAAACCTACGCCCTCCCGTTAGGGAATCGCAAAAAGAAGTGGATCGCAGTGCCACTTCGAAAGATTGGACCAGGTCTCTTCGTTCGGAATGGAAGCTTAATCACGATCTCCTCGAATAGTGGCGATGGAGTAGCAGTTAACTTCTATTTACACATGACTCCATCTTATTCCCACTTCTTTGAAGACTCAAGGCTAAAGGAAGCGGTGATGTTCCCCAAAGCTCAATTCAAGATCCAGGAGGTTGTCCCCAAAAGCCATTGGGAGGAGGCGAACTCGCTATTCTTTGCCCCAGTAGAGAATCTCAAGCTTGTTCTAGCCGCTTCCGGAAGTATCACTCTGGGGGGTTCGGCAGTTCAAGTTGTTGTGTGTATTGACGAGGTCGAAATCTATGTAGATGGAACTGAGTATCAAATATCAGCATCGATCAACAAAGGAGTTGTCTCTTCTATATCAAAGTATAGCATCTATTCTGTCAGCTTCGCAGTTCAGACAATTTCGCAACCGCCACCGTCCTCGCCATCGTCGGACAGGAAATCAAACCAGGATTCGGGAGTCTCGACAGTCTTCCCACGAATGCATCGTCTTTAAATCCAAAGTTCGAAGGAAACTGGATCCTCTTGACGCTCGAACCACCGAAACAGTGCTTGACCACAACCCCGCACACCCTCAACTACGTCTCGCCCAGGAAGTAGAGCATTGATTAGGAAAGCCACGCCGGATAGCTCCAGACAAGTCTTCGTTCTAACATTTGTGGTGATTTCTATGCTGTCCTTTTAACTTCCAGGTTGCCACTGACAGGACCAATCACTGCAAGGTCCACGGCCATCAGTTTACTGTCAACAAACTCCTCTCGGACCTAGCCTCCCACGGTACGCCCAAATTTACTATATGGAAAGGCGAAATTTACGACACAACAGCTGCTCTCGCCTCCCTGGTCCATGGAATGTAATCCATCCCGCGATCGTCTCCTCTGTGATCTACACGACTACTCCGTCTCAAACACTCCGTGTGCTTCGATCTGCTACCCTCAGTAACAGGCCCAAGTCACCGTCATGGGACGCCCCTACGGTAGCTATTCGACTTAGCTGGGTAGACAAGATTCCAGAGGAATTTGAAAGATGGGTGCAAGTAGACTAAGGTATATGGTGGGGATATAGGACGCTGCGCAAATTGGGAAAGCTTTGAGATTGAAACGATATGTATACAGTGCTGTTTGGTGATTGTAGATGCCGTGGAATTGAGCGAGAAGGTGGAGATGAAGCTCCAAAAATGGATTTCATGGTTGTTCAAGAATCCTGACAATGGTAGAAATTCATTTTCAGCGCAACCTTGTGACTCGAGACATCTCACATACTTCTGAAATGAATTTGAGTTTGGAAAATTGCAGGTTCTTGTTCAATTGGGCCCGGAAAGTGTTCAAGACTGCTAAGTAGCAGGAGGTGTGGCACGTGACATGTGATGGTCGTCATTACAAAACCCTGTCATATGCTGTCGCATTGACAAATGCACCCTTCTTTTCAATATGTAAAGTTGAATAGTCCAAGGATCAAGTATTAGATATGTTCTGGCACCGGCAATTCATACCTCACGGGTTTGCGCCTGACAGCGGGCTGGCTCATGACCTCCTCATGAGCGGAAGCCCGGGAGATCCCAGTATCAGTTCGATAACTCGCTCTACCACGACTTTGTGCCACAGAAACGCTCTCCGTGACAGGTGACATAGTACCCGATCTAAATCCGTCATCCGTTTCCGCAATCTCGTCCAGTCGCAGCCCCACCTCCCTTTTCCATTCCAGAGACACAATCTCAAGCACCTGAGTCAACCCGTGAGTGTCATGTTTGAATTTCGGTTCTCTTCTGACGTGGAGAGTCTTTCCCTCACGAGCTGATCGAACCTTGACATACACTCGGAACACTACCCAGTAAAGGAACGAAAACAGGACGAGGCAAACGGCTGCAGTGCCACTCGTAAACCATGGGAGCAGATTCGCCGTTCGAGATTGCTTCTTAAAAGCAGGATCGGGTACCCATATTAATATGAGGGGAAACAAACATCCAGTGAGGACGATGAGAGCAGCGGTAATGCTCAGCGCCGGGTACTTTAACTGGGATTTCTCCGCCCAGTGGAGTCTAGGGGATAAACGAAGGTATAGAAGTCCAAATGAGAGGGCGGTAAAACAAACAATATCAATGTCGTATGCAAAGACGGCTGCCAAAAAGCTTTGTGCTGGAGTGGCGGAGTATGGCGAAGGTTTTATGGCCAGAACTGGAACGATGACCAGGATTGTTGTTAGTATCCAGTGAAGAAGTAATGCGGTGGCTGGAGTCTTCTCAGAGTACATTGAAGTAATGTCGGCTTTGGGGGTGCTATTTCCGAAAAGACGGCTAAAGGAGAAGTCATAGCTTTGTGCAAAGAAAAGGGAGTATGGAAGAATTCCTTCCTTTGCAATCTCCTGCTTTACTACTCGAACATCAGCTGGTAGTGAGAGTTTGTGGCTGTGGCTTGATTACCTCGAGCAGCCGTAAAAGTAACGACAATAATATTTCCCATGGCTGAAATAGCTTTTATCACAGAGAAGAAGGTCTGCAGATGCTTGGGGTTGGTGATGGCATGCCCAAGTGTGAGTTGGAAGAAGCGTGCTCCCACATCGATTCCTCCCGGTGTGAACAATTCTTTCTTGGGAATGATTGCTGCCTATGGAGCCTCCATTAGCTTGGAAGAACCACTAAGTGGGAGTTCGATCACATACATAACTCAACATCACAACGTTGTATAGAATTATAACTGTGAGAACCCCATACCAAGACGCGCGTGGGAATGTTTTCCGTGGCTCTTTCAACTCCGATATAACCTTGCTCGTTAGCAAGAACGTAATCGTGTCTGTACCGTTTTGTTGCTTGACAGATACGTACATAGTTGATTTGATGGAACCCGCCGTGGGGGTACATGACATACAACAATGCTTCAGCGTACCTGTACGGCAATCGAGGGCTGTTCTGTGTTGAGAAGGATGTTTTGATACTGAGATTCGTGTTTGCGACGTCGCGATTAATCCAAATCAGCCCGATAATAAAGATGAAAATCAAGAGGATGAACTTCAGAGTACCCAAAACATTGTTCAAAATGATGCCCCACTTCCGAGACATGGTGTGTAGTAGGCAGGCAAATGTATTCGCAGCTAGTGCAATGGCAATAATTCGTCCCGGGGTTTGTTGTGCGTGAGCTGCATCGATAAGGTTTTGTGCTAAAGATACTGAATTTGCAGCAGTGTTCTCGAGGACCATGAAAGTTATTCCAAACAAGCAAGTTGCAAGGAAAGTTGGTTTCTTCAGAAGATAGTTGAACTGTATCGATTTAGATTAGCTTCAAATTGACGAACATCGAGGTTGCCAGAGTGCTCATACATAGTTCAGATTGTCCCCACTTCGCGGAGTGGATGTTTTCTCTCCATTTGGACCAAATGGCCAACGTGGAATGGTAAGGCCAAACTCCATATAAAGAATGACACCTGCAAGAGCAATGACTCCTCCGGATGCCCATAACAGCAGGGATATGCCTATGCTTTGAGTATTTGTGAATATGACAGACGCAGAATTAAAGATTCCGGTTCCTGCCACAAGAATTAACCAGAAGAGTCTTCCATTTCCTTGAGCCGGAGACTTACCAATCATGCGATTAGAGATCAAACATATTGTCGAAAAGTATCCAAGACGAACCGACTCTCTTGGCATTCGCGAGATGATCTTCGATGGATCCTGTTCCGCTACCTCAAGCTCAAGCAAGTCCTCAGGATCAAGGTCGGGGCTCCATTCTGGATCCTCATCTGATCCGTGATTGTTCACCGCAATCGGAGCGTTGCTCCCTGAGTAGGTCATTCTTCCATTCGATAAGATTTCTGCTGGAGATATTTCGTCTTCAAGAAAGGAATAATCCTTCGAGTGCAAAGGAGAATGGATGGCGTGGGAGAAGCAGGATCAATTCAAGAAACAGGCCGTCTAATGGTACGAGGTGGCCGTAAACCTTTTACAGTCATCTAATTAGATGCCAAGCTATTGGCAATACTTCGAATCTGAACTCGGGAGTTGATTTGTTACACTGTCTGACTTAACGACGGAGAGATCCTTTCGTGGAGCTGATAAGTATTGCCAGTGGCTCGCTGGTAGCGAGACGAACGACGCTAAGCCTGACCTCTTATCGTGCATGATTCTACCCCAGATGAGACATATTCCCGCCAAGAAGATTGCACTTGCAGTTGTCAATATAGGTCGCATAATGGACTTGCCAGCAAAGTAAACCATCTCGGTCCTTTGCCGTGACTTCAACTTGCTCAAACCCCCAAACCACCCCGTGTATCGCACATAAACTACATGTTGCAATTCTAGGAGTAAAGTCTAAGGTGACAGAAACTGATTGCATTATTTAAAGGCGTTTTTGTGGCGGTTCGATGATGCTTGGCTTCTGGATATTACCGAAGCCCTTTGCTGCGAGCGTTCGGGTTGATTTACACATGTCTTAGACGCCATCTTGCAAAAGCAAAGTGAAATTTCGGCCCAAAATGGATCCCGACAGAAAGTTTGGGCAAGATTTGGGCTCCTCCCCAAACGAAAGATCCAGCATCGGTAGTCAGGTCGGGTGCAAGAGCAAACATCGATCATCAGCGGGTACATCACAAACCACTTTGTGGTTTTGTGGTTCCTTGCTGGACCTTGCCATTTCTGTCTTTAAAAGATTTGATTCCTTCGTTCGGTAACATCCAGAATGATCCCTCTCAGTATTCAAGACGTCGTGGAGGGCATAGCAACAGCTCAATACCTCTTCAAGACTGGTTTCAGGAAAGCAAACAATGCCAGTCAGTGTCTGCCTCACACTTGAAAGAAGCGAAAATATGTCTAATATCAGCAGATCAGAAATATCGAGAGTTTGGGGAGGATATCAGGAGCCTTGCCATCAACCTAAGTCTGCTCTCCCAGGTTGTCAGGCGAGCGGAACAGCAAGCAGGGTCTTTGAAGCGGGCCAGTCGATCTACGAAACCGGGGTCAGGAGCAAACGCTGCATCCGTACAAGTCTTGGGCAATTTTAAAGAAACATTGAATGAATGCCAGAGTCTGTTGAGTGATGAGACATACTTCCAAAAGAGCGATGAATTCGTGTCGAATGTCAGCTGGTATCATCAGATTGATCCCGAGGTTCAAAAGCTGAGAGAGAAAATTGCTTTTCATAATATAAAGGTAACTACACCTCAAAAATACGCTGGGCATGATGAAATCAATTAACCACTTGGCCAGCTATCAATTTGTTTCAACACGTTGGACGCGTTGGTCTCCCATCCCATTGTTGACCCAATCCGGGAAGAACTGGAAAGTTACTGATGAACGCAGAAAAATCCTAGAAGATCGTTTCTTATTAATCGTTGATTCGACGGATGCGATATTGAATGCAGCAGAGCAATTGGGACAGCAAGTTCGAGGGGACGATGGAAGAAAAGACCACCTCCCCGTCGTGACGACAGAACCGGTGGGGATTCCCCCAGAACTGGAAGGCAGTTTCATAGCCCTTACTCAGCAGGTCTATCCTGACCTGTCCATTATTCCTTTGGATGTTGGCCTTGATGCTGCTGTCTTTTATTTCAACAGAGTCACAAAGACACCGGAGCAACTTCAGCAGAGCGAGATTAGGTACCTCGTTACCATAATCGATATCATGAAAGCGGCATGGATTCTTCGAACGGTGAAGGCAACCCACGACTACCAAATTATTGCAAACTATGCGCCACTTGATGAGTTTGAAGAACAAATAGATCGATGGGGAATGACGGTTGAGCGATTCTTTGCGAAGTTTGATGCGGAACTCTGCGAAGCAATGCGGCGTCTCCTTGGACGGCACTTACTTCCTCCACCAACACCTGACTTGCTTGAAATTTTCGAGAAGGAAAGACAAATATGGCCAGGATATACAGAGCCGGCCCCAATGAAGGAGACAGAGCTCGCAGAATTTGGGTCAAAAATATTATTCGCGTGAGCATCCCTCCCTAACCAAAGACTTTCCTCTAACACTTCCAGCAACCTGGGGTGCGCTAATCCAGGCTACACGCAGACTATGCAACTTTTCCGTCAGACTGAGAAGCGGTTCAACTTGCTTCTTGTGAAGGCATCTGGGGGAAGAGAGAAAGAAACGACGTATGCCGTGTCCCAGCTTCGGGGGTCAGGACTGACCTAGATCCAGGGATGGTTTTGATCTCGAGAAGGTACAGATAGTTCCATCTTACGCAAAGAGGACATGGACCACTCTGGCCTTAGATCCCCAAACGATGGTGTTCAAGACAGATGACATGTCACCTGTATCTCGTACACTTGCGTTTTACCAGACCAAAGGCACGTCAAATGTGCCCTCAACCGATGCGTTCAAGCTGACGTCGAATCCAGATATGTTCGAGTTCCAGTACGCCGTCACTGGGTATAAAGTGATACATGACGAGTGAGTGTGATCCTTACCGCTCATATCAGTGAAGCTGACAACCAAATAGTACTCGGGTACTTACCACATCTTATGAATCCAAACTACTCGGCGGAATGCGAAGACAGGATCTCTGCCGACTCCAGCTCTGGCTCGCACCACCACCAAATATCAACATCCAAACGTCAACGAAAGGTCCCTACTCATCGCCGAGCTCAACACCTCCTGACTCGAGAAGAGCATCACAGACGTCATTCACAAGCAGCAAGTTTGCAAGGAGGAAGTCTTCAGCATCTGCTCTGTCGATGTTTTCCTCTGGAATGCGGTCCTCGTCGTCGTCGAGGAGTTCAGTTGTTAATGATCCACCTTCGCTGCCAAACTTTGACAGTTCTGCGGGTGCTAGCAGTACGAAGGTGGCGATCTATAGCGCCCCTGTGCTACCTTGTATCGTTCTGTTCGCTCATAAAGCACCAGCGCATGATGGCGAGCGAGAAGAGACCCTGAGATCTTTCCTCGTCGTGGACAGTAAGCTGACTTCTGAGGCGCGCTTCTGCATCAAGCTAACACCAATAAAGTCAGCACAGATGTAACTGTTGAGCACGAACTCAGTGAGAGCGATGATACTCACAGTCAATCATACAGTTGTGTCATCGAGCGCAAAGGATCCTACCTCCCTGCGCGACGGTCACCAGAAACAAGCGACGCCAGTAGATGGGACCTGGCAGCTGCTGGTATGCACAAACGGCTGACAGGGACTGAAGTTCTGAAAAAGCTGAAGCATGTCATTATTCAATTTGACGCACATACAAGTAGGTGTACCCGCAATGTTTGTATAACTGAGAAACCAAGCTGACCAACAACAAGACCTCCAACAATTTATGACCAAGTTTAGCCAGGCGAAAGATCTGGCGAAGTTGAGGCTAGCACAATATGTGCAGGCCACTGGCTAAACTCGTGTCCCCATTGAAGATCGAAGTTTGTGGGGACGAGAGCCTCATGATCCGGAATTAAACTGCCACCACCTCCCCAAGGCTTCCATCTCATCATCCTAGGCCAGCACAGATGTCTCCTTCTCCAGCGTCAACCGCAGAATTGCCTGTGCTCCGAATAGCTGAAACCCCGCCTTAGGTGGCTGATACTCCATCTTCACCCCCCTACCCAAATATCCATGAGGAACGTAAAAGATATCTCCACACCCGAACTTGTACTTCTCTCTCAACGCCACCTGTGGTGTATCACTGGTAAGACTAGGATACGGCGCAATCGACAACACTAAAATCACTTTCTCAATCCTGTCAAGTTGCTCCCTCACCCCACGAAGGAAGCTGAGACTAGAACTAGCGGGGAAACGGGTGAGCTCGATTTCAACCTCAGACAACGCTGGAAACTTTGACAGCACTTCGTTCGCCGTATCACTGTGACGCACTCTCTTCTCCGCGACACCGACATATGGATCGATCGTCATCCTTGTAACGAGGTTGAACTTCTCAGATGAAGGGAACCAGACTTTAAGGAGTGACTCTGAGCCGGTGAGCCATTCTAGCTTGAAGGTTTGCTCGCGGTAGAGGATGGTTGTGCCTTCTTCGTTGAAGCGCCGCGAGCATTGGAGGATTGCGTGGTGGATCCAGCGCTTTTCGTCTTTGGGGGCGAGGAGGAGACGGTATATTTGATGCCGGATCTCTGGAGGGAGGGTGAAGAAGATGTGTATTTCTTCTGCAGTTTCCTCGGCGTTCATTGCGGCTGATCCCCAGAGGGTGCTGGATTCTGCGTTGGCTCCTCCCAAGGCACCAGTGTGAGGGGGAAAATTCGTTTAAGCCTCAGGCACGTATTTCGCTTAATTATCGCGCTAAAAAGTATTTAGCCTCGCTCCCAAGTATCTACGAGCTTCACGCTTCTCTTCTAGAATGGACGAGAGTTCTAGAAATCTCTCGGTTGTATCGTGACGTGTGTTTTACCCGGTGAATCGTTTGACCTGGTACTTGGTTCACTTCTGCCTATTTGCCCTCTGGATCTTCAACGCGAGAGACAATTAGGCTGCAGGACGCGTTGAATGTGCTCATCGCCGCCCTGTGGACCCCTCGACCGCGACTGGTTGCTCCCGTCACCTTAGTGACCAGTCACCACCCAATGACCAGTTATCGTGCGGTCGCTCATGGTGAATGGTCACTGATCTGACCCGTGAGCGACCAGAATTCTGCTTAATCACGTGTTGGGTCGTTGGACAATTTTCTGCCCAACTGCACCACCAGACTTTGAACACGAGCTCAACCTTTCAACCCTCATGACCCATAGCATGATGGCGCCGAATAAGATGATACCGTGCAAGTTCTTTGCTCGGGGATCCTGTCGAAACGAAGGCTCTTGCAACTTCATTCATGAGGGAATCATAAGCTCACCTCAAGCACCTTCAGACTCCCGCGCACAAGTTCCGTGCAGATTTTTCTCGCGCCCTGGAGGTTGTCAAAACGGCTCTTGCCCATATCTGCATGATGTAGACGGCCCTAGACTGGATATGAACACTAACCAGCATTTTGAGGTCAATGAAGAGAAGGCAAACAATTCTTCCTTCCACTCGTCTTGAAATCCGTATTGATACAATGAACAGGACCAAGAGCGCGATGATGATTTTATTCGAAATCTTTTAGGAGCATCAGTCTATTTCAATGAATTCGGTCATGTTATCAAAGTGTCTCTCCCAGCAGACTTCTCTCTTGCATGCGTTACTGGCCTTCCGCCAGGCACCACACCTGTAGCAGTAGTCGAGATCCTTCGAGCCTTAGGCTTTGACTTGAACGTCAATTGCATTCGCATCCCTGGATATGCTGCATTGTCGGAGACCAAGGCCATGGTGAAAGTGGAAGACCCGTTATTTGCCAGGAAGCTGAGCACTAGACTCAAGGAACTGAGGTCTACCCTTTGCGCAACACCAATGCCCATTGATATCAAGGGGACAAATTCCAGAAAGGTCTACATATCCTGGCATAGAGCAACTCGAAGTGCATGGGTTAATTTTGGCAATGGTGATATAGCAAACAGGGTCGCACAGAAGTTCAATGAAGGTAGGTACAAATGCTTAGGTCAAATTGTCAAATCCTCCATTGCGAGGCGAAGTCCCAGTCAAGGGAGTCGAGGGAGTCGAGGCGGCTATTCGTACAATCCTGTAGCCTGGACTATTGCATTGAGCGACGTGCCAGGCGATGCGACATCCAAAGACATCGAAGGAGCCATCACCTCTCCGCATGACAACCCACGGCACATTGAATTGGGAGTGGTTAGTTACCGAGGGTCCGAAGCGGAAGTCAGTGTTGAAGTTCGGTCGCACTTGGAGAAGCATGGCCCGCTCGAGAACTTCTATCTTGCGCCCACGTTGAAGGGAAAACGAGTGAAAGCTACGGCCTGGTTTCAGGATGAAGTCGACGCCAGGTCGGCATGCTCGCTGAATAATAGGCCACTTGGTATCCTTGGAGACGGCCAACTCACCATAACACTGGTTCATTCAGCCAAAATCAAAATTTCCACAAAAGTCTATATCGTCTCGAAGAGCAGAATCGACAAGGTAGGCAAGGTATGGAAAGAGCAGCATCTCGTGTTCCGGGTTTACCATGACACCTTACATCAGTATACAACACTGAAGGTTGAGGGCGATAACGCGAAATACTTGGTCGATGCGCGTAGAACTCTTGACGAAATTTTGAATGGGGTTGTCCTAACGGATGGCGAGAATGCGGTTTGGGATACAGCACTCAGCAGCAATGGAAGGGCGTACACGAAGCTCAAGTCAATCGCGGAGGAACTCCACGCTGTCATCATCAGAGACAAATCAATGCGGCAGCTCCGGTTCTATGGACCTCCCGAGAACTTCCGGCAAGTGGTTCGTCAAATCACCGACATGCTTAGAGAAGAATCTTCTTCGAGCTACGAAATAGATCTCCAATCCCATCAGTTCTCCTGGACTATTCATGGTGGCTTCAAGAGCATTGAACAAGCATTGGGAAGGAACGTGGCCATTTTCAACGTGGTATGGAGAAAAATTACTATCAATGGCACACAGCAGCAGTATGAAACAGCTCTGGCAATTATGGACGGCAGGCATGCTGTCCCAATCCCTTCCCTCTCGGGTGATCCTACTAGAGTTGAAGGAGACTGCCCTATCTGCTTCTGCGAAGCCGACAATCCCATCAAAACTTCGTGCAAGCACACATACTGCCTTGAGTGCTTCGAAGAATGCTGCAGATCCGCCGCATCGACCAGCCAAGACGAATTCCAGATCAAATGCCAAGGCGACGAAGGAACGTGCTCAACCGTATTCACCTTACGCGAAGTAAAGGACCATGTCTCGTCACCTGTCTTCGAAACTGTACTCAAGTCAACCTTCGAAGAGTACATCCAACGCCACCCACAGACTTTGCGTTACTGCCCAACTCCAGATTGTGGCTATGTCTACAGGTGTACTACAACCTCAAGCTCGAAGCCTCTGGTATACATGTGTCCAAAGTGTTTTGAGCCGCTCTGCACCTCGTGCCATTCGCGACACGGCAACTACACATGTGCAGAATACAAAGACATTGCATCAGGCGGATACGAGGCACTCGCAAAGTTGAAGAGAGAACTTAATATCAAAGATTGTCCTAAATGCACGACGCCGATGGAGAAGACGGAGGGATGCAATCATATGACTTGCGCAGGCTGCAAGGCGCACATCTGCTGGGTGTGTATGGCTGTCTTCGATACAAGCGAACCTTGCTATACACATATGACGAAGGTGCATGATGGTATTGGACTTGGACTTGAGGGATTTATGAATTAGGGATTGGAACAGGGGGAGGCGTTTGGCTGAATAGGATAGTTTGATCTCCAATGTTGCTGCTCTTGTGACGAGAAGCAGGGAGACTATGCATCCCACCCCCAACTTCTGTGCTCTGAGGCTCTGACGTATGCCCTTCGGTTTCGATTGTTTGAAGGTGACGTTGAGGTGAGGTCACAAACGCGTACAGGCCAGGCTTCTCATCACGATTGCTCGGTCTGTTTCGAAAAGCAAAACCCGAGCCTCGAGAAACTACGCGACTTTTTTTCTGCTTCCTGCATCATTAACAAAAGTCACAAAGTAGGTGGGGTCCATCGAATTCATCAATATCAAAAAGCACTCTCATATTTCTTATATTAAATCAATGCTTGGAAAAAATAAGCCGGCTCGCTGTCAGCGGACTTTGGTCCTTTACCATACATTAACCCATGAACAAACCAAGGCCCGACGATTATATACACAGTCTTCCTATCAATTCCCTTTAGAACCGGCCGTACAACAAGCGACATCGTCATAGCGTCGATCTGAACGAGCACATCCTCTGACTGCGTGTACGGTGGTACGAGCCCAATGTCTCCCTTTATCGTCACTAAGAATCGTGACCGCTGCAAAACATCCATGATGCCAATGTGGACCTTGATTGCCTCAAGAGTGCTCTCGCTCGCCTTCCTGTGGCCGAATTTGGACGTCGACGTTGGCCAAAGCAGCGACGTCAGTTCGTCATTGTGGTGATTGATGCAGTAATTCTCGGGAAGTAAAACAACCCCCCCCCCCCCCCCCTCCCCCCTTGTGTCGATTAGGGGTGTCGATTGGGATCATACTAACTCGTAACCTTAAGAGAGCCTGAAAATTTAGCGATTGAGTACCCGGAACTTATTTGCCTCGTACGCAATAATTGCCTCGCTTATCCTATGCCCCAAAACTAGAGCTCTTATATAAACCTATACAAGTAATTTTTTAGACATTATTAAAACTCTTATTTAGTATCCGGGGTGGTGGTAGGGGGGCTCGTGCCTGGCCTAACTGAGTGAAAGCAAATGGCGCGATCATCTGTTGGGCCTGGGCGGGCACGGGGAGTGCATGTGTAACGCGGGAAAGCATTTCTAGGCAGAAAAGAGAATGAAGATGAGAGAACTGTCATGAACTCAATGCAAAGTAGTTAAAAATTATTGAAGCGTGAAATTTAGCGACGGCTCCTTCGGATGAATGACTTTCGAAATACTCTTGCTCGCCGGTAAGCACTTGAATGAATGGTTCCCTGTTTCCAGAAGATGTCACTCATGAATAAGCGAGGAAGGGCAAAGTGGGGCGCGCCCACGTAATAAAGTTCGGTGCGACTTTCAGGCCTTTCCCTTCCTAGACGTAGGAGATGGCTTTCTATATCTCATTTGGAAAAATAAAACAGGGAAGAGAGTCTGGGGAATAATTTATGACCGCGATTGAAGTTTGACAATCAGATCATATAAAGGCTCCTACATGAGGAGTAGGCCACGAGATGTTTATGAGATAGACTAGCGGTGGGTGCTTATGATTTCCCCTATGTCTCTATATACACAAGCCTTGCTCTGTTGATTTTCACATCAAAGGGTCCAATTCTCCAAATACTATTTCGTGATTCGTCCATCATTGGTGTGGTTAAACGATCATGCAAGCCACGTCATTTATCAACTCAGAACAGCCAAGCCTTCCTCATACAACTTCGATCTTCTTGCCCCTGCCTTGGTAAAAGGCAACTCTGATTGTGTTCAAGTTCTCACCTTGGTGTCGCCTACTGTCTTCCATTATCCCGCCAATCACTCAGTGTCTTTCAAGACAAATCTAGCTTACAGAGATGTGGCTGATCGACTCTACCACTATAAGGCTGAAGTTCGTGACAAGCGCAGGCAGCAGCCCATATGCAATCCTTTCTCACACATGGAACGACAACGATGAAGTCACATTTCAAGAGTTCAATTCCCCTGATCGCGATATTGCCCATCCGAGGTTTCTCAAGATCACGGAGACTTGTCGACTGGCCCGCGGAAGGGGCATCCCGTATGCGTGGGTGGACTCCTGCTGCATCGACAAGACCAGCAGTGCCGAATTGACGGAGGCGATCAATTCAATGTTCCGATGGTATAGGGAGTCGACTATTTGTTTCACGTATCTCGCGGATCTGGCCGTGAGTTCTGAGATCGAACCCGACTTGCCAAAGTGTAAGTGGTTTACACGAGGCTGGACCTTGCAGGAGCTTGTTGCTCCAAGAAATGTCGAGTTCTACGACGAATCTTGGAATCTAATAGGTGCCAAGATTAGTTTGCTGAAACCCCTGATTGAGATAACACGGATTCAAGAGGATGTCCTTCGAGATAGTAATTCACTTCCAAACTATACAGTGGCTATGCGTATGTCTTGGGCAGCAAATCGACAGACGACCCGTGAAGAAGACTTAGCATATTGTCTTCTGGGCATCTTTGATGTCTATCTGCCTCTGATTTATGGGGAGGGGACTAATGCCTTTATCAGATTACAGGAAGCCATTGGGCAAGTAACATACGACCTATCCTTGTTTGCATGGACAGATCAGGACAGTATAGAAACAAGGCAAAGTTACCATGGCATTCTCGCTCGTTCGCCCGCAGAATTCAATGATTGCTCTTCGGTCTGGAAACCTGGTACTTGGGTCTTTCCTACACATGAATACACCATCACGAACAAGGGCGTTCGACTTACAGGCAACCTTTATGATGGCCCGAATGAAGCGGAAGATTCCCTCTTCAATCTTGAGTGTTGGGGGCCGAATGAAGCTGGGCTTGTGTTTATCCGTCTGGTACAGACGCCTAGCGGATACGTACGACATTGTGCAGATACCGTCACTTGTTTGCCGTGGAAGGATGCCGAGAAGTTACAGGGAGGTCCGCGTAAGGAGATTTATATATCCAAGACGATGACACCCACAATATCTGAAAGTCTCACCAAGCGTCTTCGTTGTGGATACTATGCAGAAATTCACAATCAGACCCGATATAGTTGTACGCTGGCTCGAAAGTTCCCTACCAGCCTTTGGAATGTGCAAAAGCAGTGTTTCATGATCGGACCCAACGAAGAGTTCACTGGTTTGCTGGAGCTATCGATTTCTGTCGACCTAGACCCTGAGGTCGAGGGTAGTCGGGAAATGCAACTATATGGAGTGTTGAAATGGCCCAGGGTATTCATTCTCCTCGATAATCTTGCTGGAGGAGGGTCAGCCCACCCCCACAAATGGCAACCTTGGGCAGTCATACTGCCCAATCGCGAGGAAAATTGCATCACAGACTGGCCCCTTGAATGCAATTTCGACATCGTATCAGCTGTACGTTCAATATACAAATATGACCCTTGGTCAACAAGTGGTGCTACCTATACACTGGTTGTTCCTACTGTGGTTCGGTGGCCACTGGATTGTGTACGAGAGCTAGTAGAAGAAAAACACACTGTAGGGCTCACGATTGTCCTCACAATTCAAAGCGACAAGAACAAAACTCCTATTGGATGTCGACTAGTAGTAAAAGTCGACCCTGTACAATGCTAGGAGTGATAATGTAGGCATCCTTCAATAATACACGTGTATACACTGATCCCATATTCGTCATTTTTCCAATGTGATATTATCGAAAATCTTATTCCATCCACTCAAATTCAGAGACGATTATCAGGGAGTCGTCAGAAGTTAGACTGGGCCAACATAAGTGATACACTGACAGAGAATTTCCTCCCCCAACCGGTGAGAATTAAATTACTAGGCCTTCTACCAACTGTGGTGGGATCAGATTCCATAGACAGTACTCGATGTGCAGCGAGCCGTTGAAGCTTGTGCGCCCATACCAAATGATTCCGGCACGAGGCATCTCGTTAAAAATATGTGAATTATAGTCGTGTGATAATTAAAGTGACCTTGTTATGTCCAGCTTCAGGGTCGCCTCGCTTAGTCTCCTCCTAAGACTTCAAAGAATCAACCTCTTATAGAGGGATTCTGGGAGAAACCTGTTGAAGGGACTTTCAAGAGTAGTAGAGTGTTATGTCCGATGCCTTTTAAAGTTTCACTCAGATTGCCTTGTAGAGATAGATCACGTATTGCTAAGGTCATTTGTCAATTGCTCTAATTTTAGCATCTCCGGGCAAACGTCAGTAATCTCGACAGCACTCCGGACCTTCTCTAGCGATAACAAACATCTCCCTTTCCACCTATCTGTACTGGCTAAGCAAATCACATACACACGTAAATTACTCTCTCTCCTTTCTCTACAACATCAACACTGCCTCATGCCCATCAAGAACGGCACACCCAACATGGTTACAGGACAGAAGACAACCAGCCACGCACCCTCAACTCAGAAGGCATCCCCCTCCCTCCACCCACCTACAACCACCTGTGCATCACGCCTCTCATTCCGGGCTCCGTTGATCTCGTCACTCTGGCCGGGCTGGCCGGCATCGATGCATCCAGCAGCGCCAACCCCAAGGCCATCCTGGAGCAAGCCCGCATGCCTATCAAAAGATCAAGACATGTCTCGCGGCCGCAAAGGCTACCCCGCGAGACATTGTCCAGGTCCGGTACTACATTGTGAAGGAGACGGGTGACCTAGACGTGGACAAACTGGATGTGTCGAGCGCGGGTGGGGAGAGGCTTGGATCGAGTTTACGGGGGGCCGGGGGGCGTAGGTCCGGTTGACCATAGCGACCAAAACCTTCTATACCTGATTTTTACCTATTTTCGCCTTGCTTTTAAGGCCGTAAAATCTATTACTTCACGCCACTAACCTTCTTTTATTAATATTACTACCTTTTATTATTAAAACACATTAGAGTTAGTACTGTAGACTGAAATCGCGCTAGGTACGTGTACTGAGCTAAGAGAGTACTGTGTTATGGGCTGAGAGATGTGCTAAATGAGTGCTATGTTCTGAGAGAGTGCTATGCTGTGCGCTAAGAGATACGCTAAATGAGTGCTGTGCGCTGAGTGAGGGCTATGTGCTAAGAGAGTACTATGCCCTAAGAGTGAGTGCCGCGTGTTATATAGGGTGTTCTATACTCGATATCCCGCTTAAATGCACGTGTACCATGCCAAATTTTTTCCTCACTCTCTCCTACTTCTAAATTAAATTATTAATTAACCACAAGACTAATTAGCCTAAAATCAAAAATAGAAATAGGTTAATAGCTAATAAATAATATCCCAAATTAATTAGATCCCTTCTCAAAAATTACCCGTAGTTTTATTATATACCCCCGGAAGCTCTATTTTACTAGTATTTCTGGCCCCCCCTTATTAATATTACTACTAATAAAGGAAACAACGTTCTTTTTAATAACTAGTGCCTTTCTAGGTTTCGCAGGAGTCTTAGTTCTCACTAGAAGAGCCTTTAAAGCCTTCTTTTCCCCAGCTTTCTTATTTTTTTGAGCTTATAATTAAGCCTTCTCTTCGATTCTTACTTTATTAATATTTCCCGCCCTTATAGCCGCCTATAAAGTATTCGCTGCCTTCTTAGTATTCTCTTTTTACTTTTTAAGAGCTTGAGTAGTCTTTTTAGTATTAATTCGTTCTTGTTCTAACTTTGCAAAAGCTTCTTTTTTAGTAAAAAGCTCCTATATTTATTAAATATTCTTTATTAAGAAAAGTATAGGCTTTATATACTCCTCTCTCAAGACATTTAGCCGCTTCCTATAAAACTTACTTTTTTTTAATTCTTTAATATCTTAATTAACTCTTTCTTTATATATCTATTAAATATAGCTTATATAATAAGTTCTTTATTAGCTCTAAAAAGCTTTTTAAGTTTTATTTAGAACGGATTTTTATAAAAATCGGCTTGGAAATATTAAATCGATTTTATAGATTATAGAGTTTTTAATTATTAAATTAATAAAAGAGCAAGTTAAATAAGTATTAGAAAAGTAATTAAATAAATAATAACCTTAAGAATAAATATAGGATTATATAACTAAATATTAGGCTTTATAAATGTCTTTTAAATATTTTCTATTATAAAAGTATTATTTCAAATAAAATAAAATAGCTTTAGGAATTATTTCTTTTTTATTAATATATATTTAAGGCTTTAGACTTATTATTTATTTAGTTCTTTCGAATATATAAGTAATAAAAGACTAAAAAGAACTATATTAAGAAATTAAAATTAATATATTAAATAAAGAGATAAAACAAAAATAATAATATAAAGATTCTAGTATTTATTAATAAATATTATATTAATATAATTTAAATAGCTATTAATAATTAAAAGATATTTTATATAAAAAAAAGAATTATATAACTAGATTAAAGACTTTAATAAGCTATTAAAGCTCTTATATATTACTATTTTATTTATTATTTAATATATTAAAAAAAGTTATTTTACTTTTATAAATCTTATATTTAGGTATTTTATAAATTAAATAATCTACTAGTATATAATAAAGTTATAGGAATTCTTTTACTAATTATAGAAATATATATTAAATAAGTAATAAATTCTCGATTTCTATTATAAATAGCTTATATAACTTTTTCTAATTTATATATTTTCTTAAATATAATTTTCTTTATTCTTATATTATTCTAATTAAAAAGCTTTATTTATTTTAATTATATATATTATTAATAGTAATATAATTATATTTAATAATCTAAAGTAACTAGAATAAAATATATATTAATAAATAATTCTTATAAAATATAAAAAAGAAATATAAAAGGAAATTTAACTAAATTAAAAAATAGTTTATAAATAAAGCTATATTTGCCTTTAATATATTAATTCTCGATATTATATAAATATAAGCTTTTTAGCTTACTTTAATACTATTAGCAAAATTAAAAAACCTAATTCTTTTCTATAATATATCTAATTATTTTTTCTATAAAGTTCTTAATTATTTAATTAATTAGAAGAATCCCATATTTAGTAAAATAATTAATTTAATTAATTAGAATATATTCTTAAGTATTAATAAGGTATTAATGAATCTGGAACTGGAATTCTACTTATAAGATAATTAGTTTTTTAGTATATTAAAAAAGTATAAATTATATTAATTTATATTTCTAGCTATTATAATATAATTAGAAGCTTTAAAGCTTTCGATTTTAATTAGAGCCTTTTATATATCTTCTTTATTAATTATTTTATAAGTATTTAAAAAGAAGAAGTAATTTTTTTAAAAGATATATATTTAAATAAGAAATCGAATATATTTTAAGAATATTATATATTTAGTAATTATATCTTTAATAAATATAAGACTAATTTATAAAAGTATTTTAAGTACTATATAATATATATAATATATTATAATAGAAATAAAATAATATTATAAAAATTTCTATAAAAGATTATAATTAATTTAGTTAATTATAATAAGCCGCCTAATATAATTATAGGTAAAATATCTTTAATAACTATTAAATTAGTAATATATTAGCTTACTATTCTTTTAATATTAGATTTAATTACTAATTTAGTACTTTTTACTTTTATTTATAATATATTATTTATAGAGCTTATTAAGCTTACTAATATACTATTATTTTAATTATTTGTTTTATTAACTAATTTATAATATATTAAAAAAAGTATATTATAATAAAATAATATATAAATAAATAATAGGAAAAGGAAATATAATATAAATAACTAAAGCTTAAATATAGTAAATATAATTATATAAACTAGTATATAACTACTAGTATATAGTTACTATATAATATATTTCATATATCTAAAAAAATATTAATTTAATTATATATATAAATATAATAATAAATAATAGTAAAGGAACTTTAAATTAGATAGAACTATATATATAAATAGAAGTATTTTAGTTACGAGTAATTTTTTAATAAATATTTTATATATTAGTACTAGTATATATAAATCTTATAGCCTTTTATAAATACTAGCTATAAGTTAATTTAGTAATATTATAATATCTATTATTATTTTTATAAAATTAAAATTACTAAATCGCGATTTCTTTTGGCTATATTTATATAAGAAATATATCTAATTATAGCCAAATAAATAAATCTCATATATTATAATTAAATGCTCTAATAATATTTCTCGGTTCTTATTAATTTAAACTATTCCCGATTTCTTTTATCTTTTAATTACTTATTCCCCGGCCTATAATTACTATTCTCTAGTAATTTCTTTTTTCTATTATTAAGATCTAATTTATTATTATTATTATTATTTAATATAATTACTTGGTGCTTCTTCTTTAATATAGACTTTAGAGGAAGTAAAAAAGATAAAGTAAATAAAACAGGAATGAATACTAATAAAAATATTAGATTTACTAGTAAATTTAAATTTATTAAAACTTATTAGCTATAAGAATAAGAATAAAAGTAAGAGAAATTATAATTCCAGGTTCTAAAATAGATAGATTATTTGAATTAAAGTCGTTATTTGATCTATTTTCTATAAGAGTAATCTTTTCTTATATAGCTTTAATTTATTAATTAAAAGTCGAGATAAATAAAGAAGATACTATAGATATAGCTATAGATATAGATATTATATTAGAAGTAATATTAGAAGATCTCTCTAAAAAAGAAAAGAAATTTAGTAAAAGCAATTCTCTATTTCTTTTTTTATATTTATTCTAAATCTCGTTATCTCTTTATTAAATTTTATTAATATTTTAATTAAATATAAAATAAATATACTTTAATATATTCTTATTTAATTAGCTAAAATAAAATAATAAGCTATTAATATCTTTTTTAGCTTTATATATAAGATTAGTTATATAATTAATTCTTTTATTTTTATTCTTTAGTTAAATCTAATTATATTAATACTAATTTTATTAGAATATTAATAAATACTAGCTTACTTTACTTATAAAAGAAACTTTATTTATATATTCTAAAATTATAATTTATTAATTAAGCTTCTAGTCTTTAAATAACGGAATTAATAATAAAAAAGCCTTAGCTAAATATATAATAAATTTCTTATATACTAGTTTTTAATTATAATAAAAAACTATATTAGTAAAGTAATATTTCTATAAATAAGCTTTATATATATATTAAACTATTCTATATTTTATAGCTTAATTTATATAATTTAAGCCTTTTAGTACTTTTCTAAATTAAGAAATTTCTTTATAATTAAAATAGATATATTTTTTCTAGTAAAGCTATTCTTGATCTCTTTTATTTTATATATATATAATATAATAGAAATAAGAATCTTATATTGTTTTTTAATAATAGAAATAAAAGAAATTATTAATTTACTTTTACTAAAGGCCTTTATATATATTTCCTGGCTAAAAATAAAAGATTTAAAGGCTTTATTTCTTTTTTGAGCCAAATCTAATAAAATTAGTAAGTAATATATTAATATTAGATATTAAATAGATAAATATATACTTTTGCCCTAAGTTTCCTAATAGAAATTACTATATAATTACTTTAAATATTCGAGCTTAGCCTATTATCTTCTTTTATATACTTCTATTTTAAGAATTCTTTCTAAAAGATTTATATCCGGGAAATAGTAAAAAGAATAGAAATTAGCTAAGATATTAATTCCTTAATTTCTTAATAATTAGGTAATAGTATTTTAAAGTTGGATTTAACTAGAAAATAATATATTATTTAATATAATAATTAATATAGAAATAATAAAAGCTAGAGAAGAAATAATAGAATTAATTATATTATATAATAAATACTTTATTATAAAGAGAAAATATAATACCTCTTATATAAAACAAGAGTTTTATAAATTAAGATTATTTATTATAAATATTTAGAAATAAAAAAAATAAGAATTTAATTTATAATTAAATATTAGAAAAAAGTATAGCTAATAAATCTAATAGTTTAGTAAATAGTAATATAAAAATAACTAATAGAATAGAACTATAATATATTAATATTATTTTAATTCTTTAGCCTATATTCTTATAACTTTTTCCTTAAATAATTTATATATTAGAGATCTATTTTAAAGATTATTAATAGTAGTATATTACTAATATATAAAAAGAAATAAATATAAGAATTATAAGAAATACTCTTTAGTATAAATTAAAATTAGTTTTATTTTATTTATCTCTAGTATTATTATTATTTAAAATATAGTTTTTTTATACTAGAGGCTATAGAATATTAAATAAGGAATTATAGGAATTAAGAAAAGAAAATTATATTTTATATATAAAGAGATATTTTTACTAAATATATTTTATAATTACTTTAAAAGTTCTTAAAAACTATTAATTTAATAGAACTAGTATTAATAGAAAATTTAATTTATATTATAAAGTTCTTATTACTAAAATAATAAGTTAATAATATAATTATAAAAGATATAAAAAATTAAAAAATAAGATTTAATTTTTTAAGAAAATAAATTATATAATCTTTTAATATTAAATTACTTATAACTATATGAATTTGATTTATTAAATAGACTATTATTAACTTCTATATTTAATTACTTTAGTAAATATTAATGTTTTTAGCTCGTTCTTTTTTTAGAATATATATTAATATATTTCTATTTAGCTTTTCTATTATTAAATAAACCGTCTAATATTTATAAAAGAAATTTCTAAATTATTTTCTTTTTCTGTTTTAGGCTCAGATATATATTTATTATTTATAAATTACCTATATTCTTAAATATTTATAACCTAATTACTATTTACTCTATTAAAAGTAATATTATTTATAATAAATCTAGTATTTTCTATATTATTTTTAATTTTTACTTTATTATTAGAGCTAATATAAATAATATTTTTATTTCTATAGCTAGTATCTCTTCCTTTATTAATAAACTAAATATTATCTTAATTATTATAATTCTTTAGTTTTACCTTTTCTAGTCTTATAGCTACCTCTAATAATAAATTCTAATTATATATATTCTTGGGTATTAATAAAAGCTCTAGCTTTAAACGAGTATTCTTTATATTAATTAAATAGTTAATAATTAATTCCTTTAAATATATATAGGTATTTAGGTAATATAAATCTTTATTCGAATTATATATAGATTTTATAATTAGGAAAATTAAGCCGGTATTTTTAAGCTCTTATTTATATTATTTAAATATAATTTCTAGTAAATATATGTTTTTATTATAGCTAGTATATTCTTTATATAGCTCGTTTAGTTTATTAATATTAATAGAAATTCTATAGTTTCTAATTTCTATTTATTCTAAAAATATATAGTTCTAAAAGAGTTAACTAGAAATAATATATAAATAATTAGGCTATTTCCTAATTAAATAGATATTTCAAATATAAATAAACTCTTTAGTTTATTTTTATATAATAGGTAAATAAATAAAAACTATAGTAATATAATTAGAGAGAAGTTTATAGAAATAAAGCCTTTAAGAATATAATTACTTGAAAAATATCTTTTATTTATTTAATATATCCTATATAATATTAGCTAATTAAATAAGTCTATATAGAATTAGTATAAATAAATTACTTTTATAACTTGCTTTTATTATATCTCAATTTATTAATTAGTTATACTAGTTTTAAACTAATAGAGATATAAGAATTAATATAAATTAATATTTCTTATTTAGTATATTATTTTATAAAAAATATAATAGATATTAGTAATTATAAATATTTCGTATTCTCTATTTAATTAAATATAAAATAAAATAATTTTTATTTCATTTATTAAATTAAGATATTAAACTAGAATAATAATCTAGAAAGTAATATAAATAAGTATATATTAATATAATATTAATGAAACTAAAAAAGAATATAATATAGAAATTTAGGAGTTTTATTACCTAAATTAAATATAATTCAAACTACTAGTTCTTTATAATATTATAGAATTATATAGCCGGAATTATAATTAAATAAATATTAGCTATTTTTAAAAAAGTATATTTATATTAAATTAGGAAATAATATTACTTATAATATAACTATTTGAAATTCTAATATATATCTTAATATTATAAAATTATAGCTAAATAAATGAATTAATAGTTATTTAGATAATGATTTTTAAAGTTAAGTTCCTATTATACTTATTTTATAATAGCTATTAATAGACTAAATAAAATTCGGCTTATAAATATTATATTTCTTTCTAGCTGCTTTTATTTCTTCTTATTAATATTATATACTTTTAGGATTAAGTTCCTATATTATAGAAGCTATTTTATTTCTAGAAAACTTCTTATTATTATCTAGGGAATTGAGATAAGTATATAAAAGCCGGTAGTTATAACTTTTAGTATTGCTTTATAGGCTTTTATTAATTATATATTACTTGAAGATATAATATAATTACTTCTTTTCTAGCTTAACTTGCAAATTAAGTATTTGATATTAAAGGCCTATAGCTCGGCGAACTTGTTATAATAGTCGTAAATTAGAAATATTATATTCTAAGCTTTAGAGATTAATAAATATATTAGTATTAATTATATAAATATTATAAAAGAACCAGGTAATAAAAGCCTTTACCTAAAACGAAGACTCAAATACCGAATACTAGAAAGGCGCTTTCTAATCGGAAAGCCTATTATATAAAGTTCTAGGGGAAATATTAATATTAAAGTCATATTTTAACTTTTCTATAATCTCGTTATATAATAATTATTACCTAATTAAATAAAGGATATAGGCTTAATAATAGTTAATATTAATTCTTAAACGAGGTATTATAAAGAGATTAATAATAAAAGATTAAGGAATTAAAGATAATAATAAAGGAACAGAAATATAAAAGGAGTATACCAGTGGCCTAGTAGTTAAAAGGGGGTATATCACGTGCATTTTATTGATTTTCCCATCCTATTGCATTCCTACCATGGAATGCAATAAAATACCATATAGATCTACTATAGGAATTACTTAGATTATTAATAATCTCACATTTTTAAAATATCGCAATTTTGATTTTGCGAAAAAATAATAATAGATGCCGTAGCGTCCTTAAAGGAGCCCGTACTAGCACATGTGATCCTTACGGCTTTCCGTAAGTTGATACCCTGTCGAAAGCTGAGATTTCTCGTAAACCTTGATCTTTGTGTTTCCCACTGTCATACAGAGTTCATCATTATTTCCTGAATGCGCAATTATCTGTGGTCTACATCGAGCGCCGCATTCTCAATTGCCATACTTCGGTACGGGGCTGTCAATCTGCTGAGCGACACCTGTCCGTCAGCCTTGCTCGATGGACCCACTCACAGCCTTGGGTCTTGCGGCAGCTGTGGTACAGTTTGTTGACTTTGGGGTTGAGATATTCCACAAGAGCAAAGAAATTCTACACTCAGCTAGCGGAGCTTCAGTGGAAAATGCTTCAATCAAAACTACCACATCAGACCTGCAGCGCCTGCTCGAGAAAATCAAGAATTCCCAGCCGCACATACCTCCAGGCAGCGACGTACCAGCTGAACAAGTCTCTTTAAACAGCCTCGTAGAGAGCTGTAATGAGCTAGGCGACGAGTTAGTGAAACTAGTGAGAGATGTGAGTGCCGGTCCTGGAGCAGGTAAATGGAAAAGCCTCTCGGCAGCGCTGTCCTCCGTCTAGTCACGGAAACGGATCCAGGAAACAGCGAATTTGCTGGAGAGATATCAAAAGCAATTAAACCTGAACATTTTGGTTTCTTTGAGGTATTTCCAACTAAGATCTATTCGGACACATCGCTGGACAATAGCTGATATCCCATGTTTAGGCAGAGTGTTAGAGATTTGACAGTAGAGCAATCTCATGGACTCAAGAAGCTTGATGGAAGTGTACAAGCCGTCGCTAACGGCCAAGATACAATCAGCAAAAATCTTCGGCTACAAACAGACGTTATTCTTGGCAACTCCGCCGATCTACATGCGAAACAATAGCCAATCTCCAGCGCGGTAACGAGGAGATTCTCGATCAACTCCACCGTCTCCAGCTGGTCAGTCTAGGAATCAAACTCGAGGGGGAGGAAGGACTGGACGAGTTTCAGAAATGGCCCACAATAAGAAGGCCAAAGGAAGCAGAAGCTGTGACAAAACTGCTTGGCAGCCTCCATTTCCCCACGATGAATGACCGCCATGAGCAAATCAACGAATCACACAAGAGAACCCTTCAATGGATTTTTGAGGAACCCAAAAGCAAGATCCATCGATGGGACAATTTCAGCACCTGGCTGAAGACTTCTACCCCGACTCTTTACTGGATCAATGGGAAAGCAGGATCTGGGAAGTCAACGTTAATGGATTTTCTATGTGGCCATCAAATCACAAACGCACTCTTGCGATTATGGTCGAATGACGGCCCCATTATTACGGCTAACTTCTTTTTCTGGCTCGGTGGAGTGCATTCTCTACAACGAACGCAGAAGGGCCTCCTTCGATCACTGTTATACCAGATTCTGAGCAAGAATCGAGGACTCGTTCCCATTGCTTTCCCAGCATTCCTTGACGACGAGTTTCCGCCAGCCACGTGGCATAACAGTGCTCTAGAAACAGCATTTCGAAACATTTTCAAGCAGAATGCCATCTCGGTCAAGGCGTTTCTCTTAGTGGATGGGCTCGACGAATACCAGGGTGATATGCAGAGTATGGCACAATTTTTCAGAGAGCTGTCCACTTATCAAACACTGAAGGTGTGCGTTTCGAGTCGTCCACTACCAGTCTTCAATAAAGTCTTCAAAGACGCACGAACTCTGATGCTGGAGTATTTAACCTTTGATGATATCCAGATGTACGTCGGTGACAAATTGGGCAATAATGAGCTATTGAAAGATCTCTGCATAAGCGAAGGAGACGCAAAAGTGGATGCTCTACTACTAGATATTGTCACCAAGGCAAGAGGTGTCTTTCTGTGGGTAGAGATCGTGGTTAGATCCTTGATAGAAGGATTGACCAACGAGGACCAACTATCCGACCTTCAGAGCAGAGTTGATACATTCCCCGAGGAGTTGGAAGATCTCTATGGGCATATGATGAAGAAGGTCAACCCTATCTACAGCAAGCAGTCATCGCGGCTGTTTCGAATCATGCGTGCATTCCAAGCACGCCGTTACGGCGAGGGACATCATGATCCAATGCAAGCTCGCCTTACGGTTCGAAAACTCATGTTTGCTTCTCGAGATGCCCAGATGGCGCTCGAAAGCGAGGTGGGACCTTTGACACTTGAGGAGCAGAGAGCGCAATACCGAAGCCTGGAATTACGGTTGAAAACGCACTGTTCCGGCCTCTTGGAAATCGTGCACAAGGAATTCATGGGACTCTGGTATCCCAAGGACCTACCCGACTGCCCCCAATTAAAAGAACTCGAATCAAGTGTAGAGTACATCCACCGGACTGCTCGCGACTATTTAGGACAACCAAACGTATGGGCTAAGATTTTGGTAGACTCTAGGGAGGGTTCAACGGACTTCGATCCTTATCTCAACCTTCTGGCGGGAACGATACTTGCCCTGAAGAAAGCGCCAGTGTTGCATGACAGACAGGAGGTCATAAAATCCAGCCTGAGTGTGATCCCGTTAGTCGAAGAAGCTATGGGGTACTCGATCTTTGTCCAACAAAGCTCACGGTCAGAAATGGTGGCTTTGATTGATGAAGTCGAGTCCGTCATGGGAAATCACTGGAGTTCTTGGCTTCAACGGGTCATGAGGCCAGAGCACGTTTCTACCGGTGTCCTTGATCACTTCTCTGATCTGGTATATGAGGGCTGGTCCAAAGATACCGATAACCCCCTCTCTGAACATTACCCTGGGTCTCTTCTGACTCTAGCAGTGCGCTTCTGTCTGGTAGAGTACGTAGGTATCAAACTTAATCAAGGCACCGCATCAGCCGAGAGGAGTGGGATACCGTTGCTTGATTATGCTGCTAGGCCACTTTCCCTGTATGTTACCTTCGCTGCCGACCTTGCCCCTCTTAGGATGATCACACTGCTCTTCCTAGCGGGAGCAAACCCTAACGAGTCCTTCCATGGGCGAACTCCTTGGGAGACATTGCTCAGGACAGTCCGCCTCATCCAAAGCAACCGCTCTGGATTTGGGCAAAAGGAATTTGTCGCATTCCAAGAGATGTGGCTCAAAATTGTCGAGATTTTTGTGAAGAGGGGAGCCTCGCCATCTGCCGTCTGCACTATCACCGGGCATTACATCACGGATAAGGTTCACGAGAATCGCACCTACGGCGCTGCAAGTTTGATCAAGGAGGGATTCGACATTTCGGAAAGGCCGGGAAACCAAAGATGTGGAAATCGGCAATGGGGCCCTATCCAAGACAGGGCTAGAGTCATACTCGACATGCTGGAAGAGAGAAGAGATACAGAGGAAGAACAATTAGTGGTTCTGGAAAGTCCTGATGCGAAGTTGAGCATCTCTTCAAAAAAGGGGTCAAAGTGTTGCTTTCAATGATCCGAGAGAGCCATTTGGGAAGTTTCTTACTCTCAGAACTGGTTGGTTTTCCGAGTTTTCTCAACACAACCGCCAATTGCAGAGCTTTTGTCGCCGCAACGACCTTCGAGGCGGCCCCCCACTCGATCTCACCCCTCTCAAGAATGTGGAGGACTACATGAGTGCTAGGGGACTTGTGGCATAGAATCCTTTTACAACAGAATTCCTGATCCATGGTTCACAAAAAGACGAAACGAACTAAAGTTATTGACAAAAGGGTCTCGTGAGCGAGGAAGAGGTTGATGTAACCAGAAAGACAAAAACTTCTCTGACAGTGAGAACATCTTCTGGCGAATGATAATGACTTGAGAGCTCTTTCGGTCACGCTAAATTGCTGACTACCAAGGAAATAACTTTGGAAGGTAAGCATTGTTTGAGGTATTGGTTGAAATGGGTAGAATGGGTTTTCGGTTTCATGTAGAGCCTAGAGGCTTTGGTACAAGGTTCCGATCGAGATCAAGCTGAGTTACAAGTCGGCAGAACGTATGAGATCGGGTGTGGTGAAACGTGAGGAGTGAGGAGAGGTCCACAATCTGGTGGCGGCAGCTGTGTTTCTTGGCAGGCTGATCTGAATGCTAAGACTTTGCACGTAAGACTTGCGTGGGGGCTTATTATTCCGACGTTTCTCTGCCCGCGAGGCTGAGGAAAGTGATTGCTTGAGGCTTTCATATTGAATATGAAGGATGGTTTAAGAGTTCGCATGTCTTCGTTCCGTTTTTCTTCTTGCTGGAGCCAGATCGGTTACGTGAGACTTCTCACATGACGTCAACTTCAACTTCGAAAATATGGAGTTGAAAAAGCGTGAAGTAAAAGATTGAAGCAGAATACAGAGTTTCTACTGAATGAAAGCTTGGTGAGCAAAAAGAAATTTGAGAAATCCACCAGTGGGAATACTTCCTCACGTGATATGCCCACACCTCACCAGAAATCGGGGGAAAGCCAAGACCATGCCGCACTTCAACATCACCACAAAAGTAGTTTTCCGCTTGCGGAAGTAATCCTTGCACATGCAACGCAGTCAGAAAGTCCATCGAATGGAAGCACAAACTATCGCACCCTCTCCCTTCATCCATCCACCAAACAGAAGGCATCGCCGTGTCTCCGGGGAGCTTCTCCTCCCTCCGTACCTGACGCCCCACTGTCGAGGCTATTGAAATAATATCGAATCAGCTACGGGCCCTCGCACTTCAGTAAAAAGCAGATCTTATGCTCGTCTCTACTTGATCCGTTGTGACGAGTAGATTGGAGTTCGGACGGGAGAGGTGGAAGGCTTACCCGTAACAGTCGTGAGGCTGACTGTGGGGTGTTTGTTTCGAGGGGATCCAGTTCGAAATTCTTGCCGTTGCAGCGTATGCGGAACTTTCGAGGCTTGTCTCCCCAAACGTATGACAGCGCATCAACATTTGTTGTGTCGAGAGACTCTTCTTCAAGGCGCAGATCGAGGAGTGATGAGGCTCCATCAGACCGGGATGGTTGAACGAATACGAGTACGGAAAGCCGTAAGGATCAAGAGATCAAGCGATTTTCGAATCCGGTTTCGACTTTCGATGTCAGATTTGTGGCACGTGCGCACCCCACCAAAAATCGCAAATACCACACACATACAGTCGATCCGATCCAAAAGCGACAAAAAAAAAAGGTCTACCAAAATACTAATTGATATAAATCATATTAATCGGAACTATCGTATATCTTATAGTAATTATTTCCTTGGTCTCCGATTTTTAATACCTTTAATATTACAGAAGTTACAAAGCACGTGACCATTTTATATAAGCTCGCATAGAAATTTTGGCGTTTTGTAAGAGTAAAAAATCACATCTCGTATAGTATACGAGGCTGCACGTGATTAAAATCATAAACTTTTTATACTTTATATTCTCTTTAGTAGTAACTCTTAAAATTTAATCTCTTACTAGATATACTAAGCTTATAGAAGCTTAAGGAGCCTTATAAGACCTTATAAGTCTAAGTTAAATTTATTATTTACTTAGGTACACGTGACTTTCGTAAAATATTTTGGCGTTTTGTATGGTCAGAAATCAAAAAAGTAAGAAACGTCCGTGTACTTCAAAACTCGATTACTAATTAACCACAAATCGCATTAAAAATCTGATTAATAGGTTTTATTCGCTTGGTTCTTTTCTATAATTGCATTACTTAGTATTAATTACTCGGGGTTGTAATTAAAAGGTTATTATGGATATAAAAGGGCGACCGTTTTGTCGCTTTTGGATCGGACCGACTGTATCACGCCCACATACTATACCCTCTCCCTGTGCCTCTATTACTACTTCAAATATCTATTTTCTTTAATTCTTCTCTCTCTCTCTCTCTCTCTCTATATGGATAAGAGAGGGGGCTTATAGGGGGAAAGGGGAGGGGGGGGGCAAAGCGAGGGAACTTAACCAAAAATTTATGTCACTAAATTTTTAGTACCTATAGCCTGTAACTTAGTGACCGTAGCCCTAAAATTTAGCGATAAGTAGCCTATAATTATAGGGCTTCCTTTTTCTAGCGAGTCGCGTGCCTCGACCCTCGCTTTTCGCTTTTCGCTTTCTACTTTTCACTTTTCACTTTTCACTTTTCATCACTCGCCCTCCAAACCCCCCCCCACCCCTCTCTTATATATATATATATATAAATAAGAATCAAAGAGAGAGTAATATTTTAAGCAGTAATAATAGGTAGAGGTATAGGAAGAGGGGGTGTGGTATGTGGGCGATTTTTGGTGGGGTGAGCACGGGCCACAAATCGGACATCAAAAGTCGAAAATCGCTTGATCACTTAATCCTTATCGCTTTCCGTAAATACGAGGCCAATTCGCTTGTTCCGTTGTAAAGCGAGAATCCAGGTGAGCCTGGCCGAGCAAGTGGGCAGAACCTTGTACCGCATTTGACCCCATCTCTTCACTTCACTTCTCTCCTTCCAACAACCCCCCGACATATGATGTCTGGATCATACGTCCCACCCCCCGATGGTACACATACACAGCACGAGGGAACCCCCCATTTAGCCATTCGAAACAATTTTCTTCGTCGCTCTCTAACACTCCTCGCGCTGAAGACGACAGCGCGTTTCTTCCGACATGATGGCGTTTGTGTCCCCATCTCCAAGAACATCATTGTCAAGACAGACCCATTTGTCCATCTCAGTGAGGCCACGACGATGAAGTTCGTCGCTGCCAACACCTCAATTCCCGTGCCGCGTGTGTACTGTTCATTCGTTCATCGGAACCGGGCCTACATCGTCATGGAGCGCATTTCGGGGATGTCATTCCCAGCAGCATCGAAAGCGTTGTCTGATGCTGATCTAGCGAATATATTTGCACAACTCCGGCGCATGATCCAGGAACTGAGGGCGCTGCCACCCCCTCCAGGCGCTGGGGTTGGGAGCTGTATCGGCGGCTCCTTGCGAGATTCTCGAATTCCGCGTTCCCGGCCCAGGTTTGGTCCTTTTGGAAGCATCCAAGACTTTCATATCTGGCTTCGTGATGAACTTCGGCTGGAAAGTCATCCAGAGCGGGAAAATGATGGGGACTGGGAGGCAATCAAGAAAATGGTGGCTAAACAGGATGGGTCGTGGCCGGCACCTGTCTTTACGCATGGAGATTTGAACCCCTCTAACATCATGATCCGTGACGGCCAGGTCGTCGGCATCGTCGACTGGGAATTCGCTGGTTGGTACCCCTACTACTGGGAATATACTTCTGCATGGTATGGCAATCTCACTCGACGATGGTGGCAAAATTCAATCGCCCGGTTTCTTGACCCTAACCCCGAGGAGTTGGAAATGGAAATCACACGCCAAAAGTGGTGGGGGGAAACCTGAAATCGACAATCTTGCGTCATAAATAGGCCCCCATTTCTACACAGTTGTAATGGTCACAGCTACATAATTCGGACCGGCAGTGTTCGGACAGAAACGCGCCCAAACACTCCCGAGGTCTCAGGCACGTCCTCCTTCCCTTCAAGCATGTTCCACGTTGGCTTTGGTGACGCCATATGTTCAACTCTGTCATACCTTCCAGGTGCATGTTTCTTCGCCACATAGTCACGAGCCAACTGCTCGATTTTGTCCCAAGCCAATTGGGAGGTTCCAACAGCCGTGCCGTCTCTGTCTAGAGTCGAGAGGCCTCAATATTTAGATTCCCTATCGCCCACACATCCAATTCCTCGGCACGGGGACTCGAAACGCCGCTTCGCTTGTAATAATAGGCTTACCCACTCCTGCTTTGTTATTTTGCTGTTCAGGTCATCAAACAACTCTTGGTTTTTCCTCGCTATTATCATTGCATAGTTTGAGTCTTTAACTGCGCAACTTGCTCTCTCATCCAAGCAAGTCCCTAAATGAATGGTAAGACGTCTGACCGACGGGGGCATCTAATAAAAAAGTATTGGGTGACGGGGTCATTTAGCGAGAGGTTAGCTGGCTTACGGCACAGCAGGGCATCATCCTGAAAGTTGACACTACAATTCATATTATCTTCTCCTCGACGCCATGTTAACTCCAGATCAGCCGCCATCAGCTCCAGAAGCTAGCTTTGAGGAAAGTTCACTACACTTCGTATCAATAAGCCCAGCTGGAAGAAGGACAATTGTTCTCATTCATGGCGCCTTTTGCTCAGGGAGCAATTGGGACCTCGTTGTCCCTTATCTCGCTTACTCATACCACCTCCTCATTCCTGATCTGCCAGGCCATGGTCAATCAAGACATATAACCCCTTTCTCTCTCGAATCATCCTCAAAATACCTTGTTCAACTCATTCGTAAGCACGCCGCGAATAGCAGAGCACATATTGTGGGCCACAGCCTCGGCGCTCACGTCGCCATCAATCTCGCATCATCCTATCCTGAGGTCGTCAGCGATGTCTTCATCTCAGGCTTTGAGATATATCCGCCAACAGCAATCTCCAGTTTCGCACCTTATGCTTTCTGGTTCGACCAACGAGTTCAAAAACTCATCCCCCGCCCTGTGATCAGCTGGCTGATGGATGGTACGGATATCCAGGGTGGGGAGTCAGGTTCATGGACACTGGAGCTGTGCCGTCAGATTGTGCCGGTTGTTGTAACGGCGACATGGCCTTCTCCTTGGCCTGCGCGAACTCTTATCGTGGCTGCTGGGAAGGGAGGAATCATTCCGTCGAAAGATCATCCTCACGATGCAGTCAGACTTATGGAGATTGGAAGACAGCTGAATCTTGAGACTGTGGCTTTTAGGCATCTTGTGATGAGACACCTTTGGAACAGGCAGGATCCGGTGCTATTTGCAGAGACGGCACGCTGCTGGTTTGAGGGGGAAGAAATACCTTCAGGGTTTGAAAAGCTTTAGCTAGGAAACTAAGTTGTTCTTCTAGAACGAAACTTGCATGGAGTGTCCGTAACAACAGAACACTTTCTGAAGCGAGTTCTTAATCCTGATTAGTTCAGGGGAATATCAATAGCAATGTCGATTTACTTACGAAAAAACAGCAAAAGCGGAATTCATTCCAACTGATTCTATAACTAAAATTTGACTTTGGCAGAGAATATCGTTAGAATCTTGAGCTTCAGGGAAATGGAGCCTGAGGAACAGGCCTGTAGCAAGTCTCAAATTTTATCTTGGGCACCTGTCATGCACGCAAAAGACGATCCATGGGACAATGGGAGCAATCGTCTCAATTTTCCAGTGAGCTTGGCCCATGACTCTGGCTCTAGACTTCGTCTTGTGGCGGATCCTCTTCATAATCATGGTCATGAAGTATGTTCATTTAAAAAGGCAAGATTGGAGAAAGTGAGGTCAAAAATCAATGAAATGCTTTACAAGCCCCACTCAGAAAAGAATTCAAAAAGCTCTAATGAATTAGAGGAATGACCGTAAAGGATTGAGTTGACTATAAAGATAAGAAGTAGTATTGGGCCAGCGTTAGTGCTACCTAAGTGATTGCGAGGCCCAGTCGATTCGCATGGTCTATTCGAGTTCGCCTCGGGCCTCATACCCTTCCCATCAGAACAGTGCTTGTTGAATGTTTTCCCAAAGTTTTCATCTAGGTGCTAAAAATATCTGATGAGCTCCCATTTGATTTTCGTTAAGTTAAGAATTGTCCTCAAGAACATATGGCGAGATAGAGTTACGCCTCAGTGCTATCAATATTGCTCAGCCCCGGTGCATTGCGCAGACGACCTCACCTTCTCCAATCAGAGAGAGATGAGTGTGATAGCATTGGACTGCTTGATTGTGGCTTTATTTGCGGGCATCTTGTTGGTGTTCTATTTTAGCCTTCCAGCTCAGCCCCAAGCCACAACTCCAAACCGGACCGCAACATGTCTCAATCGCACCTCGACCGCTCTAAATAAACTCGACTCTGCCCCGTCTCAAGGCTCTTCATCGTGCATCACGGACAACTATGATTAAGTTACTTCTATTTCTCCTCCTCTTCACGAAAGTATCATCCGCGGTCCCCATCTGCCCAATCCAATACCAATCCTGGACACTCTCGCCCTACCAATGGTTTAACATCTTCACTCTCTGCCTCACCCCGCTTGCCGTGCACATCGCGGGCGGCGTCCCCTCCCCTATTATTCTCTCCGGGAAAAAGCCACACTGGACGAACCGCCTCCCACTCTTCAACCCAATTTCCATCCTCTGGCGCTACTACGCCATACTTGATCGTCGCATTCGCTGGTCCAGTGCCTGGAACGGCACGGTGCTAGCTGCAAGCAACGCGATTTTCTGGCGCGAGGATCACTGGGATGGCTCGGAGGAGATGATTGGAGAGAGTAGCCATTTCTTACCGCATACACCAACTGCCACACGCGTGAACTTTTTGAGCGTTTCGAGTCTTACGAGCGTGATTGTTGCGGTGCAGGGATTATCGGCAGCTGCGTATGTGCAACTGGGTGGGAATACGGCGGATCTTAGTGTGTTTTTCCAGCCGTTGGCCCTATTTGGGCTGTATAGGCTGCCGAGCGCGATCTGGTTGTCAAATGAAGCCGTCTATACTGAGACTCGCAGCAACGAGAAACTGGAGTGCAATGGACCTGCTTTCGGGGTGCAGAGTTGGAGGGGAGTCCTGTATAGGTGTTGGTGGGCGGGTTCAGCAATTGCTTTGATGTTGTTTGCAGTTTATGAGTCGATTGGGGATGGGTCATGTGGCTGCATTACTGTATCTTCGCTTGCGCAGAGGATCTTCTATTGTGGGTTGCTTGTTTCCCTAAGGGGATTCATACGTTTTACCTCGTCAAAGGAAAGAGTGCAACCACGATTATCCCTTGCATGGGAGACACTTGGTATAAAGTGTTTACGTGCGTGATGATATTGTTGGCGGTTGCGTCTATTATTCTTTCGTCCCTTGAAACAAGGATGCTCAAGTGCAACGGAGATTTTTCTTTGTATACTACTTGTCCTGTTTTAGAAGAGTGGTGCAATTAGCACTCTGCTGGATAATTTCGAATTGGGAAGAAATAAAGTCCCAAAAACGAAATAGATCACAAAAAGCAGAGTATGGTTCTTCCAATCCGGCCCGTTCCTTGACACATCCCTAGTTGCTGTAACGTTCTCAATACTTCCAAGACCCAAGCACCGCCATTTTTGGATCTGCAAGATATCAGACAGGGGGCTGTGTAAAGGGAGATTGCTATAATAAATGAAGGCTTCGAGATTAAAAGAGATGTCTCTCGTGAGAAGTGTATAACAGCCTAAGTTTGGCATGGCTTGTTTTCCTGCTCATCAGGCATTGAGACTCCCTGAGAGTATTCCAACGAACACGAGATGAGCTTGACAAAATTAAAAAAGTTATGAGAGAGTCTCATCGGTAAAGCCAAAGTGTGTTGAAAGTCAAGTGTGCGTATGGCGGATGAGGCGGACATTGAGTAGTGGGAATTGTGTTATTTTCAGGACTCATGGCATGATTTGATGAAGAGGTGAACGGCGAAATAACAAAGTTGAACTTTGAAATTTGCCGAAAGGGCAGTTGTCTCCACACTTTTAGGATATGGTGGATATTTTCCGATAACAAGCATCTTAGGCCGATCGAAGGTGCGCCTTTCGAGGGGCTAAGGAATGTTTTCGGGAGGCTCGCCTTGATTTTCAGATTAGCTAGTCTACATATAGAATATTTTTTGAAGTAAAAGGGTGGCTCTTCCACTTTTTATCAACTCTTAAAAGCTTCTTTATAAAATGATTTGATACTGACCGTCAATCAAGCCGTCTGCTTACTCCAGGACTTCCTATTCAATTCAAAAGCATTTCCCTTAATGCAAATTGCAACACATTCAAAAAGTCAAGACTATGGTTTGATTTAACTTGAAACTATATCTGTTTACATCAACCGGGAATCATAAGGCATGTAATACCATATAAGTATGTTTACTTCAGGCATGACACAAAGGCTAGAATTTTGAAGTGTTCTTAATGTAGGGAAGGACTCCAGCCGCTCGCTGAAGAGCGGTCTGAGAACTCCTTGACAGGTCGTGAATTTCTCTAGCGACTCACTAGAAATGAATGATGGATGCGAGGCATCCTTCTTGCGATAGGCCGCTCGATAAATGCTCAACCACGATTCACCAGATTGGTAAATGGATGCTAGTCATTTTCCCCAGAACATTGCGAAAGTTGAATTCAAAAGTAATGCACCCCTAAAGCGATGAATGAATACGACGAGGAGATGGGAGATCTTTGAAAGACAAATGAAAAGGTATAAAGCAAGAATGTTGAGCTAATTGTCACGTGACACAAAACGAACCCTGTCGTCCGTTTTATTCAAGGGCATGCAAAGATGCCTGTCTCATTTGGCTGCCAAGGGCAACTGGAATCTTTGATACACAGAGCATGCCAAAAGTGAGGCTTCAGTGAAGTTGGTAGCATTCCCGCTATGCACTCCAAACCTGCTGAGCACGAAGGTGCTTCAGTAGAATGAACTTAACTTCCAAATGCAGCAGCCAATGTTCTGCCGAATTTGCATTCCAGTTCACAAAAATCCTATGCCTGATTCCTGGTACCAAAATCCCAAAATCCAATGAGAACTCCAATCAACATAGAGTCCGCGGTAAGGAGACGAGTGACATTCATAAATGAAAAATTGACCAATCAGACACCGCCCGCCTTGTCTCTGTCTGCCAAAGATCTTCATGCTCGAAGTTTGCCGTTCCATGCTTGATCTTAGAACAATGGATTTTCATTCAAGTAATCCGTTTCAGCCGGTAATGGTAGAGGTCTTCGCCACAAGCGGGATTTGTGAAGTAGATTTGATCGGCATCTGCAGGAGCAGCCGTGATCCTGTCTTGCCAATCCTGGGCGTCGATGTTATGACTTGTAGTGAAGTACAATGCTACGGTGGTCGCGGCAAGGGGTTCTTGGTACGCGTACACAATCATTACTTCTCTCGGTTTCAAAGGCTCCAACATGATTTGTCTTCCGCCGCGCTCGCAGACCAAGTTGGTATGGACAGGGGTAGCCTTTTCCTCCCAGCTCGAGGAGTTTCTCAACCTGGAAAGCACTTGGCTGAACAGATATGGTACAGAAAAGGCGACTCCTGTTTGGGATGCTGAACGGAGCTCCTGTGTTAAAGCGTGGGCGAAGGAGTGCACGCTGACTCCAGGTGCAGTGGTTTGGAATCCGCAAGCAGCAATCAGCTCGGTAACACCCCGACGAGTGGTTGATGGCTTTGTGACGGACGTCTCGGCGGAATGGCAAGCATCGTAGAACAGGACGGCATCTGATCGGCATTCCTCAAGCAAAGACTGAATCCCATGTGACGGCATATTGGGTTCGCCTAGCTCGTTGCTGGGGTTATGTTAGCAATAGACACAATCTTTGGGTGGCCGAAACTCACGCTGCCTAGAAGAGATCATTTCGATGCGGCTGAAGTATACCATGGCCACTGTAATAGAAGATCAAAAGGGTCTCGTGAGAATCATCGCCGATAAAACGAAGCACTGCCTTTCCAAGTGACCGGAATGGGAGTTCATCTGGAATAAGGAACTTCGATACTTCGTAGTGATAGAGTTGTGTGAAAACTTTCTCGAGAGATTTGAGCTCTTGGTCGACACCCAAGTCATCAGACTGCCATTGCACCAGCAACACCTTTGCTCGCGTGTAACGATGATGTCTATTCGGCCACTTGCGACTGACACAAGTCTGGAATTGGAGAGATAATTCTCGGTGACTCGATTTTGCCAGAACTTGATTGTTGCGTTGGATTTCGCCCTCCAGCTTCTTGATGCGCGCCTGGAGCTCTATGTTCGTCTGACGAACACCGGCTTGTTCTTGAATCCAGCTGTAAAGTGCATCGTTGACCTTTCCAGCAGGCTTCGACTCTCCCAAGAATACTTCTTTCTCGAAGTCGTTTTGTTCTCGAAACGTGTTGAACTTGCGTTGCGTTTCTCGCAATTGCGTAGACAAGAGGTTGTACTTCGTTTCGACGTGCATCTACCAAATGAGCATCGGGCCTTGAATAAGACGTGATTGAACTCACCCTCTCTCTTTCCGAGATAGCGTACTGCTCCTTCAAGGAAACACAATCCTCGCGGGTGCTGGTTTCCGTGTCGTCAATGAAGTCGGTTTCGTACGGTGCATAATTGTCTGATTGAACGACCCAAGTCCTCGACTTCTGGTGACTCGTAGAGGCCGTGTTCTGAGAAGAGTCTCTGAAAGTTCCTGTGCTCTTTTCCGTCACCGTTCCCAGAGTCCGAATTGGTGGCATGTTGGCGTGCGATGTTGGAGGTCGACTCGTTGTCGAAGGTGGAAGGTTGAAGTTGATCAGGGAAGAAAGCGATGGCACAGAGCTTAATCTCAGCTTCAGCTTTCGAGGATGGGATGGCAACGGGTCACCTTCGAAGCGGGGTTTCCAGCATCCTTAGAGAGGGGGACCTGACTGAATTCTTCAGGTTCTCCATCTGTTGAAAAGTGAACTCCCAGAATAGGAGGTTCAGAGTGAAGTCTTCGGGTTCTTCATTTGTTCCACAGTTAACATTAGATCATCAGTGCAATGGATTATTCATGATTGTCCTAAGTCATCAACCTTCCCCCCCAGAAAGGTATGAAACCGAGGAAAAGATGTCACTAATACCCTGAGCATTCCCATAATCAGTGTGGACCGGAATTTCCAATCTACCAAGTCCTCTCCTGCTTGATTCTCGGCTCTTGCTCCATTAGCCTCCTACGAGCATTGCTGCTCGAAGGTACGCGTTGCCCCCAGTTTTGCTGGGATATTCTCGCACGTGACGAGCCATCTACGCATATCTTGTTGAAATTAGGGGCCTGAGGCCCCTAATAGGCTTAGTAAGCCCTGGAACCGAACGCTATGGGGCTGTGCACTAGCTTAATACCCTGTCCAGCTGGAATACCCTGTATAGCTGGAATACCCTGTACGGCTGGAATACCCTGTATAGCTGGAATACCCTGTACGGCTGGAATACCCTGTATAGCTGTAATCGGTTCAGCTGGCATAGGGATTTAGTACATGTGACTTAGGGGGTTCAGGGCTATATATACGGGCTACTTACCACTGTAGAACAGCAGTCAATTCAGTATCGTTTACTTGGTTTACATTGCAAGCACGTGACCCTAGCTATATTGCTTTAGCTAGTTCAACATATCTCGTCCAACGAGGGATGCTTGAAATATACATTCGAGACACTGGGTGGGGCATTTGAAATCCATTTTTCGTATTCTGCAGTGTCGAGTTCTCCTTGAGTGTCCAGAAACAGTGCTAGCGGCATTGTGTCAGGTGGATATTCGCGAGGACTTGGGATATGTATCAGAGGTTCGAGCATAATGCATCTCCCGCTCGCCTCCCAAGTGAGAGTGGTATGAACAGGTGTTGTCCTATCCTCCCGAGAAGGCGTATGTTTCAGCCTTGTGAGCACCCTGCTAAATAATTCTGACACGGAAAATGGGCGATCTCCTTTGCGGAGATGGCGAAGCTCCTTGGTGAGGGTGTGAGTGAGGGAATGGTCTCCCACGCCAGGAGCAGCTGTTTGGAAACCGCATGCTGCGATGAGTTCGGTGATACTTCGAGGGAAACGGGAATCTATTGATATTGCAGTCTCGGCGGAGTGACAGGCGTCGTAGATTAGAAGTGCGTCAGATCCAGATTGTTCGAAGAAGGCCTGGATGCCACCTGAAGGTATTGAAAGTCCATCATAGTCACCTGTGCTGTGGTGAAATGTGTGTAGGATGACCATACTTGGTAAGATAAGAACTCACGGCGACCGGAGAGGTGGCTCCTTGTGTCGTGCAGCCCGCCATGCCCTGCATAATAGAAGATGAGAAGCGTGTCTGGTGAACTGTCTCCAATGAAATCGATAACTCGAGTTGATAGAACGCTCAGTGAGTCCTTGTCGGGAATATTGTATTTTGATACATCGAAATAATAAGATCCTTGAAGGACTTCCGCAAGAGAATTGATTTCATCAGACACGCCCAGATCATCCGATTCCCAGCGTACCATCAAGACCTTGACCTGCGTGTATCCCGCTTTACGTCGATTCGGCCACTTGCGTGCAAAATTATTTTTGATCTGGTCCGTCCATTTGCGTTTCCCGGTATTCGACAGACATCTTTGCAGGCTTTCTACCTCAAGATTCAATTCGTCGATTTTGATGTTGTGCAACTCCTGGGCAGCTTCCAAGCGCCCAATCATGTGTTTGTGTTCCTCATTTATTTCTCTGTATTCCTTCAACATATCTTCGCGTCCTTTAAAAACCGCCTCCGATACTTTCGTTAGTCGCTTCAGCACAGTCTGCGAAGCCTGTTAGCATCCCACTAATACGGCAAAATGCACCATCACTACTCACGTATTTATCTCTCCACCTCCAATACTCGGCCTTCCAGTCAACTTCCTCCTCTTGTGGCTCGATCTTTATTACCGGCTCAACGGGAACTGCTGCGAGGTCCTGCAGCTGTGGTACTGAGCAACAGGGTGGTAAAACGACAACTGGTTGCACAGCGATGCCCCTAAAGCGACCAGTGGCTGGATCTCTTACTCGTGTAGTGGGCTTTCGATTCTTCTTTATTGCTGGCATGTTGGGATGTATCATCTTCAGGTCATTGGGTGGATTCAAATGGTCTCATGGAACTTGAACAGAGGATCGTGAGGAGTGAAACGCGTCGAAGACGAAAAGGGGTTAGCCGAGCACTTATCCAAATTGGGAACCAACCCCTGATATGGCCTACACGTGAAGAAAACGGACAGCAGCTCTTCAAAGCGTCTGATGCGAATGAGCATTCTCTCAAATAGTTGGTCCATGCCATTTGACCTAAGGGCTATCTTCATACTGGATTATCTTCCTTTTGGGGGGGCCTCAAGGCACACAAATAAGGTTAAGGTGATGCTCAGATTCATCCGACTTTCTCTGCTGGATTCTTGATAGTTTGGTGCTTTTCAGGGTGAACACATTTCGGATCAGTAATGCCGAAAGGGCAAAGCTAGGCTCTCCACTAAGGCCTCTAGACAGCTGCAGCCATCAATTGAGGGGTGCTCAAGAAACGACGACACGTGCATTGCGTCCATCTCGACAGCCCCTTCACCCGTCCCAACTCACCACCCCTTCAACCCTCCTCTCCACACCATCGCTCCCCTAGGGAACACCAGTATTCAATTTGCTTTTGTAAAGTTCGATCACCTACAAACGACTCCTCTTCTTTCCGGCCCTTATCTTCATAATCCACCGCAGGGTTGGGGACTTGCGTCGGAGAGATCTAGCGAAGCTGTGTGGCTTGGAAAGGCAGCCGAATTCGGACCTCGCCAAGCCAAAGCGGAAGTTGTCTGCTTGAATTGGCGGGCCTCGTATTCCTTTTGATACCTGACGGCGTGGTGCAGGTTCCGCCAACCAGGATACTGGATCTGGACACTGGATGATTGGGCGGGATGAACTCGGGATGGAAAGAGGAGCGGAGCGGAGCGGAGCGGGAGAGACGCGTCGGCTCGCGTGGCAGCCCGTCTCGAGTCAGGGGTCGCGAAGCTTTTCAGGGGTTCTCCAGCTCCTTTCCGCATTAGGAAGCGTATCCTGACAACATCCGACCGATGCATGCACAAACCGGCGGCACAGGGGCCAGGACCAGGACCGTGACCTATTACCTGATCTCCAAGAACAGGAACCTCGCATCCTCCCTAGAAAAACATTTTGGTGTCACATCCAACTTCTGCACGCGAAAGTAACGCATCCGCCACCGCATCAAACGCCAGCCAGCCCATTGGAATCCGTCGTCCCACCAGTGCTCGATGCGGCAATCGGTTCGACAGCGACATTGCACCACCTGAGGGCAACCCGGCTTGTGGGGGCTCATATGAGCGATGGCTTCCCGGAGAATGCGCAGCAGAGGCTGTGACCAATGTCGGCGACGGCGCGTCAAGGTGAGCTTCTTCGCTGGGCAGCCCCATCTGCCAAGACCCTGCCGAATCCCTTCGACGACATGCTGACAACGGGACCAAGTGCGACGAGACAGATGACTTCTGCCGGCAGTGCCTCCGATTCGGTCTTGACTGCTCCGGGCCTGTTCGAGGGGTGACTATTGTAGACATGACCCCCGAGGCCGCCTTTCCCCTAGAGCGAGCGGGAACGCCTCTAGATAGAAGACCAAAAAAGGTCCGCAAAATTTCGGTGCCATTCAGGGCTGCGACCGCAACAGCGTCCAGCAGCTCCAGCAGCTCCCAAAGCACGCCCTATGGACTCGACTCCTCATCCCCAGACGAGGGTCAATGGGCTACAGCGATTATCCATAAACCCCACTCCAGCAGTGGAGCCTCCTCCAACGACAAGGTGCCCATGTTATTCCAGCCGTCCACTTCGAACGCCATCGAGGCCTTCTTAGTCTCGCAACTCCTCAGCTTCTCAAGACCACACGATACTCCAACCTTACCCATAACATGGCTGATGAAAATCCCAGAGTGGATGGTTACCTCCCAAGTCCCGGCTTTCAGATTCTCTATTCGTGCAGCGACCACGGCGTTGCATGCTAAGCTACACCATAGCCCGGCGGCGCGAGTAGAAGCGTACCGCTGGTATGTCATTGCTCTGAACAAATTCCGTGCCCATTTGAGTGCTCAAACTCGAGATGAGATGATAGAAGGCAACGCAAAGTTCGTTCCTGGAGCGGAAGAACTCATTATTCCTACATTCCTTTGTCTCTTCGAGACACTGTCAAACGAAGAGACAGCAGGTCCGGCCGTGATACAACATCTCAGTGCTGCATGCAAAGGCTTAGAGTAAGGACACCCAGTTTCTGAATCCTTTTTCCGGATCTCACAGACATTTCCCCATCCTTCATGCTCTGGAAACACAAATCCAAAAATCCTATCATGGGAAACACTAACTCTGCAATCCTAGACTCCGAGGGCCCGAGGGATGCCGGGAAGGACTGTTCCATCAGATGTTCATTACATACCGAGTCCCGAGTGTAAGTGATACGTGATACCCAGGCCGCCTCCAGTTTGAAATACCGTCTCGTCATTATCCGCCTGATAACTAACTTCTGACTTACGGGCTAGTCACTTATCGCAATCCTGAGGGGTACACCGTCAGAATTTGCCAATCAAGATTGGCGAAGCATCCCTTTTGGTGAGAAGGGAAAGGCACTTCTCCATCATCTCGTCGATATCATGTTATGTACCCCGCTCTATCTTATACAAGCTGGCCATCCGGGTCCAATGGACCATAGTATTTTGAGAATAGCGAAGTCCGACACATTGCCACCAGGGCTGGAACAAAATTATCGCCGGTTACTCGAGCAGCTTGAAAATTGGTGGAGAGCCTACGAATCAATCTCCCCTGAGGAGTTAGAAATGCTCTTTACGATATCTGACTCGATGCCCCAGAAATACGAGAAGGTTGAAGGTATCGGATACTCGCCCACGCTCTTTCTTCAACAAGAGAGCAACAATGCACTCACAGCCTCATTGTACCACGCAACCAGTCTCATCGTCCACACGACTCTCCATGCATTGTCCATTGCCTCCGAGCGCCTTGGACGACCCACCTCTCTTCCTAGCAGGTCGAAATACCATCTCAAGCAAGCGATTGTCCATTCCAATATGATCATAGAGTTTTCAACGCAACGCCAAGCGCAAGAGCCAAACAGGATGGAATTCTTGCGCCCATCCACCAGGTTTCCGCTGTTGGTGGTTAAGATGTTGAGCCCACCGGAACAGAGCGTGAAGGCCACCAATCTCATAAGACAGTATCATGTCAGCAAGGCGATGGCAAACAAGATTGGAGGCCCAGCAGGAGGGGAAAATCACTCGCTTCCTAGACCAACTCATAGTGCAGCACTTCATATTGCGATTATTCCAAATGCTGCCATGCAGAACAGATGATAACAAGAACGGGAAAAGTAGGCACAGGTGGCGTCCGTCCGGCCATTGCCCTACGGCCACGCTAGTTGCGGGGTATTCGTAGAACCCCTCGACCTCGAGACGAGGACATCCCACTCCTGCGGCTCCTCTACAGATCCACGGGAGGTGCCAACTCCCAACGGGTAGCTGTGTTCTGCCTATATAGCCCGACTAAGGCTTCAGTTGATTCTCTCTTGGTGCCTCACAGATCCATAATGAACTCTCCTTCTGCGGAACAGACAAGTCCACTCCATCTCAACAACAACCCAACTTAAGGACAGACTTCACAATGGCCACATCCCATGCTTCCTCAACAAGCTCTGGCCAGCCCAAGAAGATCCTCCGAGTAGGTATAATAGGTCTCGGCGAGATCGCTCAAGTCAGTCCCCCTCCCTCCACCTCCCTCCAAGTCTAACCCCGCCAGGTAAACCACATATCCCTCCTCAACAACCTCTCCTCCCATTTCCTCACCACCTACCTCTGCGATCCCTCGCCTCTCGCCCTCGCCCACTGCAGCAAAAAGGTCGCAGGCGGCGTCCCAAAAACGACTTCGAATCCAGAAGAGCTCGTCGCCTCCCCCCTCGTCGACGTCATCCTCCTCTGCAACGCGAACGCCTTCCACGCACCGCACTGCATCCTCGCCCTCTCGCACAACAAATCCGTGCTCTGCGAGAAACCGCTCGCGCTAAACTACCGAGATATTGATGCTATCATCGCTGCAGAGGAGAAGTCTCAGGGAAGGGTGTTTGTGGGCTATCAGAGAAGATATGCAGAGGCTTTCCTCGATGCTGTGAAAGAGGTTGGGGGGATGGAGAAGTTGCAGTATGCGAGGGTTAGGGATATCATTGGGCCGAATCCTACTTTTGTTGCTCAGTCTGGGACATTTCCGCGGAAGTTCACAGACTTCAAGAAAGAAGATACAGAGGAGATGATTGCGAAGGACGAAGAAGCAATGAAGTATGCGCTGGAGCATGATTATGGGGTAAAAGTTACGGCGGCGTCGATGGATATGGCGAGACTACTTGCTAGGTTCGTCTACCCTTCCCTCCCCTTCTCCTTTACCTCTTGTTGATTTTTCGATGGATGATAGTCTGGGCTCCCACGACCTCTCAGCAATGCGCGAGCTCCTCGGCATGCCCACCTCAGTGCTCGGCGCCTCTCTCCAACACAACTCCCCGATTTGGAGCGTCTTATTCCAATACCCATCCTTCCCCTGCACTTACGAATCCGGTATAAACAACGTGCCGATATTCGATGCTCATATCGAAGTCTACTCGAATGAGAAGATTGTCCGCGTGGACTACGACACACCATATGTGAAAGGATTACCGGTTACGATGACAGTTAGAGAGAGGATTGATAATGGAGAGAGGGAAGGAGATGGGTACCAAGAGAGGACGATTAGGAAAACGTATGAGGACCCTTATATGCTTGAGTTTTTGGAGTTTTATTGTGTTGTGGCGGAGGGGAAGGAGCCGAAGACGGGGGCCAGGGATGCGAGGCAGGAAGTTGATCTGTGGAAGATGATTTTGAGAGCTGGCTTTCCTGCTGCGTGAAAGCACTGGACCTGGGGTGGAGGACCAAGATGTCTACGTGCTGAGTGTCAGGAATGATTCATGGATTGGGTTCGGATTATACGGGAAGGGACGGGGGGGGATAAAATCAATGATATGACACATTCTCCCAATCCGTCTCGATCTAATTTCTGTTGTAGTATGTATGAAGGAGAAGAGAGCTGCAAGTTGCATCCACTATACATAATACCAAACTAGGCTAATCGCTGGTTTACTTGACGTTCGCGCTCCAATGGATGCATTTATTTCCGCGCTTTCGCAGTTTATCTTCACCGGCTCTGTGATGTTCACTAAAAGTTTGGCTTTGGTTTCGAGGGTGGAAATCAAAGGCCCGTCCTGTCCTGTCCCGTCTTATCGTTTTTCGTAGAAGGGAGGATTGGTATGGTACGGTGTGGTAGGTTTGGGAAACAAGGAAAGGAAGGAAAGGAAACGGGGTTGGGAAACTTTCCCTGACTTGCATGAATGGAAATCGGGGCGAGGGAAGAGGGAGGGAGGGAAGGGTGAGGTGGGTAGGTGGTAGCAGGACTAGGAGAGTGGGAGCTCGGCTCGAGCAAGTGTGACGTGGCAATATACAGATCATTTTGTTTGTTGAAGGTTGTTGATAGATATCTACGTGGTTTGAGAGGGATGGAGATGGTTGTGGCTTGTTCATTGTTCGTTGTTCGTGTTGCGGAGGTTGGTACGCCGAGGGAAGGGAAGGGATTGAAAGAAGAGGTGGTGGGGTGGAAAGGGTGTGCGGCTTGGAGGATTGAGGGATTGGGGTTGATATGTACTGCAATGTTAAACTGTTCGTCGAAAATGGTTGGGAAGAGCTTGATATTTGCTCCTGGAGCTGGAGATCAGGTATTGAGAGAGAGGGTGCCAAAGCATTGACTGTCTTGGGAACGTATGGCGTCGACTGAACGGTTCGTCTTTTTCGTCTGTCTAGACAGGCGGGATTCCGCGAGGCTACAAAGCTAGAAGAGCTTGAGTTAAGTGGACCGAACTGACTGGGTTGTTTTCGAAGTGTTTGGATCAACTCAACCAGGCTCAGCTTCAAATGTCCAAGATCCGGTTCCAGGAGATACTGACTGATGGGCAGTGAGTGTCTCTGGATGATCTCAGACAACAGCGCCTTCAAAACTACAAACATTCTTCACAGAAAGTCCTTCAGAAACCATTTCAGATACCGTGGGGGTGCATTTGGGTTTGTGGGTAGAGCTCTGCGAACAGGTTCAACTACCACGGCACCCATGCGATTGCGATTTGAAAGATAGTGTAATCAGCACGTTTATGTTCTCATTGTCTCACTTTGGGGTGATACAATTAGGGGTAGCATCAATATCATTGTTGAAACCCTATTGAGTACCACTGGACGCACCGGCCTTCCCGTTCTCTTCAACTTCCTCCTCCCGATCCTTTCTCATTCTCCTCCCACTTCCCTGAATTCCCCAAGGGTGCAAAAGTAGTGGCCAGCCATGGGGCCAAAAACCCGCAATCCCTCTCTTTTGCTTCTCTCTTTTCCTCGTCATTCATGTCCTAATCCTTGCCCCCACCCGTCTTGCCGTCATCGGTCTCATCGGTGATTGAGGAAGAAGGGGTCTCGTGTTGTGTGAAATTTGGGGAATTTGAATCACTGCTTGATGAAGCTGAGATCGCAAATATAGATAGTGAAAACGTGATACTGGGTAGTGCGCTCGTGCTTGTAGATAGTGGGCGGTTACTTGGGCAGCACGACCGGGCCGGGACTGGTGGCATGTAAAGACGACATGATTGCACCAGTTGCTGAATGCCGTTTGATTGTACTGCGGGGTGGTGGTTGAGTGAGGCGAGATCCGCGTGGGGTTACACTGTGAAGTGTTGGTCGGATGAGTTTGTATTGTCATCAAGCGAGTAATGCTAACAAATGGGCCTGGGACTGGAGGTGAAAAAAATACCCTGAGCTTGCCCGCCGAGAAAGGAATTCTAACTAATGAGGTTGGGGGAATGGGGCCGAGTCCGAAAGGGAGCCAGTGGGAAGGGCTGGTCACATGGATCGGCTGTATTTACTTTCGCTTGTCGCTCCTTCCTCGTTTTCAGGGGAAGCGAGATGATGCTTCCTCGCCATAGAAGCGGACTTCGCTTTCATTCCACTTCGTCACATCACCAACACCCTTTCTACTCACCACGAGACTCCAGCATCATTCACCCCAGAGGTTTCAGGACATTCTCGCTTCCAGCGCGCACCATATAAATATTCATCATGTGGATCGGAAACTGGGCCGAGTACAAGATCGACAAGCCAGGCAACTGTAAGTGTTGGGAGAAAACCCTTTTCTTATCCTTGGTTATTCCGTCACTCTCTATGATCTTCTCTCGAATGTTAACTTCCTCGATATCTAGGGTTCCACGGCTGGACAATCCCCATATTCCCACGAATTATCGCCGAGAAACAGGAAGCTCTAGGCTTCGAAACCTTCCGATACATCCTCTCCGACTTGAACGAGGATGCCAAGGTCAACGGAGACATCGATAAATCCAAGGCTGAGGAGCTCTACTACCACTTTCTGATCCAGTACTTCCCCGACTGTCCCCTGATTTCGGTTCTCAAAGAACGATATTTCCATCCGAGCGTGCTTGGCAGGCTCGGCAAAAATACCAGTATCGATAGTATCGATACTTGCCCCATATTTTAATTATTATTTAATTATTCTTATTTGCTATTATATTATATAACTTAAAAATTAAAGATTTGTAAGTATTAAGAATGCTAATAATTTGGTTTAAATCAATGTATAAAATAACTAAGTTTTTAATTAAAATATTAAAATATATTAAAATTGTGATTTTTCGAGTTTTGCGATCCCGATAAGCTTATCGCTAATTGTTTAGCGTGCAGTCCCTAAATTTTAGGTAGTTTATCGCTAAATTTATAGGCTAGAGGCCCCTAAATTTTCGCGCAAATTTAGCGATAAGGTATCGATACTAAAATTTCTGGTATTTTTGCCGAGCCTGGTGCTTGGCATCGGAACAAATCTGTTGATAAATGAGGGAGGAAGTCTAATCTGGCCGCCATCGTCTGAATTGCCTTGTCAACAAGTCAGGTCGGGCGACAGATATCAGACGGTCCAACCAAGGAGTGGTGTATCAGAACACTTCGAAGAATCTTCTACAAAGAAAGAGTTCACGTCTGAGTGGCCTCTCCGACGCTTCGGCTCGGAGGAAAGCTATCGGACGGTTCACAGGAGGAGCGAAGAGTCAGGGCACTCTGAAGAATCCACGTCAGACATGAGCGAGTCGGCCGGCATCGTAGACTCCCCTGTTGTAAGAATCACTCCCAACGAACTCGAGCAGCTGCAATGGCTAGACGAGAAGAAAGCAGAGATGAATGTCAACATCAACGTACAATCCAGGGAGATCAAAGCCGATGTTAATGTACAATCCAATGAGGTGTTCAGTTTTGGAGGAGATATGGCTATCGATACTCCCATGGCTGTCAACCTGGGAATCCCGCAGGACCGCCAATCGCGACCGAAAAGAAAATCCTCATCTGATAATACCCCTATGCTCCTCGGCTCCTATGGTGCAGCCCAACGATCTCCCAAGAGAGCCAAGAGCGATTCCGATGGCACACCCACCAAGAACGAGTCTGTTGACGAGGAAATGTTGGAAATGCTCAACAGAATGAGAAACTGTACTGATACATCTATGGCCGATTGTCCTTTAGTATGCTCTTTCCTTCTTCCTTAATGTCCCATTACCTCGTAGTACACTGATACATCCGTAGAGCGAAGCCGATGTACTAACAGCGCCCGGTGGTCCGGGTGACAATTCACATCTTACCCTAAAGGGAAAATGCCAAGAACAAATACCAGTCTGGCTCTCACCAAGTCACAACCCTTTTCTCACCCTGAAGGAAAAGCGCGAAGAAAAGATTCCAGTCTGGCTCTCGCTTGTGAAAGCAGTCAACAATGCCAGAGACGAATTACAAGGCGATGATTTGGAGTTGTTCGAGCGATTAATTGCAAAGCGAAACACACCCGTCGAAGCAGATGAGTTGATCCAGAAGTGGAGAGATGGCGAGTTGGGTATTTTCGAGAAATTGAGAGCGGAAGCAGCCAAGCCATTTAGCTGGAAGGAATGGGCTGAGCAAAAGAACGGGTCCTACCTCCTGATGAGTGATATTCGGGGGCTTTCTGCATAGGTGGCTAATAAGCGTCATCGTTGTGGTAGTAGGCACTGATGTGAATACGGCTTGTGGAAGTATTGATTGCCGTGAGCATGCATTGTTAGGGGGAAGGGACTTCGCTTCTCTTCGCCCAAATACAAACTTTTTCTCTGCAGTTGTAACATACTGTGACCTTTTTGTAATTGCCATCCTATTAGAAAGCGGTTTAGAATGTTTCAGAGTAGTAGCTCTTGGTGCGAATCTTACTAATAGTTTGAACTGTTTGAAGATACCGAGCCGACATCAATAGTAGGAAGCTTTCTAGGACGTTAGCTCCGCAGTCCACCACCTCTCACACTCTGTGCCTACGTTCTCTTCAAGGCACTGCTAGACCTCCCAACATGAATTGCGACCCGCGCTTCCGATCCGGTCTTTGAACCCTTTCTGCCTGTTTCCAAGTAGCCCTAGCAGCTGTTGGCACCCCATCCTGTATACCCGTAATACCCTGTATGCTCCGAGTGCTGTGGCCACCTGCTTTTTTGGGAAGAGCGGGCCTTTGGGTATTGGGGGTATCGAGGGGTGGGTTCGCCAAGAGAGACTTGTTTCACCGGACTTGGGTTGTGTTCGTACGATTTGGGGCTTGAGACTCTTTGAGGACAGGTGGTTAATCGAAGCTGTGGAGAAAGGGTGACGCGGAGTAGGGAATGACATCCTTTCTAATAAGAAGTGAGCTCGTGAAATGCTCGAATAACGGCCTAAATATCGACAAGGTGACTTTTCTTACCGATTAGGTATAGTGCCACCAGCCGCCTAAGACGCGAGGCTCAGGCGCGTCTGAGTGCCACGTGCCATCTAATTTTAGTGTTCGCCTTACTCGTTAGTGCCCGATGATGCTAAAGAAAAATCTCGATCGGTTTCAGCTTTCACAATCTTCTTAATCTTCGGTCAAACCATCCTTCATTCAACCACGCTGAGGTTCCGCAAAGAGAAAATATCGCTGTGATCGTATAGCACCAGGACTTTCAGCAGTTCTAGGTAGCTTCGTATCTGGGCGCATCCTTAGTTTTGCCTCCCAACCAAACAGGGCTGCAGCCATCTCCAACATCGCTCATTACGCCAACGACATCCAGTATCATGAGTAACAATTCGCTTTCGCAGTTTGCCTCGGCCGCCTCGCTCAAGGAACTAAATGCTCGCTTTGCACAATTAGCTAAGCAAGATGAAGAGAGATCTGAACTCACATCTGTAAGGTGTCCCTAACCACTGAAGCCTGGTCAAGTCGGTATTTATCGCGAAAAATAATGGAAACAAATCCTATAGCACAAATTTTGGGCTTCCTTGTTAACCATGTGTTGTGTAGGGCGTGTTAAAGAGACTTTATAGCTATGAAATGGAAATTCATAGACTTGAGTTGGATCTAGAAGACCAGACGAAATCACGCATGACATACCAGCAAGACGCCCGCAAACTAGAAGGAGAGAAGAGGGAGATTGAGCAACTGATTGTGATCCTCCATTTCCTGTCAACTTGGTTCTAACAGCGGCTAATGTCACCCCAGAATAAAGACCCCTACGTTGTCGTCCTTGTAGACGGCGATGGCTCTAAGTTCCTGGATAGTCTCCTTCAAGACCCAGTCTCAGGTGCTGATAAAGCCGCCCAGAGACTGATACAAGGGATTAAAGATTATCTGAAGGATACGCCTTTAGGCGCCGTGGAGCTTCCTATCCTGGTTCGCGTTTTCGCTAATCTAAACGACCTGGCGAGGTCACTTCGCCTTTCCAACATCATCGAGTCGGCCGACGACATGCGCACGTTTGCCGAGCAATTTACCAATAGCCGTGCTGAGTTCGACTTTATTAATGTTGGACGTGGTAAGGAGAATGCCGATTCTAAGATGAGAAGTGAGTTTCCAGTTGCTCAAACCCGCGCGCTAGTTCGTTTAAACTCACCGACCGACAGAAATGTTCAAACATTTCTTGAAGAACTTTCAGTGCAAGAAGATTTTCTTCGCTGGCTGCCATGACAATGGCTATCTCCATGAGCTTAGGGAGCACGTAGGAGATCCAGATGCCAAGGAGCGTATTGTCCTTCTGGAGACCACACCAGCGGAGCCAGGGTTTGTGGTCCTGGGCTTTCCTATGATACGCCTCGACACTGTCTTTCGTTCTGAGCCTCTTGGGAACGAGAAAAAGTACACGTATCCGAATCGCCCATTGCCTAGTCAATCCGGTCATTCGTCATTGCTGCTCGAAAAGTCGACCGTCGACGGAGGCTCGCGGGGGCCACTTGAGCCATCACGTATACATCAGCCCCCGGCGTCTCTGGTGACAATAGCTCCGTCCGAGGGCACCGCCTCGCCGTCTCCAACGCTACTGGCTGCATCACTGGCCGCTTCCTCAGCGCAGCCACCAACTCCTACCGCGAGCGTCTCCACTTCCGGCAATGGCGGCATTTCTATAAAGTATCCTTCCAGCTATGCCGCGGCTGGTAGTGCCAGTGGACACCAAAATATCAACGTCCAAGCTGCAAAAACCAAGAACCCCAAGACTATTGAATATAACAAGTATAACCATCGTCTTGATCCACCAATTAAAGTTCCGAGCTTTAATAATAATCCTTCCCAGGCGACTTACAAGGCGAAGGCGGATAGGATCAAGCCAAACGCCTTTTGCAACCACTACTATTTAGCTGGCAAGTGCAAATGGGGAGATGAATGCGAAAGGGACCACAGCACAAAACTCACACCCGGAGAGATCGCCATCCACCGCTACAAGGCGCGCACGAGCGTGTGCCCTGCAGGCCCGTCATGCGACGATTATAGCTGCTGCCTTAGCCACCATTGCCTTCACGATCCACAGTGCACTCGCAGTGACTGCAAGTTCAAGAATACAAGATATGGGGACTTGCATTTGTCTAAGGAAGATCTGGTTCCAGCGTGAGTTGTGCACTTGACCGTGAACACTCCTTGAGCAATTCTGACGCTAATGTTTCCGCACAGAACACGGTGGACAGAGGGCATTTCTTTTCCAACGACTCTATAGATAAGAGCAGAGGCAAAGAACACGCCCGAACCACATGAATATCTAGAACAATTTGCTCTAGTTAAACCTAAATCTTATAGTGGTAATCAATTGGTTTTTCCAGCGTTTCAACAACGATATGGCAAGGATGTGGTCTCAGAGCTGGATGTCATCTTCAACTGCTGGCATCTCTAATCTGTTGAATATTGTTTTAGTTTGGCGCAAGCAACATATCCTGAGGGACAGGGTGTCCTGTCATAGTCTAAATTCGAGCGTCTCGTAGCAAAAATTTCAGTTACAGACTCAGACGATGACTTCTACTCCCATGGCTTTTGTCTTCACAGTGATGCGCCCAGGTAACTGGATCAGATCTATACGATTTCTGTAGTTCGCCGCCGAGTCGGTCAGCATATCATTGGACGTATGTAGCTTATCTTTGTCTCGCATTATTTACTAAAATAGGATAAATGAGTAGATACCCTGGAGTTTATACGTATTGCTTCTTGCGGCACTATCTAATTCATTGATAACTGACCCGCTACTGGGCTTCCTTTACAATGCAGTACTCTTACATAGGATCCGTTGCATCGTCTCCTGGGATTTTGCATCTTTGATTCTTTGCTCTCTGGTTATTGTTCACAAAGGTAGTCCAGCTCGTGCCACGTTCCGTCCAGGTGTGACTGATCGACCGATCCCAAACCCGAAGTTGCCCCCTTCACGTGCCATTTGGGTAGTGTAACCCTTCGTAAGCCCAATCGAAAACACCCTGTCAATATTCTCTGTAAGGCTAGCATTGCCATTTGTTAGGCACCCACGCACAAAGATAGTGACACTGCTTAGCGAAACCCTTGAACTACGTACACGTGTTATTGCCTGAGCCTCGCATGGCTCTAGGCAACCGTACGAATTCTTGCCTGTGCCTTGATATTGTCCAAGAAGCCAGACATGACGCAGCACTAGCGCCAATTTTTATCTCGCTCTTCGATCCTCGTTGCTCGCCCTTGGTTCCTTGCTTCTATCTATTTTAAGACCAGGACCGAAACACAATGAAAAACTATAGTCAAAGACCACATCGGAAGACAAGGGCAGCTTGTCTTCAGTGCAGGCAGAAGAGAATTGAAGTATGCTTCAATGGAATTGCAACGAATTTTGGGCTCTAATGGCTTCTCAGACTCCCACATTTACTTTGCCCTTATTTTTGCTAGTCTCAATTATACCATGCATATAACTAATTGTTAGCAATTTAACCCCCGTTCACCTGCAAATTGATGGTCGGAGCGAACAGTGCGATGAACAAAAGACGTCATGTATCCATTGCACAAGATACGAGACGCAATGCATCCACAACACGCCGAAAGGCTACAACCCAAAGCCCACTTCTGCCAAGGACTTGAACCACTCTCAGGATAGCTTGCCGGAAAAGGGGCCATTGCCCTCCAGTACTTTCGACCCGGACTCAGAGCTGAAGTGGAAAGCTCTTGAACTGTTCCATCACTTCACCATGTCCACATCAGCAACTGTCGCACGCAAACCTGGCCAAAAACAAATGTGGAGTGTTGTCTAAGTCTGGCAGTCGCGAGCAACTCCTCATCGATGTTTCGCGGTAGCAGCAAATCGCACTTCAAGATACCGCTCAATTCTGTGTAACACCGACAAAGGTAGCTGTAAGGCAATATTTGCCTTTTCTGCTCTGGCCATATGTTATGCTTTTGGCTCTCCCCAATCGGTGGAGGACTCCCTTCTTGCCGGAACAGACAGCACGCGAGCTGTGCCTGACTGGCTATACTTCTTGAGGGGAACGTACACTTGGTTCCAACTTCATGGAGTGGATTCAAAATGGTTCCATGACCGCCTTCGTCGAGCCAGTCAACAGGAAAGACAGCGTACCAGATGGTTCAGATGGTGGACAGCTTCCCAGACTTGTGCCATTACTGGAATCACTTCCAAGTGACAGCACCGGAGGTTGATATAACAGCAAGATATACTTGGCGGCATTATAGGGCCTTCGAACATTATTCTCAAACTCAGGTTAATAAACTTTCGTTGGAAAATCCAAAAAAAAACTGTGTGATATGGGCATCCTTCGACTGGCCCATCCATGTCAAAGAAGACTTCACCAGACTTCTGAATGAACGAGAACAGAGGGCCCTGATACTGCTCGCACATCATTCTGTGCTTTTGAAGAGAGAGGAGGTGTTCTGGTACTTGGATGGACATTCTCGTCGATTACTTTCGACAATCGAAGTGACGCCGCATGGAGATATGAAGAGGCGAATTGAATGGCAGTGCATTGAGATACGGGAAGATCAAGTGATGTAAGAATCATGGAATTTTGTCGTGCAAAACTAGTCTCCTGTCAATGGTATCATGAAGCATGCTACATGAATCCTGGCTTCTGACTGGCGTCGATTTTTCGCAGGTGCCAATGCTCGTCATTACCCATAAGAATAGCCTTCATCAGGTTTCTTGTCCAAAGGCGCCGAACCAGAATCTCGTCAAATAAACTCACTTGTAAAAACATCAGATTTTCGACTAAAAATTGTCTTTTGCACCTCTTTTAACGATTTTACCCCCCTGTATCTTAACTAAACTGCGCCTAAAACATAAGTCGTTTTATGTTTGAAGTCTTTTTACTTAAATAATTATTTCTAGCTATCTTTTATTAGAATTAGAGAAGTAGTAAAGAAGTTAAAGAAAAATCTAAGTTTTAGTATTTCTTGCCTTATAAAGAAAACTACATTTATATATAAATTTTATTGAAAATTTAATAATATTAAAAAAATATTTATTTTATATAAGATTTCTAGTATTAATAAGTATAAAATTGCTTATTAATTTTTCTCAAGGCTAAGATTATAAAAATGTAAAGTATTAACGACTTTTATGTATAAATTTATTCTTTCTAAGCCCCTTACTAACTTGCGCTTACTAACCCTTGAGTTTTAAGGTCCGTATATCTCTCTTAAAAATAATCTAGGTCAAGCAAAAAGTAATTCAAATTAATCGCACGGTGTAGTACTTCTTATATATAAGAGGGATTTGTAAGCTAAGTATATAGTGAGTGAGTTATAAAGGAGGTAATTCTAAGAGGCGCGTTAATGGGAAAAAGTGTGAGTGCGATTTTTATTACGAAAATTTGATATTTTTACAAGTGGCTTTAATCGTGGACAGCTTCTTGCTAAAGCCGTGGTGGCCTGATACGATTTTTTCTGCAAGTTTTCGGCGTCAAAGCTCCAACGGAGAGCTGAATCCTTCGCCCGGATTACACCGTGGCCTGTCGCACCTTCGTGTAACCCAATCGCAGGTTTTCACTTGTCACGCTTCACGTCTCACCTGCATTGAGAGTCATCATGCTACCTAGATGGCTGTCCAATACCTCGTGTTAGATTCTGCTCGGCGACTTTCAACACGCCGGACGGAGAAGACTAATGGCGAGAACCAAGCTGCATCAAGCCGAAATCGTCTGAAGGTGGCTTCGTGGCGCTGGATTGCGTCCAGTTAGCCGCCTCGTTGTGGTCATACCTCCTGACGTGTTGTTTTCAGCTCTTTGCTCAGCAGTGCCACATTCAGAATTACCTTATTTTTTTCATACACCACACTTTGTAATACGTACCGCCAATACGTTACGGCTATTCTGTAATACGTATGAGATCCTTATTGCTCATGACGAGTAACTATGTCCAGTGATACTATACGGAGCTCGTGCCGTGGCCCTCAGTATCAGCCACCATAATAGTGGCATTCACTAAACGTGTCAATGGTGCTCAGTGGCACACCAAATATGTGCTGAGGATAGCGCTGATGCGCCGTGTTCTACTTCAGCCCCTCTAGGAGTCATTCTCTGGTTAGAAAAAGTATAAAAGGAGCAAAGTTGCCAAGCAAAAAGGATTTCGCTGTTCATCTCACCCACGAAATCCGGAACTTGGTCACATTTTTAGAAAAATTATCCTGCCAAATAACTTCATCTTCCAACACGAGACATAGTTCTTTCGCTCCACCATGTCTATCAAACAAGCAGCATGGACCCACGGTCTTGGTGTAGAGCTTGAATCTAGCTCCTGGTCTGCCCTCCGCCAAGGTTTCTACACCACTGTGAGTCCGTCGAATGAATCCACCTTTGGTTGGGTGCACTTCGTGATTCCCACGCCCGTCATCGTTGACGGCACTCGTCTCAAAGCCGAATCGGCAATGATCCGCTTCTCGACCGGTTCAACGGCCAAGATTACCAACTTCCATGTCTATGATGGCGAGGTGAAGATTGCAGAGTACGATGGGTTGGCTCTGGCCGGAAGCCTGCAGTTTGTGAGAGAGGCGGTGCCGAACAATCATCAGGTGTTGTGGGGGACGGCGATTAGTCTGGGGGTGCAGTTTTCTGGAATGGGTCCGAACGATTATGTTCAATTTATTTCGGCGGGGATTGATTTTTATGTTTAGACGAAGCACGGGTTGAGATAAAGTCATTTGCGAAATATGTTCTATCTTTACATTTCTTCCTCCTCTTCCCTCCCGGGCTTCCTGACGTCTTATTGTTGAACCTCTTGTTAGTTAGAGGCTCGAGGACTTCGACTAATCAGAGGGCTTCGTTCATATTGTTCCTTATATTTGTCCTTTATGTGAATTTATCGAAGTTTGAGTCCTGCTGATAAGAAGAGGTTCTGCTTTTTTTTTGGTTATCAAAGCTCGACTCCAAACAAGAAGGTGGTTATGAAGTTGTGACTTTATAAGCGAATCCGAGGGCCAATGCGTGTATTTGAAGTAACAAAGAGCTCAGTACTCCTGATTTGAAGGGATAGGGTCATATGTATGAGCCGATGGTTATTGTTGGTCAAGAGGAGGAGAGGGGTAAGACCAGTTCAATACCGTCGCACCCAAACCTTAACCCCTGGCACAACCCCGTCCGCGAACTTTTGATCCGAGATCGACTGATGTCTCCCTGTCTATCCATCTTAAAAATACCACGGTGGTCAGAATACCAAGACTGCTTAAGTTCGGTTCACCAATGCCTATTTAAGGCTTGGCATTACACAGTTCGGTTAATGAAAGCAAAGTTCACTGACCGAACAAAAAGATATTACTGGTAGCTCACATATTCACATGCCGAAGTAGCTTTTAAATGTCTTTGATAACTAATCCCGCTTGTAAGATGCATATATAGAACCTGCACCCGAGATTCTCTCTGTCACATTTCCCTTAGAGTCGCCCTTTTCTCTTTACCGACCACTAGTACGGAATCTTCCTTACCAATGTCTCTCCCACCACCAAGATGTGGTTCTTGTAGCAGAGCCTAACCCTCGTCGCCCCTTTTGCCCTGTCAACAGCTCAAGGATGTGTCCAATTTGGAAGGAACATCCACTTCTCCGACTATCCCGTTGCAGTTATCGATGCCACCCTAGTAGATGACGGCTAACTCATATGCCAGGTAGACGGATATGTCGTGAATCAGCACGTGGAATCCTTCATCTGGCTTTAGTGCGAGAGCGGCTTCTCAGCCACATTGTCGTGGATGAATTCGAATCCGGTTGCTTATTCAACTCACTGGTTTGAAGGAACGTTTACAACGAATGCATAACGGAGGGATAGATTTTGGGTGTATATTGCTGAACCGTATGGCTAGGTCGGTAAGGTATGCCGCCCCTTCCCCCATTTTGCATTCTTCATCTTCGGCCATTAATCTAACGAAGACGCTTCGGCTACTAGTTGATGAGTGCGATGTGGGCTGTTTGGATGAGTAACTTCCATTCGAAATCGGGTCGGACAATTGCCGCAATTAAGCATCAATCTCAGTACATTACCTCATCTAAATGTTCAGCAATTACCCGCTCAACACAAAAATGAAGTTCACCTTTGTTCATCTTGCGGATACACAACCCCGCCCTGCTTTCTAATTCCATCCATTACCCTCATCATCCGAACCGTCTCCTTCAACGGCATAATGAGATTTTCCTTCCTTCCCTCTAACACATCTTTCGCCACACTATCAGCCTCAAAACGAAACCCCATCGCCTCATGATCGTAATTCATCACCCTCTCTTCCTCTCCTTCAACTTGAATCTTCACTTTCTTTGGCAAACTGCATCCAGGCCCACTGACTGTAATCACTCCTTTACTCCCTTCAACCTTGAGAAACTCTTCTGTTCCTTTGGCTCTCAAACTGGCTGTCAAAACCCCAACCCTATTCGTTTCAGGATATTTCATCACAACGACGTCCTCATGGTCAACCCCATCTATCACAACCATGGTGGATGAAACCTCCGGGGTCGAGGCAGATGAGCCCACGGACCCGTCGAGGACTATGTTCGACCACATTAATGGGTAGACACCGATATCGAGCAGTGCTCCACCACCGAGATTAATGTCTTTGTATCTGTGGGTAGCCGGTAGGTTTTCCATGTCCTTTTGAAGACTGAAATCGCAGGTCATGCGGTGGATGTCGCCTATGATTTTATCCTCATGCAACATTTTCTTCAAATCCAGGACCAAGGGGAAGAAGCGCGTCCATACAGCTTTTGCTTTTTAGCTTTGGAAACATTAAAGGGGGAAAGTTCAGGGCAATTGGAGGTACCTTCCATGATATAAACCCCCTTGACTTTTGCAGCAGCAATCACTTCTTCCGCTTCAGCAGCGTTGATGGTAAATGGCTTCTCACACAGTACATGCTTTCCTGCAGCTATGGCGGCGAGACATTGTTCTTTGTGATAGGAATGAGGAGTGCCGATATAAACAATATCAACTTCTGGGTCGATGTAGACATCACTATAACTTGTGTAGATCTTCGGTTTACCAGAATCTGGGGCGCCAGATGGGAAGAGGGTAGAGATAAAGCTGGCTCCTTTCACTTCTAAGGAGGTCCCTAGAGCGGCGATTTTGTGCCGTACGGGGGTGGAGGAACGGGGGTTGAGGAGGTCGGCGGCGAAACGGGTGGACACCCAGCCGGTCCCTGAAGGTGCTGTTAGAGGTTGATAGTGAAGGGGTAAGGGAGGAGGTACCCAGAATTCCCCAACGGACTGAAAGGAGAGGAATTGCCTCCATCTTTCGGTGAAGCGATTTGCCTTGCATGGGATGGACGAAGAGGTAAAGGCGAGAAAGAAATGGGAATTCAAAGGTGGGGAAACGAGGGGTAAATCCACCCCACCTGTCAGTTTCTATGCACGTGATTCTCCCCTTTTGATTAGCTCAATTGCAGAGGCATATAAATCATCCGCTGAACCGCACTTCTTATACTTTAGACATCCCAATTTATATTAACTTTATACTAATATTTTAAAGCTTAATTATATGCCAAATACTGCCTTAATTATATAACTATCAGTTATAAGCTTAGCTATATAATTATTTTATACTGGCTTTTATTATAATTTTATATTTAAAGTATATTTTATTATTTTAATATATTATATTTATTAATAATCTAGATTCTCTGGGTTTCTTTTAATATTTGACTTATATATTAAAATAATATTTATATTATATACTTTAATATTATATATTTTAATATTATATTTACTATAATTGCTTTTATTTTAATTATTTTTAATAAGAACTTAAATTATATTTTATAAATTAAAGTTATTAAAATAATTATTAAAAATATTAGCTTTAGGCTTATATTAATTTATTTACTTTAATTATTTAATAACTTATATTTATTTTATTTATAAAGCTTATTCCAGTATTTATTAAATTAATAAAGATATTATTTATTTAAATAACTTCTTTTTTTACTAAAAATAATTCTTTAATATTATTTTTAGTTATTAAAAAGAATTAAGTTTTTAAATTTAAATAATACTAAATATATTTAACTTAAATACTTTAAATATTTATTTTTATAAGTTATTTCTTTAATTAATGAAATATAGTTTATATTAGTAAATATATATAATACAAATTATAAAAATATATCTTTATTTATAAACTTATTAGTTATTATAAGGCGCATAATATAGCAGGATATTATATAAGTAGTTAAGATAAGAGTAAATGAAATTTAAAATAAAATATAAAGTAAAGTATAGAAATATAATTAATTTCAAGAACTGGTTTCTATTAAGAAACTAATTAATATCTATTTTTAAAGCTCGCATATCTCTATATATATTACTTAGTATTTTACTAGATATACGGAAGTACTACTCCCAATTAGGAAATGCGATCCCATATAAGTACTAGCCTAATTAGGCTACTAAATCCAGCCAAATACTTGCTATTAATATATATATTATAGTTATTTATTATTATTTTATTTTAAGTCAAGTTCTTTTACTAATATAAATTATATTTTATTAAATAAAGAAATAAATTAAAGTTATAAGTAATTTATAAACTTATATTTAATATATTAAAAATTAATTTATATTTGTATTTATTAAATAAGCTTATTAATTTAAAATTAATTTATAATATAATAATTGAGTTTAATTTACTTATTATAAAATATAATTTCTATTTTCTAAAGCTTATAAAAAACGAATTCTTTAATTAAAAATAAAACTTTAATAAAAACACTCTAGTTAAATATATTAATTTAATATTAATTAATTAAGTATTTATTATTAAAATAAATACTTATAAAATAATAAAGTCCTTTAAAATAGAAAATAATTATTTAAAGCTTTATATTAATATATATATATATATTTGTAATATAAATAAATTATTAGAAACTTTAAATATAATTATATTATTATTAAAAGTATTTATTTATAATAAATATTAAAGAGAAATATATAGGAATACTAAAAATATATATTAAGAACCCGAGTATTTAAGATATTATTTTATTAAAAAAAAAGAAAAAAAGAGAACTATATATATATATAAAATAGTAACTAGCTATATAACTCGTTATCTAATTTCTTATTATAATTTATAATTTATATTAATATTTTTTCTATTAAAATAATTATATAATTTAAAATTAAGAATCTAAAAGAAAACTTTAAGGTTTTTATTATTAAAATTATTTTAAATAAAAATAAAAATATTTAAATAATTTATAATTATAATTAGAAAATATAAAATAATAAAAGTTCTAATATTTAATTATTTCTTAATTAAGTTTAATAATTTGAATAATATATAAATTATATTAGTTTATTTTTAATAAAAGTAAATATTAGTTTACTAATAATATAATTATTATTTATATAAAGTTAGTAAAATTATTATTATTTAAAAGTAAGAATTATAATATTATAATATTAATATATAATTCCTAAATTTATTAAGCCTAATAGAATCTAGTTTATTAATTGAGTTATTTATAAAATACAAAATTATATAATTATATCTCGTATTTTATATCTTATATTTATATTTTATATCCCGAATCCCGTAATTATATATATAACTTCTAAAGAAATAATTATATTAATATTAGAACTTTTCTAAAAACGCGAAAAAAATAATATTTTCTTTTAATTATATACTAATTCCCTAATCTAGTTTAGTACCAGATTTCTTAAATATTTTATATATTTATATTACTTTTTAAGGTTTTAATTATATATTAAAAGCTATAGCCTTTTATATATATAATTTCTTCTCTTATAATATTTCTTTATATTTCTTTATATTATATTTATATTAATTAGATATTTAAAAATATTTATTAGCTTTAATTTCGTTACAAAATTAATAAAATTAGATTTTCTCTTTATTTATTTAATTTTTATAATTTTTTATTATTTATATATTTAATAGAAATATATTATATTAATTATTAGATATTTCTTTTAAATAGTATTTAATTTAATAAGGTATTTATATAATAATTTCCAATTTATATAAATTACTAATAATAGTTCTATTTCTAGTATTTTATTAATTATAAATTTAACTAAAGTATTTATATTATAAAGTTTTAAAACTAAAATACTTTTAGTAATTCTTTTATATTTAATAAAAAACTAGTAAATAATATTAGTATATCAAGATTTATTTACTAGAATTAGAATATATTTAATTTAGAAAAAGAAATCTTTATTATTTATAAATGAAATATTTATAAAAATAATTAAATATAAGAATTTCTTTATTAGTTTTATGAATTTTAATTCTCTAATAATGTTTTTAATTTATTATTAAATATTTTTATATTAATTTCCGAGAATTTAATAGCTTAAATAATAATTAATAAATAAATATAATATATTAGTTTTTAATAAAAAAATCTTAATAAATAATACTTTTATTATTTATAATAATAATATTTTTTATAGAAATAATTTAAAGGTTTTTATATTAGTATTTTTATATAAAAGTAATTCTAATAGTATTTATATAAATAGTATTTCTATTAAATTCAGGATTATAATTAAAAATAAAATATTTATATTTCTTAGCTAAAAACTTAGTTTTTTAAAGTTTTAATTACTTTATTTTTATAAAATTATTAGTTTAAAAGCTAATAATTTTAAAGAATTATTTATTATAGAAAAGGCAAGAGTTATAAATTAACTATTTTATAAAAAGCTTATAAATATAATAGAAATAATAAGTTTTAAACTAATAGTTTTTAATTTCTAATATATTATATTATAGTTTTATAATTTTTAAAATAGAATTATTTTTTAGATTTAGCTTTTTAATAAATTTATAAAATAAGTTAATATAAAAATTATAATTGAAAAAAGTTATTAATTAAATATAAGTTTATAAAATATTATATAAATATAATTTTATAATATTTATTATTATAATAGTAATATTAAGAATAATTCTCTAGCTAATATATTAAATAATAAATAATTAATATTATAATTATATAAAGAAAGCCTATAAATAAGGCATTTGTAAGAGAACTATTTATTAAGAAAACTAAGCTAAGGAAAAAAGGAAATCTCGAATTAAGGTTCTTTAAATATTTATAGTTCTTTGCTTATAGCTCGGCCTAATAGAGTTTAGTATTCTAAATTTTCTAGAATATAGCTTTCCTTAGCTTTATTATATATAACTATTATATAACTTCAGATATTAGATATTTAGATACTAGATATTAAGCTAGGATACTAAATACTAGATACTAAGCTAAAATACTAAACTAAGATATTAAATACCAGATATTAAGCTAGATGAAATATAAAATTATAAAATTATTTTCTTTTTTAAAAAAATCTTATTTTTAAATAAATAGATATTATAGAATTATTATCTAAATTATTATAGTTCTTTATTCTGTTTTCCTAGGCTTATATCTAGTTAACTAGCCTTTTTAATAGATCTAATTATTATTAATTAGCCAAGTAGTAATCTTATAGCTTATAGGAAAAGTATTTTAGATTAGAAACCGGATACTAGTTAAGGTTTTTATTATATATAATCTAACTAATCTTATATAAAAGCTTATTCTGCTTTGCCTTTAATATTAGAATATTTTATATTTTATACTTTTAGTCTATTATTACTTGAATTAGTAAAGGTAGTTTGTTTTTCTGGCCAGATAATAAATTATTAATAGTTTTATATAAATAATTAGGAGAGAATATATTATAAATTTTAATATTTTTAAATAGTTTAACTTTATAAGAATTATTAACTTAATATAGGATCGAGTAAAGCCCGGCTATTTAATAGTCTAGCTTATAACTAGGGTATTATATTTATTATTTCTTTATTAATATATATATCTTATTTTCTATTTTAAAGTTTATTAAGTAATATTTAGTATTTATTATAAAACCGGGCTCTGGGCTTAGAAAGCAGATAAAGTAGCTTTTAATCCGAGAATTCTAAACTAAGAAGAGAAGCTCTAAATATAAGAGCTTTAGTATTCTAAATACTAGTCCCAGCCGTATATATTATCGCAATTACGTAATACTAAATTTACTAGTAAAGCGGTAGAGTATAATAGTATTAGTATATTTCTTTATTCCTTTTTATATCTGTTTTATATTCTTTTTATCTCTTTTTATAATATTCTTTATTTAGCTAGTAATTTATTAAGCCTTTATCTTATTTAACTTATTTTAGAATATAGTTATTAGGGTTAACTAGTTAAAAGAAATTTATAGAAGCTTATTATTAAGGAGTTTATATAAAGATATACTAATAGAGCTATATAAAACAGTA